AGACTGGTCGTGGGGTGGAGATTTTCCCCCATCATTTCCTCCTTCTTGCGTCGAATCAGCTTCGTCGGAGTTGATTTTCCCGGAATCCCGCGGCCGCTTCCGGATCTTTTCTTTTTCCCCAGCTAGATCCGCAATAACTGGCGAGTCCCGTTTTTTGGCTTCTGATTGGCTGAAGGAATTCTGCCACTATTGCGTGCCCGATACTCAGCGCGTGCGGTTTTCATTTTGTTGCAGTCGAAGATTCGATGACCCGGCACCCCGCAAAAATCACACGTGTAGTTGGTGTTTTTCGGACGTGGCCGCCCTTCGAACCTGTCGACTTCCATCGGGTTGGCGAACGTAGTGTGAGCCGAGCGGTCGCCCTGTCGCGTACTGCCGACGTGCGTCCGTCGTGTCCCGGCGTTGACCATGTCGAAGCGCTCCGCTGCCGAAACGACGTCACTGTAGCTCGCGTAGTTTGATGCTGCCACTTGTCGTTTGACTTCGGTCTTCAGCCCGGCGAGGTACGACAGTACTTTTTCCCCTTCGGTCAGATCGGGAATTCGGTTATAGAATTCCTCCATCTGCTGCGTGTACTGTGCTACACTCCCGAACTGTCGATGTCGATGAATTTTTTCCCGGGCAAGGAAACTCGAATTTATCGGCTCGAATCGTTTCAGCGGGTCGGCGCGGAACTGCTACCACGTGGCTTCACCGTGGATGAAAGTACTGTTGCCGCCAATCCACTCGAGTGCCGGCCCTTGTATAAGTGTCGCCGCGAGTCGTACGCGTTGACCATCCCAGACTGGCGAGCTCCATCCGACGGCTGCGAAGTAGATCTCCATCCCGGCGATCCATCCGCGGACGTCGGAGTTTTGATCGCTCGGATCGAACGGCTCAGGTGGGAGCGGCTTCGGAGCCTCGAGAAACTGCTGCGACTGCTGCGTCGTCGCCGTTGTCGAGTCGTGCTGCGCTCTGGCGAGTCGAGTTACTCGCTTGAACTCGTTTCGCCATGCTTCGCGATCCGCTCGCATCTCCTCCTGAAGGGCTGCGATGCGCGCGAAGAGCTGCTGGGTAACCTCGGCGTTGTCGAAGGTTGTCATCCTGTTCAAAACATGCGCGGGGGGGGGTAATTCAAAAAAGCGCGGATCTGGTGCTTACCAGAATCGGCGTCGAATTGGTCGCCCCCGGCGGTTTTTCAAGGCAGGATCCCCGCTGCTGCTGCTTAGCTGAGCGCGGCCGAGGGAGAAAAGCTCTGATTACCAAGTGTCACAGGATCGAATGTCTCGAGGAAAGGTTGCACTATAGATCAGTACAAGGCGCTTTTATACTTCCAGAGTACATCAGGTAACCAGGTTTATCTTATCCTAAGGGAATAGACCCTTCCAGAAGATAGAATCACCCTGCGTATAGCCACGCGAGGCTATTGGCTTTAAGGGATTACAACAGGATGACGCTAGATATAGCACACCAGTACATCCCAAGCCTGGTCGGTGATATAATTATAATAGCAGGATAAACCAAAGGTTAATGGAAAATAGAGAATAGGAAACCAAATGAGATGGGATAAAAAGTGAAATGGAAGAGGAAGGAAATAAGAAAAGGGACAAGTGGTGTAACGGGGTCGTACTCTTACAGAACTGATGTCTCTGCTCGGGACCCGACTCACCCTGTCATCTGCATACCATCCACAGACAGACGGCCAGACTGAGCGTCTTAACCAAATTGTAGAGCAACTACTCCAAGCAGCTGCAAGGACGAAATCTCCAAATGGGACTTGCATCTATCCGTACTGGAGTTTGCCTACAACAAAGCTACTCACGCCGCTACTGGATTGACGCCACCCACTCACACCTCAACAGCCAAACAAACCAGCCACAGTCCAACCCGCTCATGATTTCATCACGACCATGCACAAACTTTGGGATCGGACCCACAAGCGCCTTCTCGACATTCAGCAACAACAGAAGCGTCAGGCCGATCGCCACCGCACAGACCACACCATCACCGTGGGAGACCGAGTACTGCTCGACACACGCAATCTTGACATCAGCCATCTCCCATTCAAACTGTGACCTCGCTTCTGCGGGCCTTTCCTCGTTGAAGCACATGTCACTCCTGTTACCTTCCGCTTACGCCTGCTACCTATCTGGAAGATTCACAACGCCTTCCATGTCCAACTCTTGAAGCCCTACCGAGATCCCAAGACGGTCTTCTCTTGATGCCAACCGCCGCTGCCGCCACCCGTCCTCGTCCATGATGAACCCGAGTACGAGGTCGAGTCCATGCTTGCTCACCGCCATCGACGGAATGGCAACGTGGAGCTTCTCATCCGTTGGAAGGGTTATGATTTTTCAGAGGATAGCTGGGTCTCTGAATCCGAGATGGACCACGCTCGTCGTCCTCTTCACGACTACCTTGTCAAGCAGGGTGTTACGTCTACCATCCAGCTTTGAGGGGGGGAAGTGTGAGAGTACGGCCCCGTTCCATTCCTTTCTCCTTTCCATATTCCTTTTCCATTTCCATTTCATTCCTCTTTTTATCCTGATTCATTTGGTCTTTATCTCATTCCATTTGGATTCCTATTCATTATTTTCCATAAACCTTTGGCTTATCCTGTTATTATCATTATATCACCGACCAGGCTCGGGATGTACTGGCACGCTAGCGTAATCCTGCCGTAATCCCTGAAAGCCAATAGCCTCGCGCGGCTATACGCATAGTGATTCTATTTTCTAGAAGGGTCTATTCCCTTGGGATAGGATAAATCTGGTCACCCGATGTACTTTTGTAGTATAAAAGCGCCTTGTACTGATCGATAGTGCAACCCTTTCCTCGACATATTCGATCCTGTGACACCAATGCTCTTGTCTCTGACCCTGCCCGTCCTCCATCCGTCGGGGGTGCTCCTGCCCTTGGTAGTGACGTCATAGAGGGCAGGCACTACGAGCTAGCTTTCCTAGTACGAGGCCACTCCTTATCTCTGCTCCATGCTGCTAGCCCCAGAGGGTGACCCAAACACCCCGACCCCGAAGTTGACCAGTCTTCGCGCGATGCTTTACGTAGCAGCACAGTGCGACTGCGAGCTGCACTCCCTCGGCTTCTCCATAACGTTTTTCAAGGGCAGTCTGCACGAGCAGGTCTACCTACGCCGTCCACCAGTCTTCTCTGGCACTTTCCCTCATAGGACTAAGTGGCTCCTCCTGCACCCGGTTTACAGTCTACGGCAGGCGCCTCGTGAGTGGCACGGCACACTTCGTGTTATATTAGCAGACCTGCAGTTTTTCCCGTCCTCTGCTGACCCTTCGCTCTTCGTTCGCTCAGGCCAGAGTCCGTTCTACATGCTATTCTATGCATACGACCCGGTATTCGCTACTACAGACAGAGACGCACAGGCCTCCGTGAAGGCTGAGTTGCCGACGAGACACATCTTCACTGGCCTAAGAGAGCTGCGCCGCTACCTTGGTTTGCAGATCTACAGGGACAGAGCAACGCACACCATCACTCTCACACAGTCATACTTGGTGCGCCAGGTCCATCAGAGGTTCGGTCTCCAGTTCTCCTCCACACAGCCAACACCTCTGACACTAGATGACAGGCTCTCGACTCTAGTTCCTGGCGAGTCAGTTGAGCTCAGTGGCCCGTATGCAGAGATGGTGTGCTGCCTCATGTACCTGATGACTTGCATTCGTTCAGATCTCGCATACCCTCTTATTATCCTGGCTCGCTTTGTGGCGACAAGCAGAGACAGACCCCAGTTCTGGTCGACCGCTAAGAGGGTTTTGCGTTATCTAGGAAATACATCGGACATGGGGCTACTACTGGGTGGACACAGACCAGTGGTTCTCACATGGCACACATACGCTTCGTGGGCGAACGACGCTGAGACGCTCAGGTCCTCTCAAGGCTACTATTTTAGCCTTGGTGCAGGCGCTATCTCGTTGAGGTCCACCCGCTCGTCGTTTGTTGCACAGTCTAGCTGTGAGGCTGAGATATACGCTGATGCCATGGCATCACAAGAACTCCGCTGGCTGACGTTCCTGCTCACAGACTTAAGTGAGCGGCCTAGCTCTGCCCGGGTCCTGTATGCTGAGCAAAGCACTTCTAGCTGTGGTACTTCCTCCCGCGCGAGCTACAGCAATGCCGCCAGGCCCGCGTAGTACATTTGGCCTTCGGTGCCCACACAGCCGATATCTTTACTAAGGCGCCTGCGCATAAAGATTATCAGCAACACTGTGTACATCTTGGTCTAGTTCCTGTAGCTCCTCACTTGCTAGGACCCTAGTTGTGTACTACTCCTTATATTATCTTCACTGGCTTTGTGGCTCTTATTCCAGTGGATGGACTAGTAGTGCCGTCATGTGGTACTCTTGTTTAGTTTGTACTCTTGCTGATTGGTCTTCAGACCCTTGCCTCAGAGGTTGGACTAGTAGTGCCACTCTGAGCTGTGTGTCTCTTGCTAAGCACTGCCCCTTGTCCAGCCTAGGGGGTGTGTCAACTTATACATTTGTAATGTATGTCTAGTTATAGGCTAGACAGGTATGTGCTTTTAGGGAGTACAATCCACAACACAACTCATATAGCACCGTGTATGCCCTTGCTTAGTCGAATTTTCTACTCTGAGAGGAAAGCTGTCAATAGAACAGAGAAGAATCAAGATTTTTTCTGAAAGTGTGTAATAAAAGAAAATGAACACACTGAGAAAAAGCATGCACACAATGGTATCCATAGAAGGCACCACATGGATCAGTGGTGGTTGGCACGGATACTTATACTGCTATATTATTACCCTGTAATTCATATTCTCAGGCTGTTGTCCTACAGTGCAACTCAAACTCTGAAGAAATGAAAGATACATTGTAGGTACTCATTTTTTTTTGGGGTACGCGAAAACATTTACGAAGCTCGGCGAAATCAAGCTTATCGCAAAGTCGAGTTTCACTTCTTGGCGCGGAAAACCTGAAAGTCGCATTCACATCCCAACTACCCTGAGATCGTCACCACTGCACCTAGTCATGGAGAAGCAAACCAGCGGAGAAAGTTGAGCTCCTGACAAGTCCTCACGAGCAAGGTTGCCAGTTGCATAATGCGGGGAGATTTCTGACACAAGGATACGCGTCGAACGTTTTTTCATGGGGTCGCATCGATAAGCTAAGGCGCTGAGCCCGTAGTGTAGGGACATTGTAAACAGTGCTGGATATTGTCACAGCAAACAAGGCCCGCTCGTAAAGTCATGGTGACTGGTCGAGAGGAGAATGCTGATTCTGCTGCTGCTGCTAGCGCCAGCAGTGCTGCCGTTGCGTCTGTAGGTGAATTCCCAAGCGCCGCTGATTCGAGCAGAGACGAAACAACCTGTGAGTCAACTCAGGAGTCAGGTGAAAAGCCACCAGGATTAGGCACAGGTAGAGCGGAGCAGGCAGGAGGGGGAGCAGCGGCACAAAGGTTTCCTGGTCGCGAGACAACGGGAGGAGAGCCGCCAGCGCTGGAATCCGAAACCAGTCTTGAAGCAGGACGCTCCGAGCCTGCAGGACCGATAGGCAATGATACCTCCGCTTCTGTCGATGAAGGCAATGGAAGGATGGAAACAGCGTTATCTAATGAATCTGACAGGGTGCCTGACAATGGTAGTACCGGTGCTCAAATCGGCTCTAATGCGACGACGGCTACATCAGCAGCGTCGGAGCCAATGCTCGAGTCGCCTCCGTCATCGACGGCTTCTACAGCAACAGCGACGTCGCTAACAGGCGGGTTGTCACGACCGACGGCAGAGGCTGCTGTAGCACCCGACGCAGCAGCAGCAGCAGCAGCTGGCTCAGAGGAATCGCCAGTGGAGCCAAGAGCAACAGCATTGGAGCCAGTAGCTTCGGCAATAGCAGCAGCTGCAGCATCTGCATCTGTGGCATCAACCGGTGAACCTACAGCAATGATGATTCAAGTGGTTCCCACAGGAATGATGGTCTCAACAGCAGAGGCAGCACTCGCGACAGCAGTCTCAGCAGCAGCCGCCACGTCAGCAGCAGCTGTCTCTGCAGAAGTAGCAACCCCAGCAGTAACAGCCAACTTAACCGCAGAGACAGCACTCCTGGCAGCAGCAGCCGCCTCATCAGCAGCAGCGGCCTCTGCAGAAGCAGCAATCCCTGCAGTAACAGCCAGCTCAACAGCAGTAGCCGCCCCAGCAGCAGCAACAGCCCCGCCTGCAGCAGCAGCCTCAACAGCAGCAACGGTTTCCACAAAGGCAGCAACGCCAGCTGTAACTACAAGTTCAACTGCAGCAGCAGCGCCACCAGCAGCGGCAGCAGTCTCCACGGAAGCAGTATTTTCTGCAGCAACAGCCGTCCCAGCAGCAGCAGCAGTCCAACCAGCACGAGTGATCTCCGCAGCTGCAGTCCCACCATCAGGAGCAGTCCCCACGACAACAGCTGTCCCCTCAGCAGCCCTTCCTTCTGCAGACTCAGGTGGTGCACCCCACATGCGGAGACGAGCCGTCCCTCCCTTGACTGTCGACTTTGACAGCAGCGACGCCACTAGCAGCAAGCAGCAGGGCAAGCCGGGGGGGGCAGAAGATCAAGACACCCCTGATGACTCCTCTAGGGCCCGTTTTTCTGCTCTGTCTTTCGGTTTCAGCATAGGCCGTGTTCTAGGCGCGTTGAGGGACACGAGTGTGGTTAAAACGGTGGCTCCTGTAGCGGAGGGAGTGTGGGAGTGGATGGGGGGAAGCATAACCCCTGTGGGGGGAGTGGAGGCCGAAGGGGAGGGAGTGGAGTATGAGGTGGTGGGGAGTGGGTTTTTCATGGGGGAGGGGGATGAGACAGGGAGTGAGAGTGGGAGGGACACGCCTGGGTCGGCCCGTGCTGGTCTAGAGAGACTTGGTCTTGAGCCAGTTCACGATCCAGCCAAGCAAGGTACTGGAGGAGGGTCGGCAGCAGCAGGGAGAGACGGAGAGGGCGGAAAGGCAGGAGGAAAGACACCTGGAACAGCGGGAGGAAAAGCGAGAGGAAGCCGAGGGAGGGGGTTTCTGAAATGGCTGTTTCCTCGAGGCCGTTCCCTGGCGTCCGTCTTCACAGCGCACCTTGACTCTCCAACCTCCCCCTCCTCCTCCCCCAGTCGCAAGCGCCGCCGCTCCCACCACCGCTGGTGCCGCATCCACCCGCTCCTGCTCATCCCTCTCCTGCTCCTGCTCCTCCTGTCCGCGCTCCTAGGCCTCTACATCCTGTCCGCGCGGCAGGGCGCGCTGGTGCAGGGGATCAGGAGCGCGGGGGAGAGGGTGAGGCGGGGGAGCCAGCAGGAAATGGCTGGCGTGGTGGCCCGGGCGCACGACGCGGGGAGGATGCTGCCAGGGCAGGGGGTCTGGGAGGGCGTGGCAGGGGTGGGCGGGGTTGGGGGCGGGAGATTGGAGGAGAGGGGTGGTCAGGAGCGGTTGCAAGGATTTCAAGGGTTGGGGCAGCAGGGATTGCAAGGACTGGGGGAACAGGGATTGGGGGAGCAGGAATTGGGGGAGCAGGGCTTGGGGGAAGGTGAAGGGCAGGGGGGAGGAGGTGAGGCACGGGTAGATGCAGATGGAGGGGCAAGCAGTGGGGTAGCAGCAGAGAGCGCACAGCAGGCAGGGGAAGGTGCTCGAGCAGCAGCAGCAGAGAGGGGGGATGAGGGAGAAAGGGCAGGAGGAGAGAGCGGGGAAGTGGAAGGCGGCTTCTCTTCCGATACTGGCACTCAACAAAGCCCGGATGGGACAGAGGAGAGCCAGGGAAAACCAGCACAGACCCACCTCGACAGCAGCATCAGCGTCAGCAGCAGCAGCAGCAGCAGCAGCAGCAGCCGCAGTGGGCTATGGCAAAGACCCTCCTCCCTTGTGTTCCGCGCTCGAATGTCTCGGCGGTGCCGGGAGCAGCGCACAGTGGCAGCGTGCGGGCTCAGGCAGGGGGTGGTGATCGCGAGGGGCAGTCTGGAGGAGCGCATGGAGGCGGTCTGTGCCGCAGAGGCGCTCACCCTCCTCACCAACACCCGCTTCCGCACCCTCTGGACCCTCCGCCCCCGCCCCCGCGTCTTCCCCAAACGGGCCCAAAACGGCCGTGGGCAGGTGAAGGGTGGGCAACGCAGGCTGCTAGGGGAGTCAAGGCGATCAGAGAGGACACGGCGGCATAGGGAGGCCAGGCGCAGGATGTGGAGGAGGGGTGTGATGGGGGGAGGGAGGGTAGGGGGAGCAGGGCGGGGGGCAGGGGGAGCAGGGCAGGGGTCAGGGGGAGCAGGGGGGGCAGGGGAGGGGGCGAGGGGAGCAGGGGAGGCGGTTACGATGGCTGCGGAGGTGGGCATGGTGCGGTTTGGCGACCTGTTTGATGTGCACATGCCGGTGGACGTGCAGGAGAACGCCACCGAGTTCCTCCTCAGACACGTGGTGGCGGGGGAGAAACTTGCCCGCAAAGAGGTACGCTTCTTCCCTCTCCACTCCCTCCCAGGAGTCCTTATTCCATTGCCCGGAGCCTTCGGCAGCAGCCAGTCTTGGGAACGACACTGAGTTCCTGCTCAGACACGTGGTGGCGGGGGAGAAGCTCGCCCGCAGAGAGGTAGGCTTGGCGAGGCGCCATGCCCTTGGGAGCCGACCTCCTCAAGGCCATACCCGACATATGCCCACATGCCCAAGTGGGCTACAGCTTTATTCCTCATATTTTCAATATTCTTGCCTTTATACATGCTTTCAGATTCCCCTCTCCCTCCCTTTCCTCCCCCATAGCGTTCTGTTTCTTCCTGTCCTTCCCCTCTGTTTCTTCCCCCTCTCCCCTCGCTCTCCTCGCTCCCCTCGCTCCCCTCGCTCCCCTCGCTCCCCTCGCTCCCCTCGCTCCCCTCGCTCCCCTCGCTCCCCTCGCTCCCCTCCTCCCCCCCTCCCCTCCTCCCCCCCCTTCCCCCCTCCCCTCGCTCCCCCCCCTCCCTTCCTCCCCTCCCTCCCAGATCTCCTTCATCCGCTGCCCCGAGCCGTCCGCCGCAGGCGCCATCCCGTCTGGCATGAACCTTCTTCAAGCCACACCAGACGTGCGCCGATACGCGCAAGAGGTCACCAGAATGCGTAAAGCCACAGGCTGGGCTCCTCACGGATCTCCCAGCAATGGTCCTGGGGGTCTCCACGGTAACAGCAACAGCAGCAGGGTGGAGAGTGGTGAAGACCGGTACGGGCACTGGACTGCGCGCCTGCAGCTGTACACTGCGCGGTCGCTAGTGCTGCCGGACTTTGCCGACCGGCCCGTGGCGTGCCGGTACGAGGAGGAGGTGCGGGAGTGCCTGGGGAAGCTGCAGCCGTCTGATGCTGTGCTGTCCCTTATTCGGCAGGAGGAGAAGGAGGGGGGAGAGGGGAGGGATGGGGAGAGGGGTGGGGAGAGCGGAAGGGAGGGTGATGGCAGCAGTGTGGTGGAGCTTGTTGCGAGGAGCACTGCTGTGTATCTGGAGGTGAGTGCTTTTCCCAGGGGGGATGGTGAATTCCACGGAAAGAGCTGGCAGGGGCGGAGGGGAATGAAGGGAGGAGTGGGGAGAGACTCCGGAGTGGGAGTTGGGACTGGGGGCAGTGTGTTTCAGCATAGACTTGCTCCTTACCCTTCTCCTGACCCAGCCTGTTTTTCTCCTCCCTTCTTCTGTTCCCCCCCCTTCACCCTGCCTCGCCTCCTCCAGCCAGCCCACCCACCCCTCCGTGGACACTCTTCCAGGCCTTGATCGCGCATCTGACCTGCCCCTCAGCTTGTTTCGCTCCTCTCTTCTGCTCTTTCCCCTCCTCTCCAGCCCACCCCCCCCTGGACGCTCTTCCAGGCGCGTGCGCTGCCTTGTGCTGGCTGCCCGCCCTCTGACCTCCTCAACTGCACCATTCGCCGCATCGCCTACCACTACATGCGCACCCCGGGAACTTCTTTGTCTCCATCCTCTTCCTCCTACTCTTCCTCCTCGTCATCTTCATCTTCCTCCCTGCCTGACTTTCTAATCGGTGCATACTGGCCATCGGATGCTGAGACGCTCATCTCAGCCTTCCATCCGCTTCGCCGGCCGCATCTTCTGAGACTGACACGCCAGCGCCACGCAGCTTGCCCCTCTCCACCCCCTCTGTTGTTGCGCCCTGAGCCACGGTCAAGACGGTTTGAAGAGCGGCTGAGGCTGAGGATCAAGTATGGGAGGGCTGGAGGGGGGATGCAGGGCGCAGGAAGTGGGGGAGCACAGGGAGCAGAGAGGGAGGGCGAAGGGCGGGGAGTGGCACAAGGGGACGAGCAGAGAGTGGCAGAGGGCACTGGATCTGGTGGTCTAAATGATGAAGGCTACAGAGGGGGCGCGGCAGGTGCAGAGCAGCAGCAGCAGCAGCAGCAGCAGCAGCAGCAGCAGCAGCAGCAGGTGCGGTTTGTTGACCCACCGAGAGCAGCAGGAGGGGGCGTGGCTCTGGACCTGAGGGTGGTTAGCTCACAGGGAAATGGGGGTGGGGGGTTGCAGGGAGGCGGTGGGCTGGGAGGGGGGTTGCAGGGAGGCGGTGGGCTGGAAGGGGGGTTGCAGGGAGGCGGTGGGCTGGGAGGGGGGTTGCAGGGAGGCGGTGGGCTGGGAGGGGGGTTGCAGGGAGGCGGTGGGCTGGGAGGGGGGTTGCAGGGAGGCGGTGGGCTGGGAGGGGGGTTGCAGAGAGGGGGGCTGCAGGGAGACGAGGGGCAGGGAGGTGGCGGGCAAGGAGGGGGCGGGCAGAAGGGCAAGTACTGGGCGATGAAGCAGCGGCTGAAGCAGCTGGCAGAGGAGCGCAGAAGTCAGCGAGGAGTGTCTCGTACTGACGCCCCTGGTCGCACTGGCAGTGGCGGGGTGTTAACCAGGAGGCGCCTTTTGGCTGCCCAGTCAGCGTTGACCTGGCGCCAGCTGGCGGAATTGCAGGAGGAGGAGGCTGCGCGGATGGCAGGGCTGTCGAAGCCGAGAGATGATCGGCTGTGTGCTCGACTAAGGGTAGGCGTGGAAGTGTGCGTGCGTGTGTTCCCATCCATTGCCCATTGCAGTGTGTTTCCTCGCCTCACATGATGCCCGTTGCACCTTTTCAACCTAGATTCACTCACCTAATCAATCACACGTTTTCTAGACTCTCTCCCCACACCTGCAGTTAGCAGAGCTGTTCTGGCTGTCGCGAGCGCGTGCGTTCTTCAGTCTCTACCACAGCACAGCATCAGACTTCGTCCGTGCACAGATGGACTTCCACCACCGCTCCACACGGGGGGGCAGGCGGGTCGGCTCTGATCAGGGTTCAGGGACGGAGGGAGGGAGCGAGGGAGGGGTTCACTCTGCTGCTGCTATGGACGGAGGGGTGGGGGGTGTGGGAGGGGTGGGTGACGAGCTAAGTGTGTGTCAAGCGCCCCCTGTGCCGCCTGTCATCAAGAGCCGAGCGGCACGGCACATGATAGTGGATGGTGAGCCGCTCTCCTTACCACTCAGAAACATTCTAACCAGTGACTTACATCGTATTGATTCGATCTGAGACAGAGGAATGGCTCATCTTTCTGCAATGCCCGTCTTCTCCTCACCAGTGCTTCCGAGAGACATCATTGCAGCATCCCCACGGCTGTTTGGTGGTGATGCTCTTGTTTTCTCACCCACCTTGATTTCTCCAACCTTCCCTCCTCGATCCCCTCGGCCCACTCGTCAGAGCGGCTGAAGGCCATCTACTGCTACATCCCCAAGGTGGCATGCACGAGCTGGAAGCTGTGGTTCCAGCAGCAGAGGGGGCGCACCACCCAGGATGACATAGCGCATGTGCATGATGCGGATGCCAGTGGGGTGGACGAGCTGTGGTGAGTGCCCTTTTCCCCTCCCCACCCTCCCCTCCTTGCAGGTATGCATACCCTGAGAGTGAGGCCATCCGCCTGCTGCTGACCTGCCCTGACCTCTTGCACTACCCCTTGTCCTGCACGGCCTCTGTGTCCCTCGCCATTCTCCCACCCTGTCCCCTGCAGGCACGCTTTCACTGAGGGTGGGGCAACCCGCCCGCTCACGCGGCCCGACCATTTCTGGTTCACGTTTGTGCACAACCCCTTCTCCCGTATGGCCTCTGTGTCCCTCCCCGTTCGCCCACCCTGTCCCCTGCAGGCACGCTTTCACTGAGAGTGAGGCAATTCGCCTGCTCACGCGGCCTGACCTCTTGCGGTTCACGTTCGTGCGCAACCCCTTCTCCCGCATGGCGTCTGTGTTCCTCAACAAGCATGTCGCCTGGCCCAACCTGGACGACCGCCTGCAGTGGAACAAGGTGGGCTGCACAGCACAGGTAGAAGGGTGCAGGGTGCTCTGAGATCGCCTGCAGATGAGCACAGGTAGACGGTGCATTGACACTGCTTGTTTGTGCCAACCCTTCACTCACACGCACGAACTTCACAATACTGATCCTGGGTGCATCCAGTTTGACTTAAAAGAGGCAGGCCCCTTGTCACGAAACGCCCCTCCTCGCTCCTCGGCCCCTTTCCTCCCTCCTGGCGCCTACCCTTCATCTGAGTGCAGAATTTCTTTGGTTGGAAGCGCAGCAAGCTGCTGCAGATCGCCCCTCGGGACGCAGATTACAACATGACCTTCTCCACTTTCGTTACACTCACACTCGCTACAGTCACCAAGCACCGCGTGGGCATGGAGCCCCACATAGCCCCCCAGGTGGGTAATTGTCAGAGTTTATTTAGCCCTATTACAAGTCACACTATTTTTCCGATGCATCGAGACCTTTCCACCACCCCTTAGCTTCTCTCCCACTATATGTCGGGTTCTATGTTCCCGTTAGACCCTCCAATTTCCTCCTTCGCCTTGCCCTCCTCCTTCCAGGCGGACGTGTGTGATCTGGACAGCATCAAGTATGACTTTGTGGGGCGCTTTGAGCAGCTAGAGGAAGGGGTGGATTATGTGATGAATAAGCTCGGCGCATCACCGATGACGGCTTTTGGGGTGGGGAAGGAGGCACATCGCACTGATGCGGACGCACGCCTGCGGGAATTGTACACCAAGGTGAAGTAACCATGAGGCAAAAGGTTTCGCATGATGAGGGGTTGTTTTGATGGTTATTTTTGTCTGGAGAGTCTGATTCTTTTGTAGCTTGTCTTGTCGTCTTGTGAGGGATTTTAATGGGCCTGGGCGCTAGCTTTGAGTTGGTGCACTAAACCATCTCATGGGGACGTACCCTTGTTTGCTTGCCCTATGTTTCCTCTTGTTTCATGTGTTCAGGGAATCTATGAGCAAGTGAAGGGGCTGTATGCATCTGACTTCAATATTCCTCTAAATGGCATACATTATGAGCCTCCAGCCACATTGAGGGATGCATATGAGCAAACTTCTTACTGAATTGAACCTAGGCTCACTGATTAAAATTACGTATTTTGACCATTGATCACATGGGGTGTTTACCTACAATTAGACATAGGTAGCTTTCATATGTTCATTCACGCCGTTAACTTTCGTTTCTAGCCGTTGCGTGGCGACCTTCGTTAGCCGAGAAGTGGCCCATGGTCAATGGTTACGGAAGATAGCGAGTTTTCGATTGATGGTTTTCGTGCTCGCAAGTGCACGAAACCCACGGTTGGGGATTTCCCTGCTGATGACCGCAAGGTATCGTACCTGCTGGAATGTTTGGCTTGTGTGTCAGATCCTGCTCTTTTCCTGGACAGGCCATCTTAGCTTGAATTTTGGATCGTCACCGTTTCGATTCTTCCTCCTAGCCTAGTGATTTTGTCTGTCGATTTCAGCAATTCGTTGCAGGATCATCTGTTGCTTTTGTTATTCATAGTCGTGCCTCGCGTAACGTAGCTGAACGACATGGAGGGTTTCGATTACGAGGGTGATGCTGGTGTTGAGCAGCAGCAGCATGATGCACCTGCGTCGGATTTCCAGTCGTACAATGGCTTAGGAGAGGAGCATCAAGCAGCTGCTGGCGAATATGCCCCCCCTGCGGAGGAGAACGGCACTTTTGAGGACGGCGCGAAGCTTCCTCCCCCCTCACAGATGGGATCCGAGGAGTCGATTTTGCTAAGGTGAAGATTAGGTCAGATAGGACGAGGTGGTGGCTTAGCAGTTTATATTTGTAGACAGCGTTACATCTGTGGTCTCATCTGCTCTCTGTAATTTTCGGTCAGGGAATGGAGGAGGAAGAAGGCCATCGAGCTGGAAGAGAAGGCTCGAGTTTCGAGAGAGAAACATCAGCAGGTGACTTATGAGTGGTTACGATGCTTGCTGTTCATTTTGAACTGGCTGCGATCATCAAGCTTATCCAGATCCATTGGATGGAACTGGGATAATGAACAGGCGGGGATGATCATAATCTGGTCGTCTATTCTATTGTCTTGGCCCTTACCCCGTGCAGGTGTTGGATGACGCGAAAGCTGAACTGGAGGCTTTCTACAAGAAGCGTGAGATGCAAGTCACACAAGCCAAGACAAACAACAGGTTCGTGGTTGTTTATTCTAGCCATATCATACTTCAGCGAGTTCCTGTTCTGATGAGATCCTCTCCTTTCTGTTGCCAGGGACAAGGAAAAGGCATATGTAGACAATCTTCTGAGCCTCAACTCTAAGCAGGGTGGGAACTACTGGGAGAGTGTTTGTGCATTCACGAACTTCGATGTCTCTATTAAGAAGGAGAAGGCAAAGAAGAAGGATGAGCCAACCCGCATGTCGACTCAACTGAATGACGCTAAAGCTGGCAAGCATACCGATCTAGCCCGCATGCGCCAGGTAAGCTGTAGCAACTGTCTGTGTCGATCACTTGTTTTGAGGACAAGAGCATACGTTTCAATTTGTGGAATCTTTATGTGTATCGCTCACTGTGTCATTCAATTTGTGGAATCTCTCATTTCAGGTCTTGTTGAAGCTGAAGCACAACCCCCCTCCAGCATTCGCACCCGCTGCCGGTACTGCTGCTGCTCCTGCAGCTGCTTCTTCCAAGCCCAGTTCCACATCGTCGAAGTCAGCCAAGGCAGCTGCCAAGTAGACTCCCTGGCTGTCAAGTGACTTTGCCCCATTGTGGATTACACCTCATGCGAATTTGCGGCTAATCAGTTTGTATGGTTGTCTCAGGCTGGCTTCTTGATACTGGAAAAACGCTTGCACATAGTTTGATTACATGGAGTTGCACAAAACTTGAACAATTTAATCATTCCAGCTATCAAACATGTGTATCTCCTATGTTTGTATAGACTGTATAGGGCCACCTCTTAGAGGGTACAACACTTAGGTGTATTCACCTGTACTCTCTCACTACTCAACATTCACTTCTCACTTTAATATGGTAACACGCGTAGGTTAGGATCCCCCCACCTACCGCTTCCGCCCCTACCCTAGCTAGGCCCCGTTGCGCCCCTCCTAGCCCAGTCGCGCCCCTCCTGGGCCCCGTCGCGCCTCCTAGCCCAGACGCGCCCCTCCTGGGCCCTGCCGTGCCTCCTAGCCCAGTCGCGCCCCTCCTGGGCCCCGTCGCGCCTCCTAGCCCAGTTGCGCCCCTCTTGGGCCCCGTCGCGCCTCCTAGCCCATTCGCGCCCCTCCTGGGCCCTGTCGCGCCTCCTAGCCCAGTCGCGCCCCTCCTGGGCCCCGTCGCGCCTCCTAGCCCAGTCGCGCCCCTCTTGGGCCCTGCCGCGCCTCCTAGCCCAGTCGCGCCCCTCCTGGGCCCCGTCGCGCCTCCTAGCCCAGTTGCGCCCCTCCTGGGCCCTGTCGCGCCTCCTAGCCCAGACGCACCCCTCCAGGGCCCCGTCGCGCCTCCTAGCCCAGACGCGCCCCTCCTGGGCCCCGTCGCGCCTCCTAGCCCAGTCGCGCCCCTCCTGGGCCCCGTCGCGCCTCCTAGCCCAGTTGCGCCCCTCCTGGGCCCCGTCGCGCCTCTTAGCCCAGTCACGCCCCTCCTGGGCCCTACCGCGCCTCCTAGCCCAGTCGCGCCCCTCCTGAGCCCCGTCGCGCCTCCTAGCCCAGTCGCGCCCCTCCTGGGCCCTACCGCGCCTCCAAGCCCCGTCCCACCCCCCCCTGGGCCCCGTCGCGCCTCCTAGCACAGTCGCGCCCCTCCTGGGCCCTGCCGCGCCTCCTAGCCCCGTCCCACCCCTCCTGGGCCCCGTCGCGCCTCCTAGCCCAGTCGCGCCCCTCCTAGGCCCCGTCGCGTCCCCCCTAGCCCCGTCGCGCCCCTTCTGGGCCTCGTCGCGCCCCTCCTCGGCCCCGTCACGCCTTTTAGCCCTGTCGCGCCCAGCTTGGCCCCGTCGCGCCTGGCCCCGTCGCGACCGCCTGGCCCCGTCGCGCCCTACCTAGCCCCGTCGCGCCCCTCCTGGGCCTCGTCACGACCGCCTGGCCCCGTCGCGCCCTGCCTGGCCCCGCCGCGCCTGCCTTGCGCCCGTCCCAGCCGCCTCCGCGCCCGTCTGCTCGGCCCCTGCGCCTGTCCCAGCCGGCCCCGCGCCCGTCCCGTCGGCATGGTGCCCATTGCTTCTGGCCCGCGCGCCCGTCCTGCCCCGAGCTGTGTGCGGCCCGCCCGTCGTCCCTGCCCCGGCCCTGCATCCTCCCTCGTACTGTTCCTCATCACCTGCACCGCCCTGCACCGCCCTACACAGCCCTGCACCGCACTGCACTGCACGGTACTGCCGTGCACCACACTGCACCGCCCTGCACTGCCCTGCACTGCGCTGCACCGCACTGCACCGCCCTGCAACGCACTGCACCGCGCTGCACCGCACTGCACTGCACTCCATCGTCCTACACCGCACTGCACCGCACTGCACAGTCCTGCACTGCTCCTGATGGCGGCGGAACTTCGCTTCGACGCTGAAGGCCAGCCTCTGGAGTTCGAGGCGTGGCTTGCCGACCTCCGTCGTCACCTCACTGGTCATCGGCAGGATGGCCACCCGCTTTCCGCACACCTTGACGGTACGCTCCCCTACCAAGACACCACTGCTGTTCTGCCCGCTGATCCCACACCCGCTGAGCGCGAGTCTACTGCAGCCACTGCCCTTGCGCGCTCTGTCCGGCTTTCCCGAGACGCTGTCGCTCAGCTTGCCATTAGCAATGCCCTTCCCCCGTCTGAGCGCCCTCGCTTTAGGTCAATCACTACCGCCCAGGCTTACTTAGATGCTGTCATCAAGCGCTATTCCACCCCTCCTGCTGCCTCGGTGGGTCGCCTGATCCTCCCGATGCTCTTTCCCGACCTTGCGTCTTTCCCCACTGTCTCTGGCCTAGCTGCCCACCTGCGCTCAATAGATGAGACATGGCGCGCTGCCTGCACTGACACACAGCTTAGAGCCCACTAGCCGCCCATTACCTCTACACTCTACCTGCTTGCCACCCGCCTCCCTGACCGCCTTGCTGTCGCCCGCGACCGCTTCCTTAGCATCCACCCCGGTGAGCTCACCCTCCCCGACTTTGTAGACACCCTGACTGTTATCGAGACCCGCCACCGCTCCATCGCCCAGGTGAGCGGTACCGTGCCGGTCCCTATCTTTCAGGATTTTGCCCCCGCTCAGTGTACCTTCTCCGACGGTTCTGTCGCTGTGGCTGAGACTGCTGCTGCAGCGCAGCTTCGTTCGGGGAAGGGCCGCCGCCCCAAGGCTGGGCGCGGCGGAGGAGGCGGGACTGCAGGAGGGGGTGGTGGTGGCGTCGGGTCGTCTGGTGCTGGAGCGGACGAGGGGACCCTGCCTGGTCCAGCGGAGCCGCCGGCACGGACAAGCTCACTGCCCGCACCCTTCCCTGCGTCTTCCTAGGTTTCCCCCTTGACGCGTCCGACTGGCACTTCTACCACCCGCCGTCTCACCGCTTCTTTCACTCTCGCGACGTCACCTTTGACGAGTCCGTCTCCTTCTACCGTCGCTTCCCCCACCACGGTCCCCCGGTTACCTCCCCCCCTGTTCCTGGTCACTCCTCCCCCGGTAGTCCCTGCCCCCCCCCCCTCCTCCCTGTCCTGCCCCCTCACGTGTGTCCCATGTCTCCCCTCTTTCGTCGGTGGTCCCGGTTGAGGAGTCTTCTGACTCTGGTGGTCCTGCGGCTCAGTCCTCGCCGGCTGCCCCTCCCCAGGCGTCCCCTCCTCCACCGCCTCTGCCGCCGCCGTCGCCCTTGCTGTCGCAACCGTTGTCACCTCCGCCGCCGCCGCCGCAGCCGTCGTTGTCGCTGCCGCTGCCGCTGCCGTCGCAGCACCCGTTCGTTGACTCTGGGGGTGCTGGTGTTGGAGTGCGTGCTAGTCCCGGTAGCCCTGGTGGTCGTACCGGTCCTCGAGGGGCTTCGGACCCTGGGGGTGTTCCCTCTGGGGGTGCTGGCGTGGAGTGTACCGGTGGTAGCCGAGGAGCAGCTTGCGGTCCCGGTGTCGGCGTTTTGCCGCCGCAGCAGCAGTCCCCGCCGGTGTCAGCCCTTCGCCTGCTCGGCCTTCCATCCCCTGACGCTGCGTCTGTTCCTCCTCGGCCGTCTCCTCCTCTTCCCATGTACGGCCATGTGTTCCCTTCGCCGGACTCGTCCCCGGCTCGTTTCCCCCCTTGTTCCCCCCTTGTGTCCCCTCCTCTGTCTCCTGACCCAACGCCTCCGTCTCACGCCTGGTCCCCCCGTCCCTCCCGCTCTCGTCCTGTCTCCCCTGTCCCGCGCTCTCATCCTATGTTGCTCCGTTCTCACGCGTCTCGTCCTCCCCTTCTACCGTCGCCTCCTCCGTCCTCTCTTACCGTTGTGCCCCCCCCTCTGTCTGACTACCTTCGTGCCGCTCGTTCTCTTGTTCCTCGTGTCCTCGCCTCTCTCGTTACTTCCCGTCAGTTCCGGTCTCGTACCTTGCTGCTCTTGTCGCTGTGGTCGCTGACTTCGCCTCTACCCGCCGCCTTGACTACGCCACCGCTCTGGTCTCTGACCCTGCCTGTCCTCCGTCTGTCGGGGGTGCTCCTGCCCTTGGCAGTGACGTCCTGGAGGACCGCCAGTTCGAGCTTGCTTTCCTATCCGAGGCTGCTCCCCATCTCTGTTCCATGCTGCTAGTCCCTGAGGGTGACCCAGACGCTTTCGACATCCCGACCCCTCGCACTTACGCTGAGGCGACCTCGGGACCTTGGGCCTCGCAGTGGATAGCTGCCATGGAGCAGGAGATGGCATCTTGGAGATCCACCGGCACCTTCGTCGACGCAGTTCCCCCGCCTGGGGTGAACGTAGTCGATGGCCGCTGGCTCTTCAAGGTGAGGCCCCTCCCTAGAGAGCTGCCTGTGTTCAAGGCGCGCTACGTGGCTAGAGGCTTCAGTCAGCGTGAGGGGGTGGACTTCTTCCAGACCTTCGCTCCGACCCCGAAGATGACTACTCTTCAGGTTCTGTTACACCTAGCTGCTCAGCATGACTACGAGCTTCACTCTCTCGACTTCTGCACTGCCTTCCTGCAAGGCAGCCTGCACGAGCAGGTCTACTTGTGTCGCCCTCCGGGCTTTACTGGCACCTTCCCTCCTGCGCCAGGCTCCCTGTGAGTGGCACGACACGCTGCGTGCTACCCTTGCTGACCTGCAGTTCTTTCCGTCTTCTGCAGACCCCTCACTCTTCGTTCGTACTGGCCAGACTCCGTTCTACATCCTTGTTTACGTCGACGACCTGGTCTTTGCCAGAGCAGACAAGGAACTGGCCTCAGTGAAGGCAGAGCTGCTGAAGAGACACACGTGCACTGACCTTGGAGAACTGTGCCGTTACCTTGGCTTGCAGATCTCCAGGGACAGAGCAGCGCGCACCATCACCCTGAATCAGTCACACTTGGTGCGCCAGGTCCTTCAGAGGTTCGGCCTTCAGTTCTCCTCTGCACAGCCCACCCCTCTGCCTGTAGACCACAGACTCTCTGCTCCAGTTTCTAAGGAGTCGGTAGAGCCCAGCGGCCCCTGCGCAGAGCTGGTGGGTTGCCTCATGTACCTGATGACTTGCACTCGCCCAGATCTCGCATACCCTCTCAGCATCCTGGCTCGCTTTGTGGCCACAGGTAGACACCGACCGCAGTACTGGTCTGCCACTAAGAGGGTTTTGAGTTATCTTGCTAGTACATCAGGCATGGGGTTAGTGCTAGGAGGACGTGGGCCAATGGTCCTTATTGGACACACAGACGCTTCTTGGGCAGACAACGCCGAGACACTCAGGTCTACCCAGGGCTACTACTTCAGCCTTGGCTCAGGTGCCGTCTCGTGGAGAGCTACCCGCTCCTCGTCTGTTGCCCAGTCCAGCTGTGAGGCCGAGATCTACGCTGGTGCCATGGCGGCACAGGAGCTCCGCTGGCTGACCTTCTTGCTCACTGACTTAGGTGAGCGGCCTAGCTCTGCCCCAGTCCTGTTTGCTGACAACAGGGTCATGATCCTCCTGTGTCAGGAGCCTCAACTCGAGGGCAGAGCGAAGCATATTCAGCTGCTGTACTTCCTCTTGCGCGAGCTACAGCAGCGACGCCAGGCTCGCGTAGTACACTTGGCCTCAGGTGCCAACACAGCTGATATCTTTACGAAGGCGCTTGTGCCTAAGATCATCATCGGCACTGTGTACGGCTTGGTCTAGTTCGTGTAGCCTCTCACTTGCTAGGGCCTTGACTTTGTACTGTCCTTTATATGTGTACTCAGACTGGACTTGTGTCCTCTACCAGTGGCTGGAGTAGTAGTACCGCCCTGGTCCTGTTCTTGCCTTGTCTGTACTCCTTCTGACTGGTCTTTTAAACCCTTGTCTTAGAGGCAGGACTAGTAGTGCCGCCCTGAGCTGCTTGTTCAGGACCTGCCCCTATGCAGTCAAGGGGGTGTGTCAAACATGTGTATTTGCTATGTTGCATAGACTGTATAGGGCCACCTCTTAGAGGGTACAACACTTAGGTATATTCACCTGTACTCTCTCTCTACTCAACATTCACTTCTCATTTTAATACCAGCCTATACCTAATGGCTTGTATCAGACCCAACCATAAGTTACTGAAATGGGGTAACTATTACCGAGTGATCTTGTAGCTCTGCACACAATGTGAGATGGCATGTAATGAGTACATGCATCAAGCAATTTCTGCATGAAATATGAAAGAGGAACATACCTTCACTTGTGCTAGCAGTTTCTTCGCATCGGTGTTTGTCTTGAAGTGGTCTCTCAGGGGCTGCACGACAATGTTTGTCATAAGAAACGAGTAGCAACAAGCAGGCAAAAAAGCCAAGCAGGGAAAAAATAAATGTCTGGTCTGGTGGGCTTACCTGGAGGATCCGGTTCAGTGCTTTGGAGAGGGCCAACTTGAGGTCGCCTGGGTGCAGTTTACCCTCTTTGTAGTCCGCACACAGCTGCTCTGCATCAGTGTAGATACTGAAAGGGCAGGAAAGCGAGTTGCACGTGGTGAGGTGGAAAGGCAGAGTGGGGAGAGAACAGTGAAGCAAGGGACATGCAGCAGTGTGGCAGGCGGTGACGAGAGATTTGGGCAAAGGACAGCAGGGACCGGAATTTGGGCCAGGGAAGTGACAGATTGTGAGCAAAGCAAAGCCCAATGTACTCACGTGTTGCCTCCGTGCTCCTCCTTGCGCTCCACCTCAAACTGCTTGAACCAGGGCAGCATGATGTACTACACGTAGGCAATGCACGGGTTCCCCTCCACCTCCCCTGGCGAACAGAATGCCTTCTTGATCTTCACATTCACCTCCGCCTGACCAGAAAATATAAAGGACACAAGCTTGTTAGGCACTTGCAGTGGATAGTGGCTGTGGTGACATCGGCCTCCTAAAATTTTCATCAGGTAAATCTTTTCCCGATGCAAGAATGGCTTACCTCCTCGTCCTCCATGAAAATTGCAGAGTTTGGGTCACTCTTTGACATCTTCTCCTGCCCTTGCAGCAACCCGGGCAGCATGTCTGCGTACACACCAAACGCATTCAAACAGTGAGTGCACAAAAGAGTCATGGAAGTATGGCAGCAGCAAACGGACAACAAACAGGATGTAAGACTGCCAGGAACTAACAGACAGCCTTTTACAGCACCGGAGAATGATAATGGGAGAGCTCAACCTGCACTGCTTACGGTGCGAGAGGATGATGGGCTTCATCTTCCTCTTGATGTCGTCGTAGTACTCCCTGGCCAACACGTTCACCTTGCGCTGATCCATGCCCAGCTGGCAGATGTCCGCCTGCCATGCGCACGTGCAAGGACGAAACCAATCACTGACAATGCCGCATGGACCAGTTGGTAGGGAATTCGAGCCAACGAGCTTGGCTTGCCTGGCATGGCAAGTGCATGGCAAAGGTCAACGGAATATTCACAGTTCACAGTTCTGAAAGAGATTTTTAGGGAGCAGACCTTGAGGAAGAAGATGTCGGCGCAGTGCATGCACAGGTAGAAGATCTGAGCTGCCGACAGCTCGTCAGTCTCGTTGCGCCCCATGATCTGCGAGCACCTGCGGTACTCCAGGGGGGGAGTCCGGGTGATGGAGGGGAGGGGAGAGATAAGGGGGAAAGGGAGAGGGGGCACGAAGGGGACATAGGTGTGCAGGAACAGAGGCCTGGATGGGGAAGAGGCATAGGGGAAGGCAGGCATGGCAGCTTGCTCGTCTTGGTAATACCCATAGTGACCAGCAATCGCCTGCCTGGTCGTCTGCCTACCAAACCATCCCCTCTGCTTCCCCTCTCCCCAGCCCGCCTTCCTCCGCCTCCCCACCACCTGAGGTTCCTTGGGAGCTTGTTCTTCCTGGCGATATACATCCATGACCAGCGGCCAGTACTCCCCAGCACACCCACCTGCCTAGGCACGCTCCGCCTTCTTTCCCTCTCCTCAGTCCGCTCCCTCTTCCTAATCCCCCTCTCTCCCCACCTAAGGATCCTGGGAAGCTTGTTCTTCTGGGCGATGTCCATCACGAGAGGCCAGTACTCCCTGGCCCGCCCGTTGATCTCTTCAGACAACTAGAGGAACTCCACGCGCGTGAGGTCCATACCCACTGCGCGCCACACCTCCATCATGTAGCGACCAACAGTCTGGATCTTCTTGAGATCGCCGCCCATCTTGTTGTTCAGCTGCGCGAACCAGTCAGCCACCCAGAACTTGAAGATGCAGCCAGATCGGGTGAGCTTGTTGACATTGAGCGCCTTCATCACACCCTGAATAGGGGAGGCACGGGAGGGGAGGGGGGGGGGGGAGAGGGGAGGCTGATTTGCCTGTCTCTCAACACTCCCTGAATAGGGGAGTCAAGGGAGGGAGGTGGGGGGGATCGGGGGGGTTGTTTCGCCTGTCGTTCAGCTGTGCGACCCAGTCGGCCTCCCAAAAGATGAAGGTGCACCCGCGGATTCCGTCAGCTTGTTGACGTTCAGCGCTTTCATCACTCCCTGAAGGGAGGAGCGGGGGAGATGGGAGGAGGGGGACGGGGGCGGAGGGTGTGGGGGGGAGGGAAACGGGGAGGTGAAGGAGGAGGGCGTGTTGTGAGGGAGGAGATAGGGATTATGGTGGGTGTGACTCACTGTGCGACGTGCGACTCACTTGAGCGATGTGCATGCGACCGGAGGGTTCGAAGCCATCGTACGCGACGGGGTTTTTCTTCTTGAGCAGCAAGTTCCGCAGCTCGTCCTCCTGAATGCACTCCTCACCCACGCTCCGCACCAGCGCGTACCGCTCGTCCAATGTCATCCTGCCACGTGGACATTCCAAAGAAACCGGCAACATCAGCAATAACGACCCCCCCCCCCCCCCCCCACCCCGAACCCTCCTCCTTGCTACGGTTTCTTGCTTTGATCACGACAACCGAACCCGAATGTCTCGAAGCGAAAACGACGAAGACGAGGGAGAGGACGGTAGAGCATATCTGGGGCCGGCGGGCGATCGCTATGAGGACTGAAGCAAAAGCGCTGAACGAAAGCGCAAGGGCCTGGGAAAGGACCAGCGGGTAGCAGGGGTAGAGCATATCTGATCGCACCCATTGAACGACCCCGCGAGCTGATCCACGTCAGCAGCGGGAGCGGGAGCGGAGGATTCAGGCGCCGCTTGCGCGGCTGCCGCCACCGCGTCGGACCCTTCCGCGGACATTGCGGGCTGCCGAGAATTCGCAGAAATTCGTTATAAGAGGAAGTAGGGAAAGCAGCTGAAAACTAGGGCCTCGTGAGTGGTTTTTATATTGAGGCTGGAGAGGTCTTACTGTAGCGCTCGGTATTCCGGAGGGCGTGGTTTGATGGGGCATGGTGGGGGGCTGATATCATCGGCATGATTAGCTCGTTTGGCGCCCATGCCTCGCCTTCGTGGAGTGGTTTCAATATTGTGGAACGAACCAACTAAAAGACACTACTCTTTAATCAAACATAACAACGTAGGAGCCATAAGCGACCTGTGAATAGATATTCCAGCCCCTAAAAGCCTAATACATACCGCAACATCACTAAAATGGCAAACAAACTCGAGTCAAGCTTGTGTTTCTTTTGCCCTATCTACTATGCCCTTTATTGCGACTGGTGCGAGCCTTATTTACTTCCCCAAAGAGCTCTAGTAATCTTGGGGGAGGTGAAAACGAGATGTTGTTGAGCGGCACAGTCATGTCTATAGAGAGAAACTCAACCGCCTCATCATAAGCTCTCTGCAAAACCAAGAAGCAACGGGAATATGACATTTTTATGCACATTTGCAGTGAGAAATATGAACCACAGGTCAGGCCCATACAGAAAATGGCATGGATCAACCAACCTGATCGAATAGATCGAGGAATTTGTCGCGAGCATTGGTGGGGTGGGCTGATTTCCCGATGGAGAAGGCTTCAGACGTGATGGTGCGATTCAGCCGCTGCATCACCACCGGAACGTCCTCTGCCAGGTTTTCAAAATGGCCCACAAAGTCAAAGCGAATGTCATTCAGTCGACAGACGTCCACCTGAAAGAGGCCAGGAGAACGGGTGGATGTGTGTGGGGGGGGGGAAGGGAAAAGGGGTGGTTTATGGATGGGATGGATGGGAAGGATGGAACAGCTGCCGCATGAGACAACAAGAGCATCCTCCTCTCTGCCACGCTGGGTTAGGTTTTTGAGAATTCTCATAAGGATCATCCTCTCTGCCACCGAAAGCTGTTCAACCTGCCCACATCCACCTGGGGAGACAAATAGGAGGGAGAACAAAATTGAAAAGGTCAAGGGAAAGTCCATGAGCAGGGTTGTGAAAAATGGGGAAGACTCGGGCAGACACTGGCAAGGCTATGCAAATTTACTCAAGGGGACAGCTATCACACTGAGCAAACAATCACAGCTGCAAGGCACCTGAGGGGCACAAAAAATCACCTGAGATGCACCTGAAACCCACGGGGGGGGCGACATGGGGGTCCATGGTGCGTCGCCGCCTCTTGAACATGGTTCTCAGCAGGCCCACAAAGGCCCCAGACTGCAGAAGGTCCGACCGTTCTGGTGCTCCGCCATCCACCGACCTCTCCGCCTTGCATTGCGGATCTCTTGGGGGCGCATCACCAGGAAATGCAACCACACTCAGCAGCACAGCGCACCCACGACGAGGAACAGGAGGGTCTTACCTGGGGAGCAGCATGGGGGTCCACGGTGCGCCGACTCCGCCTGAACATGGTCCGCAGCAACCCCACAAAGTCAAGTCCCCAAACTGCAGCAAATCCGACCCGCGCTGGTGCTACACTCACTTAGGCATGCACATGAGGGGAGCAGATGTCTCTCTTACCTGAGGAGCAACATGGGGGTCCATGGTGCGTCGCCGCCTCTTGAACATGGTTCTCAGCAGCCCCACAAAGTCGGCAAACTGCAGCAGGTCCGAACCGTTCTGGTGCTCCACCAGCCACTGGAACGGCCTCGTGCCGTGGAAAAACCGCTTGTTCCAAAACGCCCGCCCCTGCGGCGGCCCCCCGTTCACATGCTTGTTCAGATAAGCCGAGGCGAGGCGCGCAAACGGGTGGCGGACAAAGGTGAACTTGAAGAAGTCCGGGCGGGTAAGCAGCGCCATGACGCGGGATTCGGTGTATCCAGACGCGAGGACGTGGAGACCTGAATGCTTGGGGTCGTGTGCGAGATAAACGTCGGAGATGTTGGGCAGGTTATGCTGCTGGCGGAACCACACCTTCCAGCTCGTGCAGGCGGCCTTGGGGACAAAGCAGTAGATGGTCTTGAGCTCCTCTGAAGGGTGGGAGCAAGGGGTGTGCAAAAGGGGCATTCAGGAACAGGTCAGCTGAAACACTCTTTGGCAGTTCATATTTGTTTCGGGCATGTCCCGCGCGTACGTTTCTCGCTTGAAACCCTACTCCACCATTTTAAGTCGTTATCAGTACATTCCGCCCCGCACCGCAGAGAATCTCACCCAACTGGAATCAAATGTACGCGCGGGACGTGCCCTCATAATAGCAAGCGCGTTCAGCGAGATAACACTTGCAGTGGAACAGCAAGAGAAGTAGTACTATTGGGTATTGGAAAACTCACCATCCATGAGGTACTGCCGCAGGAACCACATGTTCGTGAACGGCGGCTCTTCTCAGGCTCTTCACGCCAGCAAGGCAGCAGGGTCGAGGAAACAACGAGCAAGGTTCCCTGGCAATAAGGGGCACTCACCATCCACGAGGTACTGCCGCAGGAACCACATGTTCTTGAACGGCGCCTGCTCAGGCGCCTCACACACCGACGGACCCACCACAAACGAGGATGCAGAGGAGGGGGAGGTGGTGGGCGCAGCAGTGACCACAAAGGATCCGCCATCATCGTTGTCACCCTTGGCTGTAGCAGGAGCAGCAGCATCCGTAGCTGTAGCACCACCACCAGCAGCAGCTCCTGCGTTCTGATTGGTCCGCGCCCTGGCTTGTGCGTGGATGAACAGTGCCTCCACGGAGGGCCGCGTGTGGATGAGCCCTCGAGCCGACGACAGCAGGAGAAGCTCCGCCAGCTGCAGCTGATGGCACAGCGTTAGGTCCGGTGCAGTGCTGCTGCTGCTGCTGCTGCTGGTAGCAATGGTGGTTGCACTGCTGGCTGTGGTACCGCTGCTACCTCTTCTGCTGCCGCTGCTACTGCTGTCAGCGGCGTTAGAATCCTCACCTTCACTCTCTACCCCTCTGCCTCCACTGCCTTCTTCCAGATCTCCTCCCGATGCATCCTCCCCCTCCCCCTTCTCCTCCTCCCCCCTCTCCTCCCCCTCCCCTTGCACCTCTGCCTCATCCCCACTCTCTCCCTCACTCCCACTCTCCTCCTCCCCCCCTCCCTCCATATCCCCTCCTTCCTCCAGCACCCATCGTCTTCGCGTCCCTTTCGCCGGATTCCCCACTCCCTCGCTCTCGCTCTGCTCCTCCCTGCTGCTGCCAGGCTCCTGTGCCTCCCCCTCGGGTACTTGTTGCTCCCCCTCAGGTCCTTGTTGCTCGCCCTCAGAAGATCCTGCCTCACTGCTGCTTTCAAGCAAAGAGCCAGAGGGGGAGGAGGAGGCCATGAGAGGGGGAGCAGAGGGAGAGGGGGAGGAGGGGAGGGAGGGAGTAGCAGGGCAGCCAATGCTGATGCGCTTGATGGTGTGGGGGAGGAGGAGGGGGGCGCGCAGGGGGTGGAAGGTGCCAGCGACTGTAGCAGCGTCTGTAGCAGAGGCGGCTGCTACAGTGAAGTCCACGTCAGCAGAGTTGGAAGGCACTCGCAGGTAGCGCCACGTCATCGTGCGAAGGGTGCAGTTCAGCAGAGGGTCCTCGGGGCACCCTCCACACGTGCCAGATGGCATCGCCTGATTCGCCTGTTGAAAAATCATGTGACAAATGAGAAAGGGATTTTGCTGAAGGTAACAAAAAGCAAGAGAATAGAAATCATGTAGATTTCCAGTCTTAAAACATTACCAAAACAACATCTTCTGCAGGAGTTTCCTCACCTCAAGGTACACTGCTGTACTCGATTTAAGCCTGGAAAATTTCGACCCTGCCATTCCCTCCTGACCATCCTGCCCATCTTCTAGTTCTCCTTCCAGTAATCTGCTGACACGTGGCGAGGGCTGGAGAGCACCCAAACATGACTGGAAGAGGCGGAGGGCGGAGCAGGCCTCGGGGGGAGTCTGGGGGGATGCTCAGCGGGGATTGGGTTGGGGGAATGGGGGAAGGGAGGAATTGCAGGGGAAGGGGGGTTATAAGGAGCAGTTTGGGGACCGTTGCCCGTCCAACCACCCACGCACTTCCTTCCCCAACCCATTTCTTTCATTCCTCTATGCGCGTGCATGCCCTCCCTTCCCCTCACTCCCCCACTTCCCCCACCTCCCCGACCCCTTGCCCCTTTTTCCCCTTGCCCCTTTTTCCCCTTGCCCTCCTTTTCCCCTTGCCCCCTCTTTCCCCTTGCCCCCTCTTTCACCTTGCCCCCCTTTTCCACTTGCCCCCCTTTTCCCCTTGCCCCCCCTTTCCCCGTGCCCCCCCTTTCCCCGTGCCCCCCCTTTCCCCGTGCCCCCCCTTTCCCCGTGCCCCCCCTTTCCCCTTGCCCCCGCTTTCCCCTTGCCCCCGCTTTCCCCCTTGCGTACCCAATTCTGGTGAATAAGCGTTTTCAGATGACGTGGCACTTGCAGAGACACCTTCCAGCCTGGATGCACGAAGCCCGTGCCAGGTGTCGCGCTTTCGTTGGCTGCGTCTTCCGAGCAATGGGGCACGTCCACCTGGGATGGAGGATGGGTGACGAGGATTCCTCACAGAACGGGAGTGAACGAGGTGGCATGGAAAAATGTGTGGAAATAGGCGCATATTTCGGTATAAGCTCGCTATTCCGAGCAATTGGGCATGTCCACCTGGGATAGCGGATGGGAGAGAAAGGATCAGTAAGTTCAATACACAACTAGATAGCGGGAAGCGGGCAGCGGGAAGCGGGCAGAGGGCAGCGGGCAGCGGGCAGCGGGCAGCGGGCAGCGGGCAGCGGGCAGCGGGCAGCGGGCAGCGGGCAGCGGGCAGCAGGCAGCGGGCAGCGGGCAGCGGCCAGCGACCAGCGGGCAGCAGGCAGCGGCCAGCGGCCAGCGGGCAGCGGGCAGCGGGCAGCGGGCAGCGGGAAGCGGGAAACGGGCAGCGGGCAGCGGGCAGCGGGCAGCGGGCAGCGGGCAGCGGGCAGCGGGAAGCGGGAAGCGGGCAGAGGCCAGCGGGCAGCGGGCAGCGGGAAGCGGGCAGCGGGAAGCGGGCAGCGGGCAGCGGGCAGCGGGAAGCGGGCAGCGGGCAGCGGGAAGCGGGCAGCGGGCAGCGGGCAGCGGGAAGCGGTCAGCGGTCAGCGGCCAGCGGGCAGCGGGAAGCACGCAAGGGAAGCGGCGGGAAGCGGGCAGCGGGAAAATGGGGCATCCACGTCTGCAGTCATCACTCACCATGATCTTCTCGAGCCCTTCCCCCACTCCGCTCTCCCCGTCTCCGCCGCTTCCCCCCTCCTCCACCCGCATGTCCGGCCAAGACTCCGCCAATCCGCGGGGAAGGTCCATTCGGCTTCGCGAGGGTGGACCTTCAAACAATTCGCGGAATGCCGCATCCGCATTTCCCCTTTCCGCTCCCCCGTCCGCTACTTGTTGCGCCCACACTATGGTCATGCGCCTGGCCTCCCCTTCCCCTCCTCCCGCCCCTGCGCGGAGTCCCAGGCGCGTACCCGCGGGTTGCGCCCACCCCTCCCCCGTCCGCTGCTGCTGGCGGCGCCACAGCGTTGCCGCCACCGCGGGGGCGAGACAGAGAGACTGTAGCCGCGCGGGAAGGTCGCCCTGGTTGGGGGAAGATGGGGCGAAGGTTGGGGAAAGGTTGGGGAAAGGTTGGGGAAAGGTGAAAGGAGGGCACGGGGAGGTGTATAACGCGGAGCGGAAGGGGGAGCTTTGACTGACAGCTGGTGTTGACACGTTACTGTAACGTACGGCTGTGCATGTTGGCGTGACATCTGCCTGATTGTGAGTCCGCGGCAATACCCTCTATAGAAGTACTTCTACTAGTTAGTACCTCTGCCATAGCGACAACTTCATCGTTGTTCGTCTCTGGATTGCTGCTCTGTTCCGTCCGAGTCCCCTCCGCTCTCCCATCCGTCGCCGCATCAGCCGCCGCATTTGTCGCTTGCAGAATTGGCAGCGAGGACGACGCGGAAAACGCGGATTTAAGCAGCAGCTTTTGCGGGGATTGCGGCGAGACTACCAGCACCGCCGCTAGGGCGACTATAACTGCCGAGGCGAGCGCTAAGGACACGAAACACCCGAATCGCACGGAGTCTGTGAAGTCCTTCTTTCCGCGAAGCTTCTGCCAGTCACCGGGGCTGGCGACGATGTGCGACCAGCGGGAGACTGCTGCGCGGACGATACTTCCGCCATCGCGACTGTGCGATTCCGGTAGCCCTGGACTCCGTAGCATTGCGCCGCAACGTGTGCGCGCTACAAGCTTCTCGAGGAAATCGTCTATTTCTCTTTGAGGAGCTTTAATGGGATGAAGAGGAACAAGTACAGACTAAAGACGAGCTCGCGATTAAAATTCTTATGAACGCGTTTTACGATTCTGGTAAACAGACGCTCTCACGACACTGGTAAAGAAACGCTATCTATGACCGCTAAAGAAACACTGAAGGGCATCCGACTTAATCCGTTTTCGGAGGCGATGTCGCTAATCCGCCGCCAACACACGCAGACTCAGAACACTAGTACACGATAGCATACATCAAACCAGCCAGCTGAGTCGTAAAAAGGCCCGGAAAGCACGTCGGACGTCACGCCAGTATAGAGTGCTCATAAAGTGGAACTACAACCAAGGAAGAAGGGTGGGTGAAATGTGAGACTGTAGTGCGTCGGCGGCGGAAGGGCGGAAGGCTGAAAAGGACGAACTGGTGAAGTGAAGTGGAGGAGGGGGGATTGCATGCTGTACAATTCCGGGGAAAGGGTGGAAGGGGAAGGGAGGATCGAGCTGCCGGGGGGGAAGGGGAAAGGGTTGTGCCGAAGGCTGGGGGGAAGGGGAAACGGCTGTGCCGGGGGTTGGGGGAAAGGGGGGTTTGAGCCGCGGGGGTCGGGGGAGGGTGGACTTTCGCATCTCTGCATGAAAGTCGGCTGAGTGCACCACACTGCCGTGTGGGTGGACCTGGTTGGTTTGCGACTGACAGCCACCATTCGACAGCTCTTGCGACTCATCCGACGAGTCTAGCCTTTCACTTACTCGCTCACGACAACCCTCCTTGCGAACCAGCCTCCTTTGGGATGTTCGGCGGCGGGCCGAGCCGACCGACCGAGCGGAAGGCTCTTCCGCGAGACATTTGCTCCGAGCAGAGGGACATGTGGGGATTGTGGCGGAAGGTTTCCCCCTTCGTGTCGCATCACCAGCAATTTTGTCACACTTTCGTCGGGCCCACGCAATTCGCGAAACGGGTTCCCTGGAAATTGCCGCGCCTCATGGTGGAGACTTGCAAAATGACATTTGTGCGACACGGGTGTCGGGTAAGGGCGCGATGGTTTCGCGTGGACCAGCGCAACAGTCAAATTCTTCCCGTCACTTTCGCGAATGACGCTGTCGCACACGACTGGACGTAGGACGTGCGGCGAGCAGCGATGCATCAAGCACCTGGCCGAGTCCAGCGGAAAGGGATACACGATCTACCCATTTGATGCCAATCGAAAAATGCTTCATAACACTTGACTAAGAATGAATGAATAGGGCTGATGAATTGGCATTAGCCCTAACAATGATAATACTTTTAGGTTTGTGCCTCAAACTTGTCCACAAGTGCTTGTGGTGGTCCATATTCTATATTATTGAGCGGGACGCTAAAATCTGTCTTATACGCCACCATGGCAGCCTTGAATGCTTTCTGTAAAAACAATGCATCAAATGCAAACATCAATGTTTGGTTAGGTTAAACATTGACGAAGTGCATGAAGGATGCTGAAACCCAACATGATCTCACCTGATCATACAAATCGAGAAGTTTATCTGATGCATTAGTTGGATGCGCCCCGTGACCAATTTTAAACGCATCTTTCTCGTCCTTCCCGAATCGGCGCATCACCTGCTCCACATCCTTTTCGAGATTCTCGAACCGCCCAATAAAATCATATCGGATCGCATCCAGTTTGCACAGGTCGATCTGAACATCGCAACCAAGGGAGCAATCATGGGGAATGGAAGGGTTGGCATTCAAGCGAAACAAAAGGGGAATGAGGATAGTGCATAGATGGCTAGGACAAGAGACAACGGATGGAGAGGGAAGCCAGAAAAAGGGAAGAGGGGGGGGGGGGGAAGGGGGGAGAGAGAAGGAGGGGGGGTGGGAGGGAGGGAGGTAGCAAGAGAATCGGAGAGAGGTGTTGAGTGGTAGAGGGAGGTTGGGGATGGGCAAGTACCTGTGGTCGCACATGGGGGTCCATGCGCTCGACTCGGCGCATGGCTTGCAGCTGCAGGAACCACATGAACGCCGAGAAGGGAATGGAGTCGCTGCCGTTCTGGCTCCCCATAAACGCATCGTATGCCTGCAGCCCTGCGAAGAAACGCTGGAGTCAACGAGGTGTGGGGGGGGAGCGACGGGGGGGAGCAATGGGAGAGGGGGGTGTGAGATAGGAGTAGGGGATGAAGGGGGACAGTGGGGGAGGAAGGAGATGGACGAGGGGTATAAATGTGAATTGATTCGCCTTGGCAATAAACGAGAGGGAGCAATGTAACAGCCTCACCACATTCCAGCCTTTTCTGAACAACCTGACAGATCCTTCTTCCAGTACTGTTGATCATGCGGGCCCCCATCCATGCTCTTGCTCAGATACGCAGTAAGTAACCTTACAAGGAAGCCTCACCTCGTTCCAGTACTTGCGGTCGTGTGGGTAGCCCCCATCCACGTGCTTGTTCAAATACGCCGAAGCGATTCTTGTGAACGGGTTGCGCACAAATGAGAACTTGAAGAAGTCTGGCCTCGTGAGGAACCGGATGTTCTCGTGCTCCTGGAAGCCGTAGCCCATGATGCTGAGCCCGCTCTGCTGCGGGTTGTGCACTATGATGCGCACCGGGACTCCATGCGACCCCATGCCGCCCACTCGCTTTGCCAGCTGCTCTCTGAACCACACCTTCCAGCTCGTGCAGGCCGCCTTGGGCACAAAGCAGTACACTGTCTTGAGCTCCTCTGTTGGGGGAAAGGGAAAAGGGAAGCCGGAGATGAGTGAGTGGACAATGCTCCATAGCTGGGAGTGTTGCTTGACGAACAATGACAGCAGAAGAACTAAACCAGATCTAAACCATACACACTTGCGCAGGATCGCATGTAAACACCCAAGATACAGCAAAAAAGCACTCACCATCCACGAGCAAAAAAACACTCACCATCCACGAGCAGCTGCTGCTGGTACTTCTGGTTGACGAACCGATCAACACATGAAAGAGATTTGCCTCCTCATAGCCAATAAAAGCAGCAAGCCACTCTCCATCCACCAGCAGCAAGCCACTCTCCATCCACGAGCAGCAAGCCACTCACCATCCACCAGCAGCAAGACACTCACCATCCACCAGCAGCAAGCCACTCACCATCCACCAGCAGCAAGCCTCTCACCATCCACGAGCAGCAAGCCACTCTCCATCCACGAGCAGCAAGCCACTCACCATCCACGAGCAGCAAGCCACTCTCCATCCACGAGCAGCAAGCCACTCACCATCCACGAGCAGCAAGCCACTCACCATCCACGAGCAGCAAGCCACTCACCATCCACGAGCAGCAAGCCACTCACCATCCACGAGCAGCAAGCCACTCACCATCCACGAGCAGCAAGCCACTCACCATCCACGAGCAGCAAGCCACTCACCATCCACGAGCAGCAAGCCACTCACCATCCACCAGCAGCAAGCCACTCACCATCCACGAGCAGCAAGCCACTCACCATCCACCAGCAGCAAGCCACTCACCATCCACGAGCAGCAAGCCACTCACCATCCACCAGCAGCAAGCCACTCACCATCCACGAGCAGCAAGCCACTCACCATCCACCAGCAGCAAGCCACTCACCATCCACCAGCAGCAAGCCACTCACCATCCACGAGCAGCAAGCCACTCACCATCCACGAGCAGCAAGCCACTCACCATCCACCAGCAGCAAGCCACTCACCATCCACGAGCAGCAAGCCACTCACCATCCACGAGCAGCAAGCCACTCACCATCCACGAGCAGCAAGCCACTCACCATCCACGAGCAGCAAGCCACTCACCATCCACCAGCAGCAAGCCACTCACCATCCACGAGCAGCAAGCCACTCACCATCCACGAGCAGCAAGCCACTCACCATCCACCAGCAGCAAGCCACTCACCATCCACCAGCAGCAAGCCACTCACCATCCACCAGCAGCAAGCCACTCACCATCCACGAGCAGCAAGCCACTCACCATCCACGAGCAGCAAGCCACTCACCATCCACCAGCAGCAAGCCACTCACCATCCACCAGCAGCAAGCCACTCACCATCCACCAGCAGCAAGCCACTCACCATCCACGAGCAGCAAGCCACTCACCATCCACCAGCAGCAAGCCACTCACCATCCACGAGCAGCAAGCCACTCACCATCCACGAGCAGCAAGCCACTCACCATCCACCAGCAGCAAGCCACTCACCATCCACGAGCAGCAAGCCACTCACCATCCACCAGCAGCAAGCCACTCACCATCCACCAGCAGCAAGCCACTCACCATCCACGAGCAGCAAGCCACTCACCATCCACGAGCAGCAAGCCACTCACCATCCACGAGCAGCAAGCCACTCACCATCCACGAGCAGCAAGCCACTCACCATCCACGAGCAGCAAGCCACTCACCATCCACGAGCAGCTGCTGCAGGTACTTCTGGTTGACGAACCGATCGACACGAGGGGCGGCACACACACTCGGCTCCACAGCAAACGCAGGCGTGGGGGCTACTGCCGCACCAGATGCTGTTTCAGCAACAGAGGCTCCCTCCACGCTCCACCTTTCATTGCTCCGCGCCCTGGCTTGCGCGTGAATGAACAGTGCCTCCACGGAGGGCCGCGTGTGGATGAGCCCTCGAGCCGACGACAGCAGGAGAAGCTCCGCCAGCTGGCGGTGGGGAGCAGAGAAGAGGGGGATGGTTGGAACGGAATCAGGGAACGAACGTGCCAGAGAGGTATCCAGGAGCCGAAATGAATGTGTAGGCCACGTGCAGAGAGCACAGAGTGCAGAGAGGGGGTGATTTGCAGGGAGTGATGGGATGACGTCGTTCAGCTAAGGCTCCCTCTGGGGTCATCGTTGTCATCGCCAGGCATCATTGCTTTGCACCCACACAGAAACCCTCAGTCCCACAGACGCTCACCCACACAGACGCTCACCCACACAGACCCTCACTAACACAGACCCTCACTCACACAGGCCCTCCCTCACACAGACCCTCACTCATACAGACCCTCACTCACACAGACCCTCACTCACGCAACGACACACACACACGTACCTCCAACTGGGCACAACTCCATCCGTCATCTCCCTCCCTGCTCGCCCCACTGCTGCCACTTCCGCTCTTGTCACTCCCATTACTGTCACTGCTGCGATTGTCGCTCCCCTCGCTGCCGCTTTTGCTGCTGTCTGCTTTCTTCTCTTCATGCTTCAGAGCCAGCAATCGCCGCGACGAGGCCGAGGACGAGGACGATGGGGGTGGTGAGGAGGAAGCAGAGGAGGGGGATGCAGGAGAACTGGAGCTGGTGCTGGCGGGTGAAGAGGAGGTCAAGGATGAGGAGGACGAGGAGGACGAGGAAGACGAGGAAGTCAAGGAGGACGAGGAAGACGAGGAGGTCAAGGAGGACGAGGAAGACGAGGAGGACGAGGGGGGTTGTGCACTTAAACCCTCGGTCTCGTCAGCCCCTTTCCCAGCATCCTGCTTCCCCTCCACCCCCTGCCCTGCGCCACTCGGGTTCCCCAGACTCTGCTTCCTCAAGGGGCATCCCATGTGCCTCCTAAGCACCGTGTGGGGGAGGAGGAAAGGGGCGCGCAGGGGGTGAAAGGTGCCAGCGACTGTAGCAGCGTCTGTAGCAGAGGCGGCTGCTACAGTAAAGTCCACGTCGGCAGAGTTGGACGGCACGCGCAGGTAGCGCCACGTCAGCGTGCGAAGGGTGCAGTTCAGCAGAGGGTCCTCGGGGCATCCACCACACGTGCCAGGTGGCATCACCTGATTGGCTTCTAGATACACTGCAGTGGTGCGCGCTAATCTCTCCTTAAACACCCCGTCTGTTCCTGCCCCTTCCTTAATCTCCCCCTCCTTAATCTCCCCCTCAGATCTTCCAGCAGCTGCACCTGTTTCCCCCAGCGCCCCCTCCTCCAGTAATCTGCTGACACGTGGCGAGGGCTGGAGAGCGCCGAGACATGACTGGAAGAGGCGGAGGGCGGAGCAGGCCTCGGGGGTGGTCTGGAGGGGGGGGGGAGGGAAGAGGGTGGGGGGAAGAGGAATGGGAAGTGGGAGAAAGGAAGGGTAAGGCGGATGTAAGCAACACTCGTGCCGAGGGTCATGAAAAATCGGGCTTTGAAGGGAAACTGTCTAGCGTCGAGGTTTGCTTACCCATTCCCTGCTTGCCACGTGGCTCAGCCCTGACGGAACCCACAGCGACAAGGATAGCTCAGGCACCTCCACGTTGCCGCTAATGCCACTCGTCGCACTCCCATTGGCCGATGCAGACCCCTCATCAAGACAGACCGGCAGGGAGATGCGCAGCTGTTTCCGTGACTCTAATAGAGGAGCAGCAGAGGCTGCTCCTGTTACAGTCACACTCGGCCAAACGGCCTTATCCTTCTCATCTAACCCCAATGATTCCACACCAGGAAACGCGTTGAATAGATTCGAAAACCCCTCCCCTGCGGATCCCTTCTTGGGAATACCGCCAGCGGAACCACCAGCACCTTCGTCCACGTCAGCATCGGCAACAGCTGAGTTACTCCATACAACGGCCACCTCTCCCGTTCTTTCCCCTTCCGCCTTCCCCCCGCCCGCCTCCCGCGCTCTGCGTGCGCCCCACACAGCGCTGACGGCGGGCGCAAGGCAAAGCGCCTGCATGCGTGCGCCTAGGTTGCCCTGGGGAAAAGCAGGGGTGGCGGGGAAGCGGGGGTAGAGGGACAGGAAGCGTTAGCATGTGCGTACCTCTGCCACAGCAACCACTGCAGGGGTAGTCATGGCATGTTGCAATTGAATTCTGTTCGCGAGAGTCGTACCTCTGCCACAGCAACCACTGCAGTGTCGCTAACTTCCGTCACTTCCAGTGTTGCTGATTCCGCTTCCCCAGTTGCCTTCGTCTCCCCCGCTGCTTCCGCTCCCCGTGCGCCTTCCGCTTCTACTAGTGCATCCGCTTTTCCCGCAGCTGCTTCCGCTGACTGTGCGCTTCCGCTGCGGTGTTCCCCATCTTCCGAACTTTTAGCAGCCGCCGCCTTCCCCTCCGCCTTCCCCTCCGTTCCCCCCTCCTGTCGCGCAGTCTTCTCTTTCTCTCTCGCTCCCTCGTCAGTCTCGCCTTCTTGCGGCGTGCTACTCTCCGTTTCACTCCGCTCCTCTCCTCTTCCCGCTTCCTGCCGCTCATCTCTCTGCGTGTTCGTTTTCCTCTCTGACCCCTTTGCTTTCGCCTCGCCTTTTTCGCCAGCCGCCTCAGGGCTCGGTCGTCCCTCGCCCTTATTACCTTCATCCCCCTTACCTCCCTTACGCACCTCGGCTCCCCCTTGCCTTTCCCCCTTCCGCGATTTCCCCTGGTTGGCTTTCCCGCGTTTCTTTTCCACCCGGTCTTCTCTAACCTCTTCAACCTTCACAACCTCCCCGGAAAATGCGCCTCGCCAGCTGTCCACCCCGTCAAAATCGCTTCCGCCGTCCACGGCGAGTTTTCCGGTGCCGATACTCTCGGCCTTACCCTTCCAGTCGTTACTAATGATCGCTACCGTGACGTCACTCGACGAGGAGAGAAGGTTCCGCGAACCCTGCATGTTTTGCGTGAGCGGAAGCTGAGCGACCCTTCCGATGGCTGCTAACGAAGCGACGAACACTATAGCGAGGATAACTCCAATCGCGACGAACGAGTGGATTCCCGCAACTGGCGGTGGCGGCGAATCGTCGCCTTTGCCGCGCTTCGAGTAGCATTGGCTCGACTCTCCTAGGCTGAAAGGGCGAAAGCTCCCGGAAAGAGGGCTCCAGTTTCTTATCCCGCTGCGATTGGTGGATCCCGTGCCGAGCGGGCTGGGGGTAGACTCGCTAGGCGAGCTGCCGGTTAGCGCTGGTAGCGGCGAATGGACTCGCCGCTGCTCCATGACTGACGGAAAACGTTATCGTTGGACTCCGTCGCTGGACCTGAACGGCCGCGCACCGTTAAAAGGCTTGCAAAAGATCCGGATCGAGCGACAAGACTGTACTAACGGTCCCGAAACGTAATTAGTAGGATGGACGGTCTACTGGAGTTGCTACTTCTCCAGAACGTCAGATGCTTCATAAATCGCTGACAATGGTCACAGCGCTTAACACTAAACCACCAGAATTGACGGCAGTTGCGGACAGACTTACTGACTGGTCAGTGGCTGAAGTATCATCTACTAGCCAAGTCCTCAGCCCGAAATGATCAAGGTGCGACTGAGACGAGGAGAAACCAGGGAAGGATGCGTGTCAGGCGAACGGAAAGTCTCATCAGCAGGTCCTGGAGAATGTCGGTCGGGGATGTGCGAGAATGTGGTGAGGGAAGGCCCGGGGAAACGAAATGGAGAGCCCCGGGTGTTGCTGAGGAAACGAAATGAATGAATCCTCCCTGGACTCGCGACTCCCGACAACTCCTATGTCCATGAGAGGGGAGGTAATGTATGTGACGAACCTGATGCTCACGCCAATCAGCTCCAGCTAGGCTCACAAAACCGAGGTAATCCCGAACCCGAGTCAGACCAGTCGCTCGAACCGAGCCTGCTCATCTCAGACAATGGTTAGGAGGCGCACTAGGTTGGGCACTGGTTCGTATCTCCCCCAGCCAATAGGCTGCTGCATTCCCTTGGTGGCGCGAACGTGACTTGGGCGCTCGCAGGTTGACAGGGAGGGAGGGGAAGCGCCAGGAGAAAGAGGGGAAAGGGGCTGGGAGAAGGTGATTCGAGCCTTCGGCCGAGCCTCCCCACGTCCTGCTGTCAGAAGTGCAAGGCATGGGCACCCCTGAGGAAGTCAGGCTAGAAGGAGGTGTGCTCTGCGGTGGTGGAACCCCGTGCCAGTGTGCGATTCGAAAGTTTGTGTGCGATTCTTCACGACTGAGGCGACGACGTGGTGCGCCACCTAGCCAATGAAAGGATGTTGGGGGCCACCAAGTGCTGGGCCTATGCCAGGTGTACGACCAAGGGCGACATCTACGACCAGGGTGGTTATTGTGTTGGTGGCCGTGCGACAATCCTCGGACGTGCGTGCGAAGAATGCTTGCGACATCAATTCGAGGCCAGATGATACCTCCACCACGCCCAGCGAAAATCCCCCTAAATCTCCCAGGGAAAAAATGTTTGCGACGTGTTACAGATAAGTGTGGAAGCTGGAATAGGGAAAGTATACCGGCGCTCAGTATTAGGGGCTTCGATAACATGTTAGGTAAGTGACACGATATAAACAATCAGAATTAGCGAGTTTGTAACATGTCTAATCAGTCGGGTTCCATCGTTAGTCAGCCGGGAAAAATATCGCGCCAGCCGCAATGATGACGAAATTGGGCTGGCGCGAGCGGGAAAACGTTCCTCGACGGCGGGGGGTTACTTCTATTGACCATTCGTGAAACTTTTTCCTGCAGTTTCTGACTAAAGATGGAACTAGATTGATTAAACATGTTACAAACTTGCTAATTCTGATTGTTTATATCGTGTCACTGACCGTACATGTTATCGAGGCCCCTAATACTGAGCGCCGGTATACCTTCCCGCTGGAATATATCCATCATATTAATCCCCAATCCATAACGTACTACTTTTGATCCCCAGGACCCCAGCCAAGTCACATTTCCCGTTTTGATCGATCTTATGCCAAGCAGATGTTCACTTGAGATTCTTACCCATTTGAGCTACATATGGCATGCACTACCTAGCGCTTGCTGTGTGTCTTAAAGCCCAGGTCCCAAGTTACAAGACGTGGTTTGTTTTGCTAGCAAAGTCGGGGCGCAAAAAAAAGGGTAACCCTATTCACCCTGGAGGGAATTAACCAACTCAGGGCAGGGGTCAAAGGGGGCCATGTGATTGGTCGAAGCCAATCAACGACAATCGCCGAGGCCCAAATCACAACCCTCTCCCTTTCTCCCAAAAACGACCAAGGGAAGAATGATAGCAAATCTGTAAATTGGGACCCAGGAAAAGCCATTCTCCCACTCGTATTTTCCTAGTACTATGTGTCCTAACCGCACGCGTAGGCAAGCGCGGTCACGGGCCGTCCATACGAAACGCGATCATGCGTCCATTTAGGGCGAAATAGGGTCGGAATGAAACTCTTCCCGCCAGTCCGAGCCTTCCGCTCGTAGGCGGTCCCTCGCGAACCGCTTCCCGCTAGGCTTCGCGTCCCGCTTCCCGCTTTCTCATGCGTCACGCTACCCGCTTCCCCCCGCTTCTCGCTTCCCGCTTTCCCTGACTCCCCGCTTTTCCTAGCGTCCCGCTTTGCCTAGCTTCCACTTCCCGACTTCCCTCGCTGACCCGCTTCCCGCTTTCTCCCTCTGCACGCTTCTCCCACGCTTCCCGCATTCCCTCGCTTCAACACTTCCCTGCTTCCCCTCGCTTTATGTCGCATCCAGCTTACCGCGCTCCCGCGTCCCGCGTTTGATCCCGAGTCGCTTCCCTCTGTATGCTCCAGGACCGTTTTCCAGCTGCCCACTTGCCCGCTTTCCCAAGCTACCCGCTACGCGCTTTCCTACGCTTCCCGTTTTCCCAAGCTCTCCCGCTCCCCGCTACCTCTCGCGGGCTCACTTTCCCTCGCTTCCCGCTTCCCGCTTTTCCTCGTTCCCCGCTTTCCCACGGTAAGTGAGGAGTGAGCGCAGGGAAGGGAAAGTGGCGACGCAGCAGCGAACGGAAAGAGGCCCGCTGCGGGAGGGGGAGAGGAGGGAGCGCAGAGAGGGGGAGAGGAGGGAGCGCAGGGAGGGGGAGAGGAGGGAGCGCAGGGAGGGGGAGAGGAGGGAGCGCAGGGAGGGGGAGAGGAGGGAGCGCAGGGAGGGGGAGAGGAGGGAGCGCAGGGAGGGGGAGAGGAGGGAGCGCAGGGAGGGGGAGAGGAGGGAGCGCAGGGAGGGGGAGAGGAGGGAGCGCAGGGAGGGGGAGAGGAGGGAGCGCAGGGAGGGGGAGAGGAGGGAGCGCAGGGAGGGGGAGAGGCGTGAGGGCAGGAGAGGGGAAGAGGCGTGAATGCATGGGAAAAGGTGAGGATTGTGATAAGGTGAGGGAGAGAGGCGTGAGAGCAGAGAGGGAGTGAGGCGTCAGGGGAAGGGAGGGAGAGAGGCGAGAGCACACGGGAAGGAGAGAAGGCAAGGAAAGAAGGGGAGGGGGAGCGGAGTGAGAGCAGGGGAGGGGGAGCGGAGTGAGAGCAGGGGAGGGGGAGCGGAGTGAGAGCAGGGGAGGGGGAGCGGGGTTAGAGCAGGGGAGAGGGAGTGGAGTGAGAGTAGGGGAGGGGGAGTGGAGTGAGAGCAGGGGAGGGGGAGTGGAGTGAGAGCAGGGGAGGGGGAGCGGAGTGAGAGCAGGGGAGGGGGAGTGGAGTGAGAGCAGGGGAGGGGGAGTGGAGTGAGAGCAGGGGAGGGGGAGTGGAGTGAGAGCAGGGGAGGGGGAGCGGAGTGAGAGCAGGGGAGGGGGAGTGGAGTGAGAGCAGGGGAGGGGGAGTGGAGTGAGAGCAGGGGAGGGGGAGTGGAGTGAGAGCAGGGGAGGGGGAGCGGAGTGAGAGCAGGGGACGGGGAGTGGAGTGAGAGCAGGGGAGGGGGAGTGGACGGGAAAAGTTGCATCCGTAGCACTTGTGATGCTGCGGCGTCTCCAACCCCCCATCCTGTCTCCTGCCCCATAAACCCTCTCCCACCCCATTGAGCCACTCCATCCTCCCTGTTTCTCTCTCCCTCCCTCCGTGTGTGCGCAGCTGTCGCTGGACACCCTTTGTGTCACGCAGAAGAAAGTCACTCAAGGAGTTGACAACCCACCCTGGCGGGAGACTGCAGGAGGGAAGTTAGAGGAAGGCCCTTGGTTCAAGTTTATGAGCTTTCTGTTTACACTGCTTGAGTGACCAAGTTCAATACACACATTGGTTTTACAGTTCCCCAATCGATCCACCTCCCTATTGTTTCCCTGCTGCCTCGTCACCTAGTAGTTTTACATCACCAGCACCCCATCAATCTCTACATGATTCATAATCGCCCAACTCGGCCGTGCCTTCTGCCGCATTGAGTTGAACACTATCGCGGGCACGCAATCGTGGCTGGGAGGAGGGGGGGAGTGAGAGCTGGGAGAGGGTGATAGTCAAACACGGACTGAGGGGATAAGTAGCGAGTGAGGGATGGACAGAGAGTGAGGGACGGGCAGAGCGTGAGGGACGGGCAGAGCGTGAGGGATGGGCAGAGCGTGAGGGATGGGCAGCGAGTGAGGGATGGTCAGGGAGCATGAGAGCAGGGAGGGAGGAAGAACAAGGGGGAAGGGAGAGAGAGGGGGCAAGAACACAGGGAGGAAGAATGCAGGGGGAAGAATGCAGGGGGGGGGAGAGAGAGGGGGCAAGAAAGCAGGGAGGCAGAAAGCAGGGGGGAAGAAAGCAGGGAGGCAGAAAGCAGGGAGACAGAAAGCCCTAGGCAGAAAGCAGGGAGGAAGAAAGCAGGGAGGAAGAAAGCAGGGAGGCAGAAAGCAGGGAGGCAGAAAGCAGGGAGACAGAAAGCAGGGAGGCAGAAAGCAGGGAGGCAGAAAGCAGGGAGGCAGAAAGCAGGGAGGCAGAAGGCAGGGAGGCAGAAGGCAGGGAGGCTGCGCTGGAATATATCCCAGCAGCCTCCTCCACGCACTCCAGCCTCCATCCTCCTCACTCCATTCCTCCAATCCTGTCACCTCCTCACTGTCCTCACCCCCTCCTTCCCCCTCCTTGTCCTCCCCCTGTCCTCCCTGTCCTCCCCCTTTCCTACCTCCTCCTTCTTCCTCTCCTCCGCATCCCCCTTTCTCACACTCCGCATCTCCCTCTCTATAGCTCCGCATCCCCCTCTCTTGTCCTGCATTCCCCTCTCTCTCGCCGCGCATCCCCCTCTCTCACGCTTCGCATCACCTCTCTCTCGCTCCGCATCCCCCCCTCTATCGCCGCGCATCCCCCTCTCTCGCCACGCATTCCCCTCTCTCTCGCCGCGCATCCCCCTTTCTCGCGCCACGCATCTCCCTCTCTCTCACCGTGCATCCCCCTCTCTCTCGCCGCGCATCCCCCTCTCTCTCGCCGCGCATCCCCCTCTCTCTCGCCGCGCATCCCCCTCTCTCTCGCCGCGCATCCCCTCTCTCTCACCGTGCATCCCCCCCTCTCGCACTCTGCATCCCCCTTTCTCTCGCTCCGCATCCCCCTTTCTCACTCTCGCTCTGCGTCCCCCTCTCTCTATCTCTCGCGCTGCATCCCCCCCTCTCTCGCTCTGCATCCCCCTCTCTCCCTCGCTCTGCATCCCTCCTCTCTCTCGCACTGCGCCGTCGGTCGTGGATGCGTCGTGGATATTCCCCTGCGCAGTCTCTTTCGTTGCTCTATCCCGCGCTCTGGTATAACGCCCTAACTCGAGTAGCGCTGTCTATTCCAGAGCCATCGCTTGCCGACTTTGCGTTTGATCCTAACAACCCTCGGTAAGCTTAGGGGAACGCATGGGCTGCCGGTTTGCAATCATCCGATATTAGACTTGCACACAATATCCGTGAAAGTTTGGAAATCCGTAATCCGCTTGACATTCGATCGGGTCTTCTCTGAGTTGCTGGCAAATTAGGAAATTTACGATAGCAGAAGTCTCGATATTTTACACTAAGTAATGGTCTGCGGAAATGCCCACCGTCTTCGGTTGCTCTCGGTTGTGCTCAGCGCGTTTGCCGCAGTGCGGCTGGTTGATGCTGTGACGCGTTAGCCTAGTTTGTGTTGTGCTTTGCTCGTTCCCCGCTTTCCTTTCCCAACCTCGTTTGAGTTTTCGTTTGCGAAGTTCAAATTTTTATTCGCGACAGTCGCAAGGAAGTTTTCAGAATTTGAGCTCTCGCCACCCTCGCAGCCAATCGGAAAACTCTCGAACCAACTCGAACCGCGCTCTCTTTTCGCGGCTTGTAACTTGGGACCTGGGCTTTAATACAAGCAAAAGAGCTGCAGGGACATTCTGGACACCTACACCAGCCAGCCATGCCCTGTGGCTGCTGCGAGCGCCCATTACGGAAATCCCATTACAGTTTCCTAGGACTTCTAGCAGTATTACTGCAGTAGCACTCGTAGTAGAATGCCAGGACGGATCTCGCTAATCTGGACCAACGTGGATCGTCTGTGCTGTCTTCTTTCTGCTCCTCTTGTTGCACCAAAGCGGATGCAAGCTGCTCCATCTGGTGGGGGCTGTTCAGGAAGAACATACGATGCGGGCCGCACGAAATCTCCACCAGCCCGACGCTTTGCGATTTCTTCATTACAACAACGAAGCCCATCCGCTCCAGCTCGTGCTTAAAGCCCTCGAGGCGATGCACTTTCTGCATGATTGCTGGAAGCGGGATTCCCGAGGCGTTGAAGTACGGGCCGTATGTGATGGTGAGTGTCAGCTTCCGCTGCTCTGTTTCTGCCGAGATTAACTTCGCTGCAGCATCCGCGGCAGCCGCGACCCATTGCGAGAAGGCGAGCATGATGGCTTGGCCACTAATACTTACAGCCTAGAGGTTGATTCTCGTCGCTCGTGGTAAAGTGGAAAATGCGAAGATTGCTTTCTCAATAACTGAGAAGCGCCGGTGCTCGTTCTGATGATCGGAAGGAGTGCTCCCCAAATGTCTTTCTGCCGTCATTCTGGCTCATCAACTGGCTACCACTGGATGTCCTTGCATTGAACGTCCTTTTGGGTGCCCTTCAGTAAAAGCAACATGCGGCATGACATTTGCGTCACACCCGGTGTGCACGCGCTGTCGCTGTAGATCGGTGGTGCCATGAATAACCGCAAGTGGCTGTCTCTGTACTGTTCCTCCAAGATCCTTTGTGCACATGAGACCTGGGTCAGCCAAGGCGAATCGGGAAAAATAAGGTGGAGTTGGAGCTGGGAAGGGGAGGGGAGGGGAGGGGAGGGGAGGGGAGGGGAGGGGAGGGGAGGGGAGGGGAGGGGAGGGGAGGGGAGGGAGGGGAGAGGGGAGAGAGCAGCGGTAGGAGTTGTCCTTGACTTCCGTGAGACAGCAAGGATGTGTGTGGTTCATCTTGTCAACGATGGACAAGATGCAGGGATTTTCGCTGCCAGTGCAGCCCGGCGGCGACAAGATTCAACGGTGCGCCTGTGGTATTTCGTGTCATGCCAGCCCCTTGCCAGCCCCAGTGAAGATTTTCCGCGTCCTTCCATTATTACGAAGTCGTGCGACGAATGGTAGGGGGGGGGGGGGGGGGGCGGGCTGCGACGCCTTGGGCGGGGAGGAAGTTGCGCTTGACGAAAGTCGTGTTACCGGGTTGAGAGAATTTCCAAGCTTGATATTTTCCTCCCTCTAACGCAAAATTCGACTTTGCGATGAAGCCTTTCGTCAAAAGATACAGCTGAGTGAAGGGTGGGTTCTGATCATAACCGGAAAGACTTTCGACGTAGTTACAAGAAATTCGTTACCGCTTCGTGAAGGCGTTGGGGCACGAAGACCGAGCCTCTCCCCGAACCAGAACACCCCCCTGCCACGTAAGTGAGGTGCGTTACTTCACCAGCCTGGACGTGGCAGAACCACCGCCGAAACCCCAACTGCCCACTTCGCCTGCGTGGATTCCACAGATTCATCCTCAACTGTCGATAGCGCCGTCACTCACTCTATACCGTCCGATCGAACAAGGGTTTCAGACCCAGCTTCTTCCGTGTCAGGCCCAGGGCCAGCGTGTAGGAGGTCGGAGCAGACAAGGGTTTCTGGATCCAAGTTATGGCCGCTCCTCGCTTGCCATGTCCTCCCTCCCTCTCCACCTGGCCACGCTTTTCCTTCCTGTCTTTCCCAGTACCTAGGATGATATGGCAGTTTTCTACTGAGTCCTGGCCTGCCTCTCCTGACCGACCTCCCTGCTTTGCTTCTCACACCGCGCTTCCCGTGCCGCCTGCGAAGCATTTGAGGGAACATTTAGTAAACATGTTGCGTCGAGCTTGAGCAATGGATTCTGAGTGACTTCACTTGTCGACGTGTCACTCGTTAGTTTTCTGGCTGCTGAATTTGTCAGTCTGCGAAAGCTCTCATATCAGCCGTCTGAGGCGTAGAACGGCAAAATAAGTTTCTAGAACGGCTTGTTTCCTTCTTCGACGACAGAGTAGGCGATAGGACATAGGCTGACGCGACAATGGCGGAAGAGCAAGCACAGCAAGGCATGTAACGCGCGCTTTATGGCGAACATTCATTTTCTTCCCTCCTAGCATTTCAGCGTCGAAGGCCTGGATCTCATTTTTTCTCGAAAGAGTCGCGACCGAGTCCTATGATGTCTCGAACTGTTCGGCCATGTGCGAGACGTTTTTGCTCTTATGCCTGATGATTTCAGCTCTTCGTTAGAGTTCATGAGGCTTTCCGTTTCTCTTCGTTAACAATCGCAGGTGACGTTTCGAAAGACCCTTCTAACGGGTATAACGATTGGGCTGCAGCTGCCATGCAGGTGAGCAAGCGTACCGACCTAGTAGCACTATATCGCGACGCTTCTAACGAGTATTTTCAACTGGGCTGCAGTCGCCAGTCTGTCGCTTCACCCAGTGAGCAAGCATCGCTCAGTCAGTGAGCGCAAGCGTCGCTCAGCCCAGCTAGCAGTATAGCTCGAGCAGTCAGCAGTAGACGATCCATTCACCATAGCTCGAGCGATCCGTATCGCTGAGCCGATCGCTGGTTGCATAGATCTTCAGGTCACCGCAACCCCAGTCAGCTTAGCTCAATGCAGAAAGGTCAGTCACAGGCCGCAAGCCTTGTTCTACCTATGACGCTGCTGATTGACACATGACGGTAGTCCCCGCCCGCCCTTTCGTCGGTCCTCGGAGTCGCGTTGCGTTGTCGCCGAGAGCGGATCTTCCCCATCCAGTAGACTTGATTTCCTGCCCGTTCGCTTCTCTGATTGGGTGATTTCTGAAACAAGATTTAGGTGCACCTCGGAAACGCTCGGTGCACATAACTTTGCCGTTCGTTCACCCAACTTCTGTCTTTTTCTTGTGATGGCGGCATGCAGGCGTATTACAAGTCGGGAGGCCAAGCAGCTCACGCGGGAGGCTATTACGGCGCACCAATGGGAGGGCATCCACATCCGTACATGTGGGGACCACAGGTACACGCCTTCGAGAGGCACGTGGGGACCACATGCACGCGCTTTATATAGCATGGAGTTAACGTATGCATGCAGTATTCTTAAGAACTACCCCTTGCCTTGGAAGTTTTATCTATTTCTTTGCGTTTTGACAGCATGCTGTTTTGCCCGTCTCAGGTCTGCTCTATCCTTTTGGCTCTTGTCTCTGCTTGACACTTTCTCTTGCTCTTCATTCTTTTCCTGCCTCTTTCCCTTGCCCTTCGTTTCCCCAACCTTTTCCCTTGCCCTTCGTTTCCCCAACCTTTTCCCTTGCCCTTCGTTTCCCCAACCTTTTCCCTTGCCCTTCGTTTCCCCAACCTTTTCCCTTGCCCTTCGTTTCCCCAACCTTTTCCCTTGCCCTTCGTTTTCCCAACTCCTTTCTCCGCGTCAGCCAATGATGGCAGCGCACTACGGTGGTGTACCACCAGGCCCCTATGGCTATGCTGCCATGTACGCTGCGCCTCACCCAGGCATGGCCCAGGGTGCTGCAGGGGCAGTGGCCCCATCCCCTTATGGCTACCCGCCTGCCCAAACTGTAAGTTATTCTTCGGCTGTAGTGGAGATGATGGCTACTTCCTGCTGCAGCTGCTGCTGCTGCTGCCGCTGCTGTTGCTGCTGGTTCTTGTATTTAGTTTACTAATCATACCATTTTCCGCTCCTCGCCTTGGATCTCTAACACCTTCTCCTCTTCCCCCCCCCCCCTCTTCCCTCAGGCGGATGGTTCTGAGGTGCCAGCAGGGGCAGCGATGATGGGGATGACGCCCATGGGGCCCATGGGGCCCATGGCCATGCCAGCAGCGCAGGGGTACCCCGGCATGCCCATGGACTACTCACACGACGCCATGGCTGCTGCTGCTGCTGCCGCCGCTGCCGCAGCCAGTGCTGGGGGTGGGGCTGCTGCTGCTGGGTCGGCTCCCCAGGTTCCTGTTGCTGCTGCGCCTGCTGCCCCTCAGCCCGCCCCTTCCAAGCGCAAGAGGTCGGCTCAGCAGTCCCATGCAACAGACGCTGCCGCAGCAGCCACTCCCGGTGGGGCAAGCCTCCCCCATCCTCACGCCCAGCCGGCCCCAGGCTCGGGCCAAGCCTTGGCCCTAGCCTCGGGCTCGGCGGGCGAGTACACGTCCATGCCTTCGAGCCCGTCCGAAGGCCCGTCTGCTTCGGCAGCCGCTGCTGCTGCGGCGGCTGCCGGTCTTGCTGGTGGCGCTGGCGCTGCTGCTGGTTCGGGGGTCCCTCACGCTGCTGGTGGGGGGCGAGAGGGGGAGTGGCTGGCGGAATGGCGTATAATCCCATGGCTGCTTCTGCTGCGGATATGTGGACTGGGGGGGGCGCTGCTGCTGCTGCTGCTGCTGGTGCCGTGGTGTCGCCCCCCTCCCTGGGGCAGGGCGTTGGGGGGAAGCTCGGGGCACGTGCAGGAGTGAGGGGAGGAGGGGATGGGGGCGACGTGGGGGGGAGTATGATGTACCAAGTGCCGTTTCGCGGGGTATGTAGGAAGCTCCACAGAGCCTTGCGTCGCCTCCCTTGCTTCCCTTGGTCTCTTTCCAAATGGCCATCTCTGCTATTCTCCTCGCGTGGGTGTTTCTGGTGGCTCCTTTCTCCTTTCGCGCATATGTGCTCCTGGGTCGTGAACTGCCTGTGTCCCCCCCTGTGCCTGTGTTGCCGCTGGCAGGGCGAGAGGGAGGTGAAGAGGCAGAGGCGCAAGCAGAGCAACAGGGAGAGCGCGAGGATATCACAGCTACTGCTTTCCGTGCTGTTGGCCCGTACTGCTTCCTCACTCCCCTCTCTCCCACTTTTGTAATGCGTGGCAGGACGAGAGGGAGGTGAAGAGGCAGAGGCGCAAGCAGAGCAATAGGGAGAGCGCGAGGAGGTCGCGGCTGCGGAAGCAGGCGGAGTGTGACGAGCTGATAGCGCGGCAGACCACCATGCAGATGGAGAACATGGGATTGTCCGCGGTATGTTGACGGGTGCATGCCCCCCTCCCTTTCCTTGTGATTTCGCTGTAATCGTTGACCTCTGTTCGCCTGATCTCTCTTCAGTGACAGGGCCACTCAGAACGCCTGTTTGAATGAACGCATCTCATCATCTTCCCCCTTCTTCCCTTCCCCCCTTGCCTTGTGTCTGTCTGCAGGAGCTATCAAAGCTGCAGGAGCGCTACACCGCCCTGTGCGCCCAGAACGCCCAGCTCAGAACCATGGTCCGCTGCCCTCCCCTTCCTTCCACTGCCAGTCACCTCTTGCCTTCGTCTACTTCCCCTCCCGTCCTTCTCTCCCCAATTCTCCCCTCGCTTTGCATGGCTGACGTGCCACCAGCGGAGCCATTCTAGTGTTGCTTTGCATTCGCCCTTTGACCGGTCTCGCCTTGTTGTTTGTGACCTCCGTTCCCCCCTCACGTCTCCGTCCCTTTGGTTTCCTGTTCCGCTCCTGTGCCCTGCCCCCCTCACCCAATCAGCTGCAAGAGTCAGGCATAGACCCATCAGCAGAAGCAGCAGCGTTCCCTCCAGCAACCTACACTCCAATGCACAAGTACCAGCTCACCCCAGTACCACCAGCCAACACTCCTGCTGCACCACCGCCACACGACCTTTCTGCCGTTCCCCCCTCTGCCGTGCCTCCCTCTGCACTTCCGCCCTCTGCCCATCCCCACTCCGCCCTTCCCTCCTCCCCTCCCTCTGCTCCCCTCACTGCCCCCACCCCTCCCTCTGCTCCCCCCCCTGCTCCTCTCTCCGCCTTTGTCACTGCTCCATACCTACCTGGGAAGCCCGAGCCTGCACCACTGCCTGCTCCCGAAGCTCCTCCCGAAGCTGTACCCAAGCCTGCGCCTGAGCTTGCTGCCGAGCTTGTGCTTCAGGTTCAGGAGCCTGAGCCTGAGTTTGCAGGTCCGGTGCAAGGTCTGGAAGACGAGCAGCACCTGCAGCTGCTGACAGGCGGGGAGGAACCGGGGCTGGGGGAAGGGATGGGGGGGAGGGGATTGGGGGAGGCGGAGGGGTGGGGGGCGAGGGAGGCGTTGAGGGTAGTGTGGGATTGGAGCCTGAGCACAGTGTAGCTCTCCCAATGGGGGTTGATCAGAGGTTGGGGGCAGAGCAAGAAGGGATTGCAGAGGAGATGGCGGACGGGACGGGGACAGAGACAGGGGCAGGGGTTCTGGATGGGGTAATGCAAGCAGCAGAAGCGGTGCAGCAGGGAGGGGAGCAGCAGGGGATGGAGCAGCAGGGAGGAGAAGCGGTGGATGAGCGCCTGATGCAGGTTGATCAGGAGGAGGGTGTCGTGCCGCTGGAGCAGCAGCACGAGGAGAGGCGAGGGGAGGAGCAGGGGGAGGGGGGGAGGGAGCAGCAGCAGGGGCAGCAGTTGGAGCAGCAGCAGCAGGCGGAGCAGCAGCAGCAGGCGGAGCAGCAGCAGCAGGCGGAGCAGCAGCAGCAGGCGGAGCAGCAACAGGAGGAGAAGCAAAGGGAGGAGCAGGAGGAGGAGGGGAGGGAGAAGCAGCACGAGCAGCAGCAGGAAGAGCAGCAGCAGCTGGAGCGGTTTGAGCAGCAGAAGAATGAGGAGGCAGGAGAGCGAACAGGAGAGGAAGGTGGAGGAGGGGAGGGAGCAAAGGAGGGAGGAGGAGAGGAGGGGGGAGGGCAGGAGAGTGCCCCAGGGGTTGAGGGTGCCCCAGGGGTTGAGGGTTCCCCAGGGGTTGGCGGAGAGGAGCAGCCAATGAGGGAGGCTCAGGGGGGCGGGCAAGGGGATGCTGAGACTGGTGAGGCGAGGCAGGGGCAGGAGGTTGCATTAGAAGGGCCAGGTGAAGGGGCAGGTGAAGGGCAACCAGAGGAGGTTGAAATCGAGACCAAGGCAACGGACGCAGTAGCCACTGCCGATGAGTCAGCTGCTGCAGATGAGCCAACGCACCCAACAGCGGAGGAAGCTGAGGAGCAAGGAAAGGCTTTGCAGGTTGCAGCTGGTGATGCTGGCATTCCAGCAGCAGCAGGGGCTGAGGTCCCCCAAGAAGCAGGAGCCGCAGCAGCAGAGGGAGAAGAAGCAGTGATGGCAGTGACGGAAAGGGATGGAACAGCAGAGGCAGTGGCAGATGGAGATGGAGCAGCATCAGCAGCAACTGAGCAGGAGAAGCAAGAGGATCCGGGCGGCAGTGAGCTTCTAGGGCAGGAAGATGGAGATTGCATGACAGGAATTAATGGTGTGGAAGAAACCGCTGAAGGTGCTGAAGGTGCAGATGGGAAGGCAGAAATGGAGGAGGTACGGAGGGCGAACGACCTTCCTGCTGTGGTTGCTTCTGCTACGCCTTCAGCTGTTGATGGACCTGTGGGTGGTTGTGAACCTCTTGCTGTCTCTAGGGGTGCTGAGAACGCTCTGGGCAAAGCAGAGGAGGCCGGGGAAGCTGTGGGAGGAGATGGTGCTGTGGGCACGGATCCAGTTTTGGGGGGCTTCGTAACTGGCACAGCAGCTGATGAGGATGCAGCACCAAAGGGGGCAGCAGCAGAGGAGAGTGCAGAGGAAGCAGCAGCAGGCGAGGGTGGAAAGGAGGCAGCAAAGGAGGGTGCCAAGGGCCAGAATGCTGAGGGCAGTGTTGGTGGGGGTAGTGGAAGTGAGAAGACAGAGTCACACGCAAGCAGGTGAAAGGACAGTAGATGTTGAAATGGAAGGCGTCGATGAGGGGGAAAAGAAGGGGGTTTAGGTTAGAGCGACACATCCCAATTACCTGGGTTGTGCAATCGCTAGATTAGGGCTTGTTAATAATGGGTAAGCGTGATTGGGTAGGGCATTTTGAACTGACTGATGTTGAATGATAAATAACTAACTATACTGGTCGATTCATAAGTCGACTCTGTCAGGCATAATGTGTTGTGCTTTACCTTTAGGGAAGCATAACAAGTGGACTTGTGTGCTGTGCCTGCACTGTTTTCATGTGAAAGTCTCAATGTTTTCTTGCGAAGAAATTACCCGTTTTATTCTAAAGCCCACCCTGGCAATTACCGTACAGCAATTTCAGCGATTTGTTAGGATAATTGTCATATATGGTTGGATTTAGTCAGCTACAGTTTGTGCTGATATATCTCAGTTATTACTGAGCACCCACCCCAAGCTCAGTGCTCCACCACAGCCAGATCAGCGGGAGAAACAGCTCAGCCTCGATTGTGACGTGTCGTGCGACCAGCCCCGCGGAACCTTCCGCAAAACCCCTGGTCCCCTCCCCCCCGACGCCCTCTTTCCGCGCATTTCAGCCTAGGGAGCAGCGCAAATGCGGCAGCGGGCGGAGCGAGAGAGAGAAGGAGGGGAGGGTGGGGGAGCGCCTAGGGTTTCATCATGGCTCCGCACTTACCTCATTTTCCTTTTCCCTTCCTGCAGTACTCTCTAATCTTCCTCTCCCTAGACCTCGTCTGCCGCCCGCCCTTGCCGGCGTCGCCTCTTAAACCGCGTCTTAACGCTTCCTGTCAACATGGTGAGCCCGCGTCGCTGTCGCTAGTCGTTTTTTGGGACGATTAGTGTCCAGGTTAGGTACTTTGTTCCAGGGAAGGTTTGGTGGAGTAGTGAGATTTAGGAAGGAGTTATGTAATTCAGGCTTCTTGCCATTGTAAGCTGTCGGGCAGATGCGTGGCTGACCGTAGTAACTAGTGACAGCCGCGAGCCTTATGATGACGTAAATTTAATACGCGTCGTGACCCGTATGATCGGCGTGTCAACGCGCGCCTTTTGCCGCTGTGTATGCTTCTCGTGCGACTAATTGTATTTCGCAGTAAGATGGCTTTACGGGCGGCCATTCCCTGTTCCGTCGCGGTAGTCACGGCACGCTCTCACGCTGACTTAAGAGTCGATTCAAAGTCGCCTCGGTCGCTGCACACGCTCGCGACGGATCGGTTTCGAAATCTTCTGATACAAGCAGGCGTTAGTGGAGAAGGAGTGATCGGCGCTAGGGTTACCACACTACACATTTCGTGTCTTTCGCGACCGTCGTGTGCAGGATTCCCCGATGAAGCTGGCGATAGTGGAGAAGGTGGTGGGTTCCCACCAGTTACCTTACCCTAACACTCATTTCGTGAATGCGTTTTCGCCGTTGTCGTGCAGGACTCCCCGATGAAGCTGGCGATAGTGGAGAAGGTTGTGGGTCGCACGGGGTCGCGAGGCCAGGTGACGCAGGTGCGCGTGAAGTTCCTCGACGAGGACCGCTACATCATGAGGAACGTCAAGGGCCCCGTGCGCCAAGGTGAGACGTGCGCCAAGGTGAGGGGATTGCGCCAAGGTAAGGGGGTTGCGCCAAGGTGAGGGGAATGAGGGGAGTGCCTGGGGCTTGTGTCTGTATAACATGTGCTGCAGGGTGCGCGCGAAGTTCCTCGACGAGGACCGCTACATCAGGAGGAACGTCAAGGTGAGACGTGCGCCAAGGTGAGGGGATTGCGCCAAGGTGAGAGACAGGGAATTAAAACGTGACATGTTCCTAGACCCTGTTGCGGATTATTCCACCATAGCTAGCATTGGCCGCCCTTCGTCCTCACGTTGTTCCTATAGTCTTCATCGAACAACATCCAGGGTTTGCCGCGCTGCGATCAGTTTTGTGTCGTCGTCGTCTGCTAGCGAGGTAGTCGCTCCATAAGTCTTTAATCACCGCTTAGCGTTGTAGTTCGGGCGAACAAGGCCCCTTAGCCCGCAGCAGCACGCAAATCAGATACTGCCGTCGAGTGGGGGATGGAGGCGTGCGAGATTCAGGAAACCGTTTGACAGTCAGATCGATCGAGGCCTGGAAGATTGAGGGTAGCTAGGTCCTTTCGGCTTCGACTTAGAGAAGGAGTCTTACGCGGCGGGCTAGACGAGCTCTCTGCACCTGTAGCTAAGTACGCACCTTTCCTGTACAGTGCATTCCTTTGTTGCCCAGGGCATCCGACCATTCAGGAATGGCTTCGCCTGGTTGGGGTTGGTGCAGGGTCGCTGCTAGACCAGTCCCACCCTCCCATGGAACAAATTTTAGAGGCGCCTCAAGAATGGCTTCGCCTGGTCGGGGATAGTTGAGGGTCGCTGCTGGAGCAGTCCCACCCTCCATGGAACAGTCTGTGAGGACGTTGTCTGGACAACAGGGCTGCGCGAGCGATAGCTTTTGAGTCGACTCAAATGTTAGTCTTTTAGGGCGTTAGTGTCAGCAACAGGATTGTGCGGCAGGTAGTTATCAGGTGATCCGGAGATTGCGTCGTCCTCACACCTTTTCCTTATTGCCTTCCCATCCCTCCCACCCATCACCACCCATCACCACCCACCACCACCCATCACCACCCACCACCACCCATCACCACCCATCACCACCCATCACCACCCACCACCACCCATCACCACCCATCACCACCCATCACCACCCATCACCACCCATCACCACCCCAGGTGACATTCTCACCCTCATGGAGTCTGAGCGCGAGGCCCGGCGGCTGCGTTAATCCGGGTTTGCCCGACGCTACGTTTTGGATCGGCTGATTCAACCGCAAGAGCATGGCAGATATTAGCTTCAGCAGCTGTCTGCGATTGGCTGGTGGCTTCGCAAATCTGTTTCGGATTGTGGTCTCATCCAATATGGGCGGCTTTCTCTAGTCCATTCCATTGGTGCCATGTTATGTGCATGATTGTAATCAATGCCAGCACGTTACATGTTCTCACCGTACATCAGCAGCATCCCCCTGGGTGAAGCTGCCTGAGAAGTTCTGCTTGGATCTCATCTCAACAGCAGGAAACATCTGGTACGAAGTGCTAGCTGTTACAGAGCCATACAGATACTACCTAAAAAGCATCTGTGGCCGGTGTATCTGCAGGTGAAGACTGTAGCCGTCTTTGGCGCTTTCTTCGGAGTAACAGCTTCAACCTGAAGGGTCAATCCAGTCCCAGTCCAGTCCAGTGGTGGCTATGAATAAACTGGCAGGCACAGGGCTAAGAACTAGCTAGCTATCTAGTACCCAGCAAAATTGCCTCTACCACTGTCACTTCCTGATGCTGGCCCTGTGTTGTCTCCGAAGAGTCAGGATTCCAACACCGACTAGCAGGGAGGCAGGGAGGAGGAGCAGGTGTGTGTGCAGGCTCACTTTGCCAATCACTTGCCATGGTGATGATGGCGATGGTGATGGTGGTGAGGTGGGCATAGGAGAAACAGAGCTCACCCATTGCTGCACAGACCTCCCCTGGATCCATCGCTCCATCAGCAGCTGAGTGCGGCTGGCAAACGGCCTCATGGCGTGCTCCTTCCCCCCCTCTCTTCCATACCCCTTCCACCCTGCCTCTGCTTCTCCCCCCGCCTTCTCAGCTCCCTCCTTCCTGTACTCTTCATGCGCCTGCTGCACACTGTCTTCGTGGCTGTTTGTCTCAGCGTCAGGCCATTCGCATAGAGCCTCTTCCTCCTCGTCTGCTGATTCGTCATCCTCGATAAAGTCATCATGCATCACCCGCTTCACGTACTCTTGCACTTGCTTCTGCTGCCCCTGCTGCTGCCACCTCTGATGCTGGCGTTGCTCCTGCCACCGCCACCACAGCTGTTGCTGCTCATGCTGTATCCAGTTTAACACGGTAATAACAAGTGACCTCATAATAGTGAAGGCTTGATGCATCGATTGCACACATGCACACAATGCTGTGGAGAGATCTCCAGTGGGTCTGGCTGTAGCAGGGAGGTTGATGGTTTGGCCTGGAACCAGCTTCCCGAGCCTCAGGCTCGGGTTGGCTCTGGAGAGGTCGGTCAGTGTGACTCCATACCTGCGAGCTATCCTTGCCGCCCATTCCCCTCTCTGCACCACGTGCCTCCCGGTACTGCACTGCAGAAGCAACTTTCCCAGCAATGAGTTGCTCTCCACTGGGAACTTTGCTGCACGCGTTGCACTAGTACATCCGTCACCATACTCTTGCATAGCTTCAGGCGAACGGAAAGACAGGTCTGGGCCTGCACTCCAGGTAACATCATCATGTGTCAGCGGCATGCCTCTCCAAGTGATCTCTCCCGGTAAATCCCGGGACACCATGGCTCCGGAAGGCATGCCTCCTGCGGGGGTTACGCCTCTGGTGACCATTGCAGCAGGCCCGAAGACTCGCACCTGGGCGCCGGTAGCAGCAGCCTCGTCCAGGTCCCACGCGTCTGCAGGGAACAACCCAGCAGCCCCTTCCAAATGCCAAGCATTGGCGCTGCTCCCGCTGCTCCCGTTGCTCCCATGGCTGCTCCTGCTGCTCCTCCCGTTGCTCCCATGGCTGCTCCTGTTGCTGCTTCCGTTGCTTCCGCTGCCTATAACGAGCGTTTCTTGGTCCGAAGGAGGCGTCTGAGAGACTTGGTGCAGGCGTCGGCGGCATCCATCGAATCTTGGGGTGATTGGCTCGATCTCTACTGGTTCTCCTGGCACAGTCACGTTACTAGCATGGGGCTGCGATGCCACAGCTGCAGGAATTCCCGAGTCTCTCTGTTCTGCTGGACTGATCCAGCGGCGTTCATCTGAGAAAGAAAATTTTCGCGGGATGAAGATTCTTTTGTCGACGAGGCGTGCTCCTTTTGGCTGTAGAGGGGCTGCATGCAGGCTGGGTGGAGTGTGCACCGCTAGTACTAGCCATGGGGCCATGCCGTTTCGAGACGATCGTACTGGCGCTGAGATATCCAGAAGGAGCACCTAGAAGAAATGGAATTTTGAAGTACAGATATGGTAGGTAATTGCCAGAATAATTGCGTCAGTGGAACGAAAACCGCGAGTCTGCCCAGTGCGATGAAAGGATTCAGTGATGTGTGCAAGGCAGGATGCAGAGGCCCAGCGGTGTTTTTTGTGCTGAAACACATTCAGCGGAGGAACATTTCGAGTCGTCGTGACAACTTTGATGTGATCGAGCACATCGCGATTCGGGTCCTGTGATGTGATGGGCTCGGAGTGCAGCTGAAAATTCTAGCGTGAAGTACGGAACGAGCGAGGATTGGCTGGAAGGAGGCCGAAAGATGCGATGGACATTTCAGATCTGGGAGAGGATGCACTTGGAAATTCAAGTGTGTGGTGCCGATGTACTCGTTGAGTGTGCTCCAATATTATTCGGAACAAAGCACTTGGAAGCAAGGTGTAGTTTCACAAATTTTTACGCTTACGGAATCATACACAACTTCATTCGTTCTCACCATTAGTGCTCCACTTCTAGGTCAAATCTGAACCTGGACTAACCTTCTACTTCAGGGTCATCGCTCATTCCGGTGGCTGCTACTTCCCCAGGCTTGACTCGTTGCGCTCCTGACGAGTGACGGTGTAACTAGTTGCCGCCAGAAGCACACCGCCATTCCTCTTTCACCGGCGTAGGAATCGATGGCTAATTCTCTTTGCTGTCGGGGTCCTCTCCTAAGGAGTTTCTCCGGGTACGTTCCTGCTTCCGTTTCCTCTTCGGTATAGCAGAAACAAGTTAGATTCGCTCGTCCCATCGCGCTCTTCTCGCACACCCCTGTATCGTCGTTCACTCCTCCACGTGGCAGGCTCCGATTGGGTCATCAGTTGCGACGGGGAGCGACGAAGAATAATCTCCTCAACGGCAGATTACCCTCCTGTACCGCACGGAATGATCGAAGCTCCTTAAAGCCGCACGCAACGCGGTGCGAGGCGTCAGAGACATCAACCAGCTCCAGATCGCACGAAGCGGGAGCGAATTCACGGCTTCCCCTGTTCGGTTCTCCCCATCGTCCCATCATTCAGACTCCTGCGTGTAGGTTTCCGAGGCCTTACCCTACCTGCGTCCGAATAACCTGTCTTGACTCAAAAGCGCCTCGATTTCGTGTTTCAGTTCCCCCTGTTCCTCCCCCTCACCCTCTCACCCTCTCACCCTCTCACTCGTGCCCATCCCCTCCCTCCCGCCGTCAGCCAACACCCCTCTGCACGTTACCAGGGCTCGCAGGGGCTTCCTCTCGGAGCTGCAGTCCATCAAAGACGAGGAGAACGTCGGTCAGTGCCCCCCCTCCCCCCACCCCCCCACCCCCCCATGCCCGCTCCTCCTGCTGCTGTGCTGTGGTGCTCATGTGCTGCCCGTGCTCATGTGCTGCCCGTGCTCATATGCTGCCCGTGCTCATATGCTGCCCGTGCTCATATGCTGCCCGTGCTCATATGCTGCCCGTGCTCATATGCTGCCCGTGCTCATATGCTGCCCGTGCTCATATGCTGCCCGTGCTCATGTGCTGCCCTTGCTCCTGTGCTGCCCTTGCTCCCTCGTTCCCGCATCCCCCTCTCTTGGAGGAGCAACCATCTCTCTTAAGACAACCAACACGCCGCTCAAAGCTGCTCTGTCTCTCTCAAGACTCCGCTCATATGACCCCAGTTGTGCTGCCCACTGGTCATATTACGGAGTGAATTTCTGCTCACATGGGCACTAGTTCTCAATCATTTACACGCAATCCCCATCCTTCCGTCAGCCCCCCGCCCCCCAAAACCCTCCCCCTTCCCCAACCCACTCCCCCCCCCTTTCCCCCCACGCCAATCCTCCGTTTCACCTCTGCAGCGGGACCCATTACATTCGAGTCCCCTCTGGACATAGTTCTGTACCCGGACCCGCGCCTGCGAGCGCCCAACAAGCGGGTGAATGTCTTTGATGAGTCGCTGCAGAAGCTGGTGGCGGAGATGCTCGACATCATGTACAGGTGGGGCTGATGCGGAGTGTGCGCGTGCAGGTGGATCATCTTGCCATGCAGCAGATGAGGAGAAGAAATGGTGTTTTTTGTGAGTCGCTGCAGAAGCTGGTGGCGGAGATGCTCGACATCATGTACAGGTGGGGCTGATGCGGAGTGCGTGAAGGGGAATCATCTTGTGATGCAACAGGTGGGGTGAGGAGAAGGAGCAAAGTCGTCGATGAGTCGCTGCAGACGCTGGTGGCGGAGGTGCTCGACATCATGTGCAGGTGAGTTCGATGTGTGTGGTTTCATGGTACAGGTGGGTGTTCAATGCAGTGGGGGAGGGAGGGGTCTTTTGGGTTGCTCAATCTCTTTACCCTTTCCCCCTGTTCCCCTCGGAACCCCATGGTTTGCGTGCTTCTCGGGGCAAAGTGGTTGTCGACTCCTCAGGCGAGGGTTAATCTGCGCTGCGTCTGTTGGCTTGGCGCTCATCCTTTTGTGGTCTGGGGCCACTAGGCCACCCCACAAACTCCTTATTTTCTCTCCCTGCCGCCCCGCACAACCTTGTGTGCTTTCTCAGGACGGATGGCGTACGGCTGTCACCACCGCAGGTGGGGTTGAACGTGCGGCAGATGGTGTTCAATCCAGTGGGGGAGAGGAGAGGCGCCACTCAAGCCCACTCAACCCCCCCTCCCCTCCCCTACCGTCACCCATCTCCCCTCTCTCCCTCACGAGAGGCGCCACTCAAGCCCATCCCCCCCCCTCTCTTCCTGTCACTCTCCCTCACGTCACGTGTCCGTGCCACCTCAGGACGGATGGCGTGGGGCTGGCAGCGCCGCAGGTGGGGGTGAACGTGCGGCTCATGGTGTTCAATCCAGTGGGGGAGAGGGGCAAGGGCGTGGAGATGGTGCTTGTGAATCCGCGCATTGTCAAGTACGCCAAGGCGCGGGATGTCATCGAGGAGGGCTGCCTCTCCTTCCCTATGATTTACGCCGATGTCGAGGTAGGTGTGTTGGTTCGCAAAGTTAGACTGAAGTGGAGTTGATATCTCCCCATGGCATCCATTCTGCTGCTTGTGGGACCTGAATGCTCTCACATGTTCTCTTATACTCCATTTTTTTGTCATTTGCAGCGGCCAGTGGGTGTGAAGGTGGATGCTCAGGATATCAACGGTCGGAAATTCTCTATCAGCCTCAAGGAGTGGCAGGCGCGCATATTCCAACATGAATATGACCACTTGGAGGTAAGTCCTATCCTATGAGCCTTTGAGTTCAAGGATTTTGCCTGCTTTTTTCGCAATATCATTTTGGGTTGGCCTGGTTGTGCTAAGTATGATGCCTTTTGTTGGTTGCAGGGGACCCTTTATTTTGACCGAATGACTCCAGAAGTTCTTGACACTATCCGCAGCAAGCTTATTGTACGTACCGTAACAGAACCGGGAAGTTCTTATTATTGCTGTGTGCAGCATGTTGAGGTGATATGCATGGACTAAATCTGTCTCATCGTTATTTGTTGCAGGAGTTGGAGGACAAGTATGCTGAAGCCACTGGTGCTCCAACGCCCGAGTCGGTTGCCAAGAGACCAACTGCTGCCAAAACCACGAGCCCTGATGTTGCATCGACTCTTTCCCCATGATTTGTGTTGGAGATGCAATGTTTTACCCTAGCTCTTATCTGAATTACAATGTGTGATGGAAGGCTGAGAACTCTGGGACTGTAGCAGTAAGGTTCACGGTATAAAAGGTTCAGCGAACTCTGTCAGCGTGTATCGAGTATACCCTTTCTTAGGAATTGCCGAGCCAACAATTTCTCATTTCAAATCGCCTGATACTCTTGTCAGCATCTTTCCTGGTCAGGCGCTGGCTTAGGTCCGGCCAGCAATATCTAGGTCGGTTTTCAGCAGTTATCTTCTAACCTAAGTTCCGTTCCTTACCACCAGTCCGTGTTTTTCCGTAGCGTGATGGGTCCGGACGAGCGTCGCGTGGGAAAGCGCGAGGAGGAGGAGGAGGAGGAGCGGCGGGGGGAGGAGGATCCGTGGGACGATGAGGAGTCGAGCGACGAGGAGGAGGGGGAGGATCGGCGCAAGTGGAAGCGGAACATGCCGCTGCTCTACGACTGGTTCGCCAACCACCACCTCGTCTGGCCGTCCCTCTCGTGCAGGTTCGGACCGAACCAGAGCGCTAAAAAAATAGCCCTTATCATTAACCGACCACGGAATAACCTTGTGTCGGGGTCCAACATGCTGTAATGGCTACGCCTACTATTGTTAACTTTTTAACGAAAATACCTAGTCTCTTCTTCATTTTTCGGCGCTCGTTCATCGAGTCTTCCTAGTTGTCCCTGCGTCATTGTTCGTGGTGCATGTCTGCATCTCCATGTCTTGCATGCATACGTCTTATATCAGGTGGGGTCCTTTGGTTGGTGGGGTCCATTGGTTGGTGGGGTCCATTGGTTGGTGGGGTCCATTGGTTGGTGGGGTCCATTGGTTGGTGGGGTCCATTGGTTGGTGGGGTCCATTGGTAGGTGGGGTCCATTGGTTGGTGGGGTCCATTGGTTGGTGGGGTCCATTGGTTGGTGGGGTCCATTGGTTGGTGGGGTCCATTGGTTGGTGGGGTCCATTGGTTGGTGGGGTCCATTGGTTGGTGGGGTCCATTGATTGGTGGGGTCCATTGGTTGGTGGGGTCCATTGGTTGGTGGGGTCCATTGGTTGGTGGGGTCCATTGGTTGGTGGGGTCCATTGGTTGGTGGGGTCCATTGGTAGGTGGGGTCCATTGGTTGGTGGGGTCCATTGGTTGGTGGGGTCCATTGGTTGGTGGGGTCCATTGGTTGGTGGGGTCCATTGATTGGTGGGGTCCATTGGTTGGTGGGGTCCATTGGTTGGTGGGGTCCATTGGTTGGTGGGGTCCATTGGTTGGTGGGGTCCTTTGGTTGGTGGAACGCGTTTGAGCTTGAGTCAAACATCGTCATGTCGTAACAACGTCGCGCGGAACTTTTGAGTCACATTCGAGTCGATGGAAAGGTGTTTGCCTCTCCCGAGTCCCTCCGCGCTTGCGTTTCTCACGTGCGTGCGAACGTGTGCCGGCAGGTGGGGTCCGCTCGTGGAGGACCGGAAGCACAAGTACAAGCGACGGCTCTACCTATCCGAGCAGGTACGGCTCTACCTATCCGAGCAAGTACGGCTCTACCTATCGGAGCAGGTACGCCTTTTTCAGGGCTCCACTTACTACACTGTGGACCTTCTCCAAGCAGGCGGAAGACACAGTACGCAGCCCTCCTATCGTCTCTGACGCCATTGTGGCCATTCGCATCTCTGTCTGCCTCCCCATCTCATGGTGGTGTCTCTATCCCGGCCGCTGTCTCTTAACTCCCATGCGGACGGAAGGCACAGTACCCAACACTCGGGTGGTGTCCAACGCCCGTGTGGTCATCTGTTACCGCTGCTAATACGCCTTGTGCTGCCTCGGTCGCTGTCTCCCATCTCGTGCTGTCTGGTGCCGCTGGCGCTGCCCCTTACCCCCCATCAGACGGACGGCACAGTGCCCAACACTCTGGTGGTCTCCAACGCCTATGTGGTCAAGCCACGTGTCGCTGCCCCAAGAGACATCTGCCGGGTATGCAATGATGGGTGGGAGGTAGTGCTTTTGGTCACACACGGTTTTTATGCTCCCACTGAACGCTGTTCCAAGTCCGACTGGCGCTCGCCCTTTGTGCACTGATCTCTTCTGAGCCAATTCAGCAAAGTCCTTTTTCTCCTCCTCCCCCACTGATCCCAGTTTAAGTACGACCGGCGCTTGCCCGTTGCGCACAAGTTGCCCCCCAGTCAACTCACAGCACTACCTTCCCCCTTCGCTTTCCTGCCTGTCCCTGTCCCTGTCCCTGTCCCTGTCCCTGTCCCTCTCCCTGTCCCTGTCCCTCCCAGTTCAAGTACGATCGCTGCTCGCCCTTCGTGCGCAAGTTCAAGACATCGTGCATCCGGGGGAGGTGAACCGCATCTGAGAGCTGGTGCAGAACCAAAGCTTCCATATCATTACTGTTGCATGGAAGCTCCCATCTCCCATTCCTTCCCCCCTACTCCCTCCTCCACCGCCCCCCTCTCTCAGTTCAAGTACGACCGGCGGTCGCCCTTTGTGCGCAAGTTCAAGACGATTGTGCATCCAGGGGAGGTGAACCGCATTCGGGAGCTGGTGCAGAACCGCAACATCGTCTTCACTCACACCGACAGCCCCGACGTGCTCATGTGGCACGTGGAGCGACACCCCTTCTGCACGCCCTCCTTCAACACGCCCACCTCAACCCCGGACCTGGTAGGTGCCCCTCGGTGTGAGCCGGCCAATCACTGGGGTAGAAGCACAGAGGCACAGATGCATCAGCTTCACTTGACTCGCCCTGGCACACCGACAGTCCCGACGTGCTCATGTGGCACATGGAGTGACACCCCTTCTGCACGCCCTCTTTTCAACACGCCCACCTCAACCCCCGGCCTTGTATTTGGCTCTTTCTCCCTGCCTTCCTCCCCTTTTCTCGTCCCCCTCGCATTTCTTTGAGCAAAAGCCTGATCCCCCACCCCCCCCTCCCTTCTTCGTCTTCCCTCCACTGACAGATCCTGGTGGGCCACACAGACGATGCAGAGTTCGCCATGGCAACGAGCCCCGTTGCTCCCCTAGTCATCAGCGGTGGGAAGGACCAGAACGTGTTGCTGTGGAACGTTGCCGACCATGTCACATCGCTGCAGGTGAGCCACCAGGCCATGCCACATCGCTGCAGGTGAGCTACCAGTATTCTGGGGACCAGGTGAAATGCCAGTGTAATGTGGCGCCTGAGTGATCAGCGGTGGGAAGGACCAGAACGTGCTGCTGTGGAACGTTGCTGACCATGTCACGTCGCTGCAGGTAGGCAGCCTGGATTCTGGTAGCCCTGTGAAATGCCAATGTATTCTGGCGCCTGAGTGATCAATGGCGGGAAGGACCAGAGCGGGCTGTGCTGCTGTGGAATGTTGCCGACCATGTTGCACCGCTGCAGGCGAGCCCTGAGCTACCAACCACGCAGCTTCATGCATCACTCATATTCCTTCCTCTGTCACGGGCCCATCCCATGCGTGCTATTCCCTGTGATACCCCCCCATTCCTATCCAGCCCAACTCCGCTGCTGCTCTCTGCTTAGCCCATCCCAACTCTGGGCCTGTGTGCCCTTCCTCCTTCCCGTTCCCTTGTGCCTGCACCTTTCCTCGTCGCCTGGACGCCCCACCCCTCGTCCTTGTCCTTCCCTTCCCCGTCACTTGCAGTCTTCTGCTGCCCTCCGCAAGCCCCACCCCTCCTCCAAGGCAAAGGCTAAGCCAACTGCTCCCCCCTCCTTGGCTTCCCGCCGTGCCTCCTCGCCCCCCCCTTCCTCTCGCGCCCGCCCTGACTCCCCTGCTCGTAGCGGGGGGAGAGGGGGGGGAGGGGGCGGGGATGGGGGAAGTGCAGCAGGGGAGGCGGAGAAGAAACGGAAGCGGGAGGAGGAGGGTGAGGCGAAGAGGGAGGAGAAAAAGGAGGGGGAGAAGGAGGAGGGCGGAGGGGATGGGAAGGATGTAGAGGTTAAATCGGAGGAGGGCGAGAATGGAATGGGGAAGGACGGGGAGGGAAAGGTGAAAGACGGCGGAGAGGAAGAGAAGGAAGGGGAGGGGAAAGAGAAGGGGGAGGATGAGAAAGTGAAGGAAGGGGAGGAGTCGAGGGAGGTGAAGGGTGAGGAGGAGAAGGTCCCCGAGGAAGAGGGAAAGGCTGCAGAGGAGGAAGAGAAGAAAGAGGAAGGTGACGGGATGGGCAGTAAGGGGGAAACGTTGAATGAGGAAGCAGAAACACAAGTAGGGGCTGAATCAAAAGAGGGGATAGAAGCAAAAGCGGAAGTAGAGACAAAAGAGGGGGCAGAGGCGAAGGAGGGGGAAGGGGCTGGAGATGAATCAAAGGTACAACCCAAGGGGACAGAGGGCGATGTGGAGATGACTGATGCTGATGCTGATGCTGCTACAGCTGATGCTGCCGCTACAGCAGACGCTGCTGCTACAGCAGACGCTGCCGCTACAGCTGACGCTGCTGCAACAGCTGATGCTGGTGGTGCTACAGCTCTTGCCGCTGCTACAGCTGACGCTGCTGCATCTGATGCTGATGCTGCTAAGGATGCGGTCGGTACTAATGTTGTTGCTGATAACGGGGACGCTCCTTCTGTAACTGGCGCTAATACAAAGGAGGAGGCAGTGAACAAGGAGGAAGGAAAGGGATTGGAGGAAGGAAAGGGATTGGAGGAAGGAAAGCAAGCTGAAGCAGGGGAAGAGCAGGAGACAGCGAAGGAGAAGGTAGAGAAGGAGGAGGACGGGGGGAAAGAGGAAGAGGCAGGGAGTGAGGAAGAGGCAGGGAGTGAGGAAGGAGTGACACCCCTGGCAGGGAGGGAGGGAGGGAAGGAGGAGGAGGGGAAAGAGGGTGAAGCAGGGAGGAAAGAGGGTGATGGTGATGCTGACACTCCTGACCCTGCTGCTCCTGCTGCTGCCGACGCGGACAAACCTGCCGAGGCGGCAAAAGAGAGTGAAGGCATGGAGGTGGATACAGCAGGGGGAGTAGAGGTTGAGGGAGAGAAGGAGAATGATAATGCAGGGAAGGATAACGCACGGGGGGGTGAAGCTGAGGGTGGCAGCAAGGATGACAAGCCGGAGAAAGTGGCCAAGGAAGGTGAGGATACTGATAACAAGAACGTCAAGGCAACCAAGGAAGAGAAGAAGACTGACGAGACACCATCAACAGGAATGGTTATCGATGATGCAACTGCTGGTGGTGGTGGTGCTGCTGCTGCTAAAGATGACGCTGACACAGACGCCCATACTGCAGGGAAGCCTGCTGCAGCACCCCGCCGCTCCCCCTCCCCCCCAATCAAGCTGGGCGAAGCCCCCAAGTCCTCCAGCCTGGCGCCCCGCGGGGTGTTCAAGGGGCACACAGCGACCGTGGAGGACGTGTGCTTCCACCCCTCGCACTCGCAGCAGTTCTGCTCCGTGGGCGACGACGGGAAGCTGCTGCTGTGGGACGCCAGGACAGGCGGGGAGAAGGGCCCGTGCCAGCGGGTGGACAAGGCGCACGATGCTGACGTGCACTGCGTGGACTGGAACACGCGGAACGAGCACCTGGTAGTGACGGGGGGTGCGGATAAGAGTGTGAGACTGTTTGACGTGCGGAAGCTGGGGGGCGGGCCGGTGGGGAGGGCGGAGGGGGAGGGTGGTGGGGGGGCGGAGGGGAGGGGGAAGGCGAAGGCGGCGCATGTGTTCCGGGGAGGGCATAGAGCAGCAGTGCTGTCCGTGCAGTGGTGCCCCGACAGCCCCTCTGTGTTCGCCAGCTGTGCAGAGGACGGCCTCGTCAACATCTGGGACTGCTCCCTGGTGAGTCAACATCTGGGACTGCTCCCTGGTGAGACTCGCAAGAGCGTGTAGTGTTGGGCAATCTGCAAGCAGGTGTGTTCAGAGCTCTGTCACTGCTATCACGTCACCACCCGACTGTGCATCGGACCACCCTCTCCCCCCCGCTTGCCCGCTCCCTGCTTTCCATCCGCCCGCCCCGCCCCCCTCAGCTGCACGTGGAGGCAGTCAAGTCATCTCGGGCTGACGGTGTGCCGCCAGGGTTGCTATTCCAGCACGTGGGCCACCAGTGAGTGCCTGGGGGGATTGCACCCCCCTCTCCCCCTCATTCTTCCTCTCCCGCATTTTCTCCTTACTGTTTGAACTGGTGAGAGTGCTGCCAGCGCTTCTCTTCCAACTCGTGGGCCACCAGTGAGTGCTTGCTTGACCTTGTTCCTTGCTTTTGTTCCTCCCGTTCCTTCTGTTGTGTTGGCCCTTTGCACATCTTTTCGCCCCCAAACCTTCCCAAATGTCCGTTCCCCGTCCCTGTTTTCCTTCGCATAGGGACCGAGTGATAGAATTTCAGTGGGCACCAAAGGACCCCTGGACGTTTGCAAGTGTGTCAAGCAATGTGAACAAGAGGAGGGGAGGAGGGACGCTACAGGTGAGTAGCTTCGGGTGATGGTGTTGTGGCACTTTCAGTGCTGTTTTTTACCATGTATTTGCTCACTATTGTGTGGTTGGTTTGTGCAGATGTGGCGGGTTCTGGATCTTATTTACCGTCCAGCTAAAGATGTCGTTATTGACCTTAACCGTTACGTCTAGTAACCTTCTACTAAACGTAGGAAATAATTTCGCTGGTAGGTGTTGATTTCCAGCTTTTGGCTGGAAGCCCAAGCTAATTTACTAACGGATGTGGGTGGGATGACAATGTTGTCAACTTATACATATTATCTATGTAGAAGTTATAGGCTAGACTGAGGTATGCTTCTAGTGAGTACAACCAACTAGTATTTGTTCTAGGTTTCCACCTCTAGTAATCATTCGTTTCTACGTTAACATGGTATCACGCTTAGGTTAGGATCCCCCCGCCTACCGCTTCCGCCCGTCGCGCCTCCTAGGCCCCGTCGCGCCCCCTAGGCCCCGTCGCGCCCCCCCTGGGCCCCGTCGCGCTCGTTAGGCCCCGTCGCGCCCCCCCTGGGCCCCGTCGTGCCCGCTGGGACCCGTCGCGACCCCTAGGCCCTAACGCGCCCCCGCTGGGCCCCGTTGCGCCTCCTAGGCCCCGTCGCGCCCCCCATGGGCCCCGTCGAGCCCGCTGAGCCCCGTCGTGCCTCCTAGGCATCGTCGCGCCTCCTAAGCCCCGTCGCGTCCCCCCTCTCTGGGCCCCGTCGCGCCCGTTCGGCCCCGTCGCGCCCCTCCTAGGCCCCGTCGCGCCCGCTGGGCCCCTTCGCGCTTCCTAGGCCCCGTCGCGCCTGCTAGGCCCCGTCGCGCCCCCCCTGGGCCCCGTCGCGCCCGTTAGGCCCCGTCGCGGCCCCCCTGGGCCCCGTCGTGCCCGCTGGTCCCCGTCGCGCCTCCGCGGCCCCGTCGCGCCCCCCCTGGGCCCCGTCGTGCCCGCTGGGCCCCGTCGCGCCCCTTAGGCCCCATCGCGCCCGCTGGCCCCTGTCGCGCCTGCTGTTAGCGCTCGCCCGCCTGGCCTCCTCCTAGTGCCGCTCGGCCTCCTCCTAGTGCCGCCCGGCCTCCTCCTAGTGCCGCCCGGCCTCCTCCTAGTGCCGCCCGGCCCCTTCCTAGCGCCGCCCGGCCTCTCCTCAGCGCTGCCCGGCCCCTCCTCGTGCCCGACCGGCCCCAGCAGCACCAGCCTGGCCCCTCCCAGCACCAGCCCGGCCCTAGCGCACCTGCCCGCCTCCCCTGCTCGGCCTGCCGTGTCCTCTCGGGCCCTGTGTCTTCTGCTTGCCTGCGCTGGGACGCCTAGCTGCTGCCCTACTGGAGAGTGCTGCCGCCGTGTCCCCGCGCCGCTGTGCTCCTGTGCCGCTGAGGAGCTGTGCTGCTGTGCCGCTGTGTCGCTGAGGAGCTGTGCCGCTGACCCTGCACGATGGCTGACTTTGTGCTCCGCCTGGACGCTGAGGGCCACGCGGTTGACTTCGCCGCCTGGCTCTCCGATCTTCGCCGCCAGCTTACAGGTCAGCGCCAGGATGGCCACTCTCTGGTTGTCCATGCTGATGGCTTGCTCCCCCGTCCCCCTGCACCTACTCCCCTCCCTGCTGACCCCTCCTCTGATGACCGTGAGGCTTTCTCTACTGCTGCGCTAGCCTGTGCGGTCTGGGACTCACGCGATGCAGTAGCTCAGGTTGCTATTAGTCACGCCCTCCCTGTGTCTGAGCGCTCGCGTTTTGCTACTGTTGAAACGGCCAAAACTTATTTAGACGCCGTTATTGCTCGCTATTCCACCCCTGCCTCCGCTTCTGCTGGCCGCTTGCTCTTTCCGATGCTGTTCCCAGACCTGGCTGCCTTCCCTACTGTCGCAGATTTTGCCACTCATTTGCGTGCCCTAGAGACTCGCTATCGCACTGCCAGCACTGCTGCCCAGCTCACTGCGCTCCCCCCTCCTTTCTGCATGACGCTCTATTTTATCGCTATGCGCCTGCCAGACCGCCTCGCTAGTGCTCGCGACCACTTTCTTAGCCAGCACCCGGGTGACCTCACCCTGACCGCCTTTGTCGACACCCTCACTGAGATCGAGACTCGCCAGCGCACTATCGCTCAGTCGAGCGGTGCGCCGGCAGTCTCTATCTTTCACGGTTGTGCCCCATCCCCGTGCACGTTCACTGACGTTTCGGCTGCGGTCGCCACGGCGACCCCTCTTACCGAGACGGCTGCTGCTGTCCACCCGCAGCAGCGCTCGCGTCGCGGTGGCCGTGGCCGCCAGGGAGGTAGGGGTGGTGACGCAGGTGGTAGTGGTCGTGGTGGTGGTGACGGTAGTCCGCCTGAGGGGACTACCACCGGTGGGCAGGAGCAGCAGTCCCAGCAGCAGCAGGACCAGCCCCAGCCGCAGCCGCCGTCCCAGCAGCACCCGCCGCAGCCGTGGGCTCGTCTCCCGCCTGGTTGGCCCGGCACCTCCGGAGGCGGTGGCCGTGGTGGCGGCCCGCGCAGCTTGGCGTCTACCAGCGGCTCCAGTGCTGTGACCTGCCAGTACCAGCTTCAGACCGGGCCTCTCCGCGGCACTCTGTGCCGCCGCCCGCACCCGACCGCCCACTGTTTCCGCCGCCTCGACGATCTTTTTCGTCGTCGCTTTGGCCCGGCCCCGGACCTCCCTGACTGGCACAGCCTGCTCCGCCAGGGCGTGCCGATCTTTGAGTTAGACATGGATCAGATAGGTGCTGCTTTGCATGCTTTGTATGCTGACGCTTCTAGTGTTGATGGATCTTACTACCATGTGTACTCTAGTTTAGGTGTTTCACCCTTGTGTAGCTTAGCTTCCCCTGCTGCGACAGGCGTAGGACTGCCTAGGTTGCCTAGTCTAGTCGCTGCACCGGCTCCGTCCGCGGCCTCCGCCACTGCGTCGCTGTCCTTCACTCTCGACTCTGGTGCTTCTGCCTGCTTCTTCCGCGACCGTTCCACGCTCACGCCGCTTGCTGCACCTGCTGTTGTCTCTCTCGCTGACCCCTCTGCGGGTCCGGTCGTCGCGCGCAGTTCTACGTCCCTTCCCTGTCCGGCAGTTCCCTCGGGCTCCCTTACTGGCCTCCACGTTCCCTCGTTCTCCAGGAACCTGGTTGGTGTCGGCTGTTTCCAGGACCTCGGCGTCACCACCACGTTCCCCGGGCACGAGCGGTTCGCTGTCTGTTCTGAGGCTGTCTCAGGTTCCCCACTTGCGACGTTCCCCCGGGACCCGGTGTCCGGTCTGTTTACCCTACACACCGCTTCCCCCCCGGTTGGTGCGTCCTCCCAGGTCGCTGCAGCTTGCTCGTGTCGGTCCCTCACTCACCCGTCCCTTCTCTGGCACCACCGCTTAGGTCACCCTGCTCTCCCGCGTCTGCGTCACATGTCCCAGCACGGTCTTGTCTTAGGTCTCCCCGCGTCGCTCCCTGCCCTTCCTCCCTCGACTGCGCCACCGTGCACGCCTTGCGTCGAGGGTCGGCTCCGCCGTGCTCCTCACTCCTCCTCGCTGCGTCCTGCTACTGCCCCCCTTCAGACCCTGCACTTGGACGTTTGGGGCCCTGCCCCCGTCCCCGGACCGCGCGGTGAGCGCTACTTCCTTGTGCTCGTTGACGACTACACGCGCTACACCACGGTGTTTCCCCTGGAGCGGAAGGCCGACGTGCCCGACGTTCTTCTCCCGTGGGTTGTAGCTGCGCGTCTCCACCGCGGTCTCCCCGTGTTGTGTCTCCACTCCGACCGTGGCGGCGAGTTCGCCTCTGGTCGGCTTGGACAGTTCTGTCGTGCGGAGGGCATCACCCAGTCGTACACCTTGCCGGACTCGCCACAGCAGAATGGGGTTGCTGAGCGCCGCATCGGCTTGGTCATGGAGGTCGCCCGTACCTCCATGATCCATGCCGATGCCCCCCATTTTCTGTGGCCGTTCGCTGTTCGCTACGCGGCTCACCAGCTTAACCTGTGGCCACGCTCCCAGCGGCCGCAGGTTTCGCCGACCCTCCTTTGGACCGGGTCCCCCGGTGACGCGTCTGCGTTCCACGTCTGGGGCTGCCTTGCTCACGTTCGTGCCTCTGGCACGGACAAGCTCACTGCCCGCACTGTCCCCTGTGTCTTCCTCGGTTTCCCCCTGGACTCGTCTGACTGGCTTTTCTACCACCCGCCGTCTCACCGCTTCCTCCACTCTCGTGACGTCACCTTTGACGAGTCCGTCTCCTTCTACCGCCGCTTCCCTCACCGAGGTCTCCCAGTTGCCCCCCCCCTTTTCCTTGCTCCCTCTCCCCCGGTAGCCCCTGCCCCTCTCCCGCCTCGTCCTGCCCCGTCTGGTGTCTCCCACGTCACTCCCCTCCCGTCGGTTGTCCCCGTTGAGGAGTCTGCTGACTCTGGTGGTACCCCCGGTCCGTCCTTGCCGCGTCCCCCTTCCCCAGTGCCTCCGCCCCCACTGTCGCAGTCGCCGACCCCGCTGCCGCCGCCGTCGCCGTCGCCGCCGCAGCCGTCGCCGCTGTCGCCGCCACTGCCGCCGCTGCTCTCGGCCCCTGGGGGTGCTGGTGTGGAGGAGGGTGTTCGTCCTGCGGCTTCTGGGGGTGCCGCTGGTGTTGGAGGGGGTTCTCGCTCTTGGGGTGTTGGTTCTGGGGGTGCTGCTGTTGAGTGTTCTGCCGACGGTCGTTCTGCCTCTGCTGGTCCGAGAGTTCCGGCCCAGCCGTCGTCGCCGCCACAGCAGCCGTCGCCGCCGGTTTCCGCTCTCCGCCTGCTCGGCCTTCCCTCCCCGGACCGCGCGCCGGTGTCTCCCCCACCGCCTCCTGACCTCCCTGTCTACGGTCCTGTGTTCCCGCCGCCAGACTCGTCTCCGGCCCGTCTTCCTCCTCGTTCCCCTCCTGTGTCTCCTCCGCTGTCCCCTGACCCTACCCCTCCGTCTCACGTTTGGGCTCGCCGTCCCTCCCGTGCCCGTCCCGTCTCTCCTGTCCTGCCCACCCACCCTATGTTGCTCCGTTCCCACTCGTCTCGTCCTCCCCTCCTCCCGTCCCCTCCTCCCTCGTCCCTTGCTGTTGCACCTCCTCCGTTCTCTGACTACCTCCGTGCTGCTCGTCCCCTTGTCCCTCGGGTCCTTGCCTCTCTTGTTACCGACCCTGCTGTTCCTGTCTCGCGCCTTGACGCGCTTGTCGCTGCTGTCGCTGACTTCGCTTCTACCCGCCGCCTTGACTACGCTACCGCTCTGGTCTCTGACCCTGCCCGTCCTCTGTCCGTCGGGGGTGCTCCTGCCCTTGGCAGTGACGTCCTAGAGGACAGGCAGTACGAGCTGGCTTTCCTTTCCGAGGCTGCTCCCCATCTCTGCTCCATGCTGTTAGTCCCTGAGGGTGACCCAGACGCCTTCGACATCCCGACCCCTCGCACCTACGCTGAGGCCACCTCGGGACCTTGGGCCTCTCAGTGGATAGCTGCCATGGAGCAGGAGATGGCATCTTGGAGATCCACCGGCACTTACGTCGACGCAGTTCCCCCGCCTGGGGTGAACGTAGTCGATGGTCGGTGGCTCTTCAAGGTGAAGCGCCCCCCTGGAGAGCCGCCTGTCTTCAAGGCGCGCTACGTGGCCAGAGGTTTCAGTCAGCGCGAGGGGGTTGACTTCTTCCAGACCTTCGCCCCGACCCCGAAGATGACCACTCTTCGGGCGCTGCTACACGTAGCAGCACAGCGTGACTACGAGCTTCACTCTCTCGACTTCTCTACTGCCTTTCTTCAGGGCAGCCTACACGAGCAGGTCTACCTGCGCCGACCACAGGGCTTCACTGGTACCTTCCCTCCTGGGACCCAGTGGCTTCTCAGGCGCCCGGTCTACGGCCTGCGTCAGGCTCCCCGCGAGTGGCACGACACGCTACGTGCCACGTTAGCAGACCTGCAGTTCTTTCCGTCCTCTGCTGACCCTTCACTGTTTGTGCGTTCCGGCCAGACTCCGTTCTACATCCTTGTCTACGTAGACGACCTGGTCTTCGCTACTCCTGACAGGGACGCACTGGCCTCTGTGAAGGCTGAGCTGCTGAAGAGACACACCTGCACTGACCTTGGAGAGCTGCGTCGCTATCTTGGCCTGCAGATCTCTAGGGACAGAGCAGCACGCACCATCACTCTGACCCAGTCACACTTGGTGCGTCAGGTCCTTCAGAGGTTCGGTCTTCAGTTCTCCTCCGCACAGCCCACACCTCTACCCGTAGACCATGGGCTCTCTGCTCCCGTTCCTGAGGAGCCAGTAGAGCCCAGTGGCCCCTACGCAGAGCTGGTGGGTTGCCTCATGTACCTGATGACTTGCACTCGCCCAGATCTCGCATACCCTCTCAGCATCCTGGCTCGCTTTGTGGCTACAGGCAGACACCGACCTCAGCACTGGTCTGCCGCTAAGAGGGTTTTGCGTTATCTTGCTAGTACATCAGGCATGGGGTTAGTGCTAGGAGGACGCAGGCCAGTGGTCCTTACTGGGCACACAGACGCTTCTTGGGCAGACGACGCTGAGACGCTCAGGTCGTCGCAGGGCTATTGTTTTAGCCTTGGTTCGGGTGCTATCTCTTGGAGATCCACTCGCTCGTCGTCTGTGGCTCAGTCTAGCTGTGAGGCTGAGATCTACGCTGGTGCCATGGCGGCACAGGAGCTCCGCTGGCTGACCTTCTTGCTCACAGACTTAGGTGAGCGGCCTAGCTCTGCCCCGGTCCTGTACGCTGACAACAGGGCCATGATACTCCTGTGTCAGGAGCCTCGGCTTGAGGGCAGAGCGAAGCATATCCAGCTGCGGTACTTCCTCCTGCGCGAGCTACAGCAGCGCCGCCAGGCCCGCGTAGTTCACTTGGCCTCAGGTGCCAACACAGCTGATATCTTTACTAAGGCGCTTGCGCCTAAAGATCATCAGCGGCACTGTGTACAGCTTGGTCTTGTTCCTATAGCTGCTCCCCTGTTAGGATCCTGATTGTGTACTCTCTATTATATATGCTTGTCAGACTGGCCTTGTGGCCTTACCTCCAGTGGCTGGACTAGTAGTGCCACCCTGGCTTGCTTCAGTTTTGGTTGTATTCTTGCTGACTGGTCTCCAGACCCCTGCCTCAGTGGTTGGACTAGTAGTGCCGCCCTGAGCTGTTTGCTTCTTGTTTAGTTTCACCCCTTGTCTAGCCTAGGGGGTGTGTCAACTTATACATATTATCTATGTAGAAGTTATAGGCTAGACTGAGGTATGCTTCTAGTGAGTACAACCAACTAGTATTTGTTCTAGGTTTCCACCTCTAGTAATCATTCGTTTCTACGTTAACAAATGTTCCACTTCAGACTCCCTTACCCTGATACATGTATGTATCTTCGATATGTGAGAAGCGTCAGATAAGAGGGCAATCAATATCGGAGATGTGCATTCTTTGGTAGTCTGCCTGGAATGAAACCCTTTCCCCTGAACCGTTATGCCTGTCGAGGGATTAGTCCGTAGCAAGGGGCCATAGGATGCTCAGTATTTGCTTAGGTCTAAGATAGGTGAGGCGAGGAGTCTAGTCTCCTTACCACGCTCCAGTTCCGCGCAGTGTTGCGTCGCGCGTCTCTGCGGATCAATCGCGCTAGTTAAATTCTAAGTAGCACCTTACGCTCTAGGCGCCATGGCGGGTATGGAGATGGTGTGGCCGGGAGCCACGGCGCACTCGGGAGCCATGACAACCGCGGGAGCCATGACGACCGCGGGAGCCATAGTTCACACGGATCTCGCCAGGGAGTTCGCGTCGCGGGGGTTTGTGGACAACGCTCGCCCGCCTATGGCGGCGGCGGCGGAGTTGCTTAGTTCCGTGGGCCGAAGCGGAGAGGATAGTCGCGAGGATGATGACGTGGAGCTTTGGCTCGTGCAGATGCCGGACGCCAAGAGTGTACGCGTTATTGATAACAGTACTACTTTCTTTAGACGTTTCCGCTATTGCTACCTTACAATCCTGGGTTCTTTTTTACATCCGTCATCTGCCTCCGTTCCCTGGTCCCCCCTTCATTTTCCCTTCCCCTTCCTCCTGACCTTTCCCATCCTTTTTTTCCTTCCCCTTCCCCTTTCCCTTCCCCTTCCCCTTCCCCGTCCCCTTCCCCTTCCCCTTCCCCTTCCCCTTCCCCTTCCCCTTCCCCTTCCCCTTCCCCTTATTCTTCTACTTCCGTTCCCCCTTTCCCGTTTCCACCCCGCGCAGTTGGACCTCCGCGCGCTCGACGGTGCGCAGCTGCACGTGCCGGCGGGGGCGCACGGGGATGGGCGGAGGGTGGAGATGTGCCGGTTTGCGCCACCAGGGGCAACCGCCGCGGGGGGAGGGAGGGGATTCGTTTGGGGAGGCCAACCAATCACAGTAAGGCTCTCGGGGACCTGGGGAAGAGATGGAAGGGGAGATGGAAGGGGAGATGGAAGGGGGAGGGGGAGGGGCGATGGGCGGGGATGTTTCAGGGTGGGCATCGTCACGGGGCTATCATTTTCGTCTTGGGAATGTTTCTTGTGTCTCTGAGGCCCGTGGGGCCGTGGCCTGTGTTGGCTTATTGACACGTCTTAAAGCGGCATTCCTTTTCACCCCGTCCCGGCCACCAGGAGCTCTCTCTCGTGTCTGACGCGTTGCCCCGGGGGGGCCTAGTGGCCATTCTGCCTGGCAGCGACGGCCGGCCGCCGATAGGTGTGTACGCATGCATGTGCGTTGGTAGGACGCACGCATGTGTATGCACGTGTAACAGCGCACCGTGGCAAGGCAGGTGCTTGTGACTATGACCCCCTGCCCTCTCCCGCCCTTCCCTCCCCTAATCCGCTTCTCTTCCCACCCTTCCCGCCCTGGTACATTGTGTTCTCGGCAGTGCGGCCAATCACTCGCTCGGTCACATGTGTGTCTGCTGCTGCCGTGCCGCATCCCGAACCCGCTCCAGCGCCTCCTGAAGGTGAGCTCCAGCGCCCCCTGAAGGTGAGCTTCAGCGCCCCGTGGAGGTGAGCTCCAGCGCCCCCTGAAGGTGAGCTTCAGCGCCCCGTGGAGGTGAGGTCCAGCGCCCCCTGAAGGTGAGATTCAGCGCCCCCTGGAGGTGAGCTCCAGCGCCCCCTGAAGGTGAGCTTCAGCGCCCCCTGGAGGTGAGCTCCAGCGCCCCCTGAAGGTGAGCTTCAGCCCCCCCTGGAGGTGAGCTTTTCTCTCTTCCATAACCCTTTCCCAATCAACTGCTGAACGGCCTGTAACAATCCCCAGCCACGCACTGTCAACCTGACATCCAAGTGGATATCAGTCTTTCTTAGGTGACCTGGAATTGTCAAAGCGTGTCTCAATCCAGTCCCTTGATGAATGTATGCCACACGAACCAGTGGTGTCCACGCTCACTTACCAACCACTTCCGTGACTTCATCTGCCCTCTTTCTGCTGGCACGTCTTTTCCTCTTCTCGTTTCTTTTTTGAACAGGAGTGCTGTCTGCCAAGAAGAAAGGCAAGCAAAAGAAGGCGACAGATAAGGTGGAAGTACAAGACAAGGGCGAGACTCCCAAGATGAAGAAAAAGCACAAAGGAGATGTGGAAGGGGATGGTGGTGGAAGCTCTTCCAAGAAGTTGAAGAAGAGAGACGCTTGATTAGCATCATTTTGAAGTGCTAGGCACAGTCAGCACTTGCCAGATGAATTAGAGAGGAGCTGCGTTCAGAGCACAGGAGCTAGTCCTTGATATGGAAATGCAGGGTCTGTATGCATTTTTTCTCTCGCAAAAGCCAAGTGTTACTTTGATAACGAATCCGAGGTTGGTCGTTGTTTTCAAACGCACCATTCCCTTGAGATCATCCCAGCCGTTTCTGGGAACAGAAGTTCGGCGAAATGATGATCCCTAGGGAGAAATGCAGCAGGTGCCTAGTCTAGTCAGTGACTCCCTCGCCCATAGTAGCATGTGTCAGGAACTCTAAGAGTCATGGGCATTAGCCTGACAGCCCGAAGGTTTCTGAGCCAACCTGATGAGGCATTTTTCTTACGAAATGTCAGCAAGTGCTATCACGTCGTAGCAAAATGGGGAGGCATGTCTTGCGCAAGCGAACAACTCCGGTAGAATTTTATTTCACTATCATATTGACGCCGACAATGTCTCTAGCATGTACCTCCGAAAATAAGTCGGGTGTCAGATAATCACTAAGGCTCATGCACCTGTTACGCTTGCTCACGTTTTCTGGCGGAAGCTGACCTTCAGTAACGGAAGCTGGCCTTCAGTGACAGAAGCTGGCCTTCAGTGACGGAAGCTGGACGGATCATGACCAGTTCAGGATGAACCGATCATTCAGTGACGGAAGCTGGACGGATCACGACCAGTTCAGGATGAACCAGTCATGCAGTGACGGACGCTGCAACGCCGTTCCTAATCTCGGCGGCGTCGGCGAAGTCACCTTCGCCAGGCATCGCGACGTCGTATGCATCACTCCGGCTCCTGACAATACCGCCGCCTCTCCTCCTGGTGCCACTGACCTGGGTGCAACGGCGACCCCCAGAAAAGCTTCCGGACTGGGCTTCCGGTCTCAAACCCTCGCCGCCTTACCCTCCTTCTCGGTCTACTGCTCAAACGACCTCGGTAGTCCGCTTCCGTTCCGCTCAGCTCCGATTGCTGTATCAGAGGAGCAGCTTTTCCCCAACGAGGAGGACTGTGATGTCGTTTCGCTGTGTCCTGCCGTGCCGACAGCCATGCCGACTCGCGAAAGGGAAGTTCTCAGTAACCGTGGTGCATCGTTAACCTCGCCGGAGAAAGAGCACGCGTTGACGACCTCGCCAGATTCCGGCGTGGCATCTGACGAGTCAGTCGTTATATCAGACGGTTTCAGTTCCACATCCGGCGGCGTGACTGAGCGTCCATTAGTGGCGACAGCATCAGACCCACTCAAGAAGGCGTCAGGTAGACAGACGCCCTTCCATCCTGTCCTCTCAGATAGCATCCTACTCTCCCTATCTCCATCGGCCGAACTCCCCTCTGTCCCCTCCATAGCCACTCCTTCGGAAGCTGTGGCTATAACCACTCACGTCTTGAAAGAAACTACTCCTGTTAAAGCCCCTGACGTTTCCCAAGACGTTTCTTCTGCAAGCCCGGAGGCTTCCCAGGATAGAGTCGGCGTGTTACTTTCTAGACCGTTGATTCCGATCTCTGTTGATGTGGACGCAATCGACGGCTGTCAAGAGACCAAGGGCGATATTTATCACCCCCATCGGCTGCACCACAGCGGACCCATCAGCATCGGTCGCCGCAAGAAAGCCGTCTTTGCTGCTGCTGTTGCTCCTCGAGAAGCAAGAAGGAGCGGGACTGCGGGTGCTGCTGTAGATGGCGCTATTGCCTCTGATGCTCTCGCCGCTCGACAGGCCAGGAGGAGCAGTACTGCGGATGCTGCTGCTGCTGCTGGCCGTGCTGGTGGCGGTTCTGTTGCCAGTGACGCTGATGGATCTGCTGCTGCTGTCCTTGGCAACAGTGGCGCCGGTCCTGACGCTGCTGATGCTGCTCGGCCCGTTGCTGCAGGTGCAGATGCGGCTAGAGGTCACAGTGGTAGCGCTGTCAGTGCTGGGAGAGCAGGAGGTGGGGGGAGCCTTAACAGCGACCCGTTCCGGTTCTTGAAGCCTTTGAAAAGACTGGGTAGGCGCCATTCAGCAGGCAAGGCTGAGATCTTGACATTTCAGGATAATGCAGCAGCCTTCATCCAGTCACAACCCCATGAGGATCAGCAGCAGTGGCAGCAGCAGCATCAGGTGCCAGCAATCCGCTCATTTGAATCATTGGGCCAGGGTGTTTCACCCCAGGTCTCATCCATCACCCCGTTTTCGCCCTCTTCGAGCCCCATCGCCTCTCCTCCCTGGTCAGCAAAGCCACCGCACTCCCTCAATCCAGCCTCACAGTCAGCCTCGCCCTGGCTTATACACACTTCTGCCTTGGGCCCACTGAGCTCAAGTGACACACACGGAGGGCCGCAGCAGTGCCTGACGTACCCCAAATCAGCATCTGACGCCTCAGAGAACGAGCGGCAGCAGCGGTCGCGGTCCCCCCAGCTGGGATTCAGGTTCTTTTCCAAGCCACACAGGCGGTCTGACAGCCAGAGTAGTGGTAGCACTGGTGGTGGTGGTGGTGGTGGTGTTGGTGCCGTGCGCAGCAGCAGTAGCAGCACGAGTGACGGTGCAGGCAGTCTGCAAGGCAGCAGTGGTGCCACTGGGGAGCATTGCAGGCCGGTCGTGTCGTCTTGGTCTGGTGACATAGCTACCCTGGCTGCTCCCTGTGCAAGTCCCACAGGCACGAGTAGCTGGCGGGAGCAGCAGCAGCGGCAGATGCAGCAACTTCGTCAGCGGCAGCAGAGGCAGCACCAGCAACAGCAGGCGCACTGGGAGCAGGACACCACAGGACAGTCGTCTCCTCCCCTGCCTCTCTCGCCTCTGAGCGATGGCTCGTCTGACTCTTACCCTAGTTCTCCTCCTCTGGTCTTCGAGCGGTGCACGACTGAACCTGTTCTACACAAGTCCACACTGTCACCGACCTCAGGCATGGGGGGTAAAGTAGCAGACGCAGAGGAGTTCGAGTACGCTGACGAGGAAGAGAACGAGCAAGTGGAAGGGATGTGGAAGGGCTTAGGGGTTGGAGTGGTGAAGCAGCAGTCAAGAATCCCCAGAGCAGCTGACAGGAGGAGGGCGGCTCGAGGGGGTGATGCGGGATTCACTTTTATGCGAGGCTTGAATGGGAGGCACAGAGACAGACGAGGGGGCTCTGGCACTGTACCTCAGGATATGGGGAAAGGAGAAATGGGGGGAGGAGCAGCAGGAGCAGCAGGGGGGTTGCGCTTCCTTCCGCCTGCCCCTGTTCGGACCCAGAGTGTTCCATCCAGTGCTAGTGAATTCCCACGCTCTTCCAAGCTAGACAAGGTTGTCTACGGTCCGCCTGTGCGTGTCCCAGTCGATCCCAGCCGTCCAATCGCCCTGTCAATCCGCCCCCGCCCTCGATCTGCCGTCATGCCCCAAGGCACACCGCATGCCAGCAGAACATGCCTGCTGGTAACCCTAGACTCGGTAACCTTTCTGGTTACAGATGACGGCATCAGGGTGTGGGATATCCAGCATGTTATGACGGCAGGTGGAGCCTCGGGACTGGGGAACCCTAGGGGAGATGAAGAGGCAGCTGCGTTCTTCTGGGTGCCATTTGGGGCAGGTGTATCTGCAGCCAAGAGCATTGCAGTGGATGGCAAGGCGCGGATGGTGTTCACAGGGCACAGGGACGGCAGGGTGCTGGTGTGGCAGGTGCGCGAGAGAGGGGATGGGAGAGGGAGCGTGACAGAGGAAGATACGGCAAGCAGCAAGGGGAGACAGGTATGGGCGAGGGGGGAATGGGGAGCAGGCACGGAAGGAGGAGGAGGAGGAGGAGGAGGAGGAGGAGGTGCAAGGATGGGCAAGGAAAAATGTGTGGGTGGTGGAGAGAACGAGCCTTGCTGGAAGGTATGGGTGGAGCTGGTGGCTGAGTGGCAGGCGCATGTCACCGCCGTGACGGCTCTCGTTGTCACGTCTTACGGTGAGCTGTGGTCAGCAGGCGACAGGGGCGTCATCAAGGCATGGCCATGGCCCAGCCTGCACCAGGAGCTCTCCCGAGCCTCATCTCTCCTCAACCCAGCAGCCGGACCACATGCCATGACTGTAACCTCTGGCCCTCTCCGTGCCCCTTGCGTGATTCACCCCACCGCCGAGCCTGTGCTCCTGCACGCCCCCTCCTCCTCTTTCTCGCGCCCCCGGGCCACTGCTCGTTCTGCTTCGGCTGCTGCTGCGTCAGCTGCCGCTTCAGATGTAACTGCTGCTGCTTGTGAAGCAGCTGGTGCCGCTGACAGCAGTGAAAGTGTATCTCCTGTGTTGGTGGGGAGTGGTGGAGGGGTCCCTAACGCTGCTAACAGCACTCCAGGTGGTGCGGCTGCTGAGAACGAGGGTGGCAGTGGGGGAGTGGTGTATGGAGTGACATCTGTGCGGCGATTGGTGTCAGATCCAGCAACGGGGCAAGTATGGAGCATCGGGGCTGCTTCTATCTCAATCTGGTGAGCCCATCTTCTGGTGAGCCCATCTTCTGGTGAGCCCATCTTCTGGTGAGCCCATCTTCTGGTGAGCCCATCTTCTGGTGAACACATGTTTTGGTGAACCCATGTCCTGGTGAGCACATGCTTTGGAGAGCACGCCATCAACAAACACATATTTTGTAATGAGCACATGTTTTCATGAGCACATGTTGTAGCCCATGTACTCGAGAGCGCAAGTTATGGCGGTGAGCACATGTTCTGGCAAGCACATGTTTTCACATGTGATAAGCACATGCGCCCTAAGGAAACCGAAACGCAGAGGCAGCGTTGGCCAGTTGACCCTTTACCCACACGCTCCATGGGTATGCACAACAAATCCAGCCCCTCACCCGCATCACGCTAACAAGGTGCATCCCTCGGGCGGCATCCCTCGGGCGGCATGCCTCGGGCGACATCCCTGGGGCGGCATCCCTCGGGCGGCATCCCTCGGGCGGCATCTCTTTGGCGGCATGCCTCGGGTGGCATGCCCTCGGGCGGCAAGCCTAGAACGGCATGCCTAGGGCAGCATCCCTCGGGCGACATCCCTCTGGCTGCATCCCTTGGGCGGCATCCCTCGGGCGGCATGCCTCGGGCGGCATCCCTCGGGCGGCATCGCTTGGGCGGCACAGCTCGGGCGGCATGCCCTCGGCGACATCCCTCAGGCGGCATGCGCTGGGCGGCCCCCCTCGGGCGGCATCGCTCGGGCGGCATCCCTCGGGCGGCATGCCTCGGGTGACACGCCTCGGGCGGCACGCTCGGGCGGCATGCCTCGGGCGGCATCCCTCGCGCGGCATGCCTCGCGCGGCATCCCTCGGGCGGCATCCCTCACGCGGCATGACTCGGGCGGCATCCCTCGGGCGGCATCCCTCGGGCCGCATGCCTCGGGCGGCATGCCTTGGGCAGCATGCCTAGGGCGACATGCCTCGGGCGGCACCCCTCGGGCGGCACCCCTCGGGCGGCACCCCTCGGGCGGCATCCCTCGGGCGGCATCCCTCAGGCGGCATGTCTCGGGCGGCATGCCTTGGGCGGCATCCCTTGGCGGCATGCCTCGGGCGGCATGCCTCGGGCGGCATCCCTCGGGCAGCATCCCTCGGGCGGCATCCCTCGGGCGGCATCCCTCGGGTGGCGCAGCATCCCTCGGGTGGCATTCCTCGGGCGGCATCCCTCGGGCGGCATCCCTTTGGCGGCGTCCCTTGGGCGGCATCCCTCGGCGGCATCCCTCGGGCGGCATGCCTCGGGCGGCATGCCTCGGTGTGCATCCCTTGGGCGGCATGCCTCGGGCGGCATCCATCGGGCGGCATGCCTCGGGCGGCATCCATCGGGCGGCATCGCTCAGGCGGCATGCCTCGAGCGGCACGCCTCGGCCGGCATGCCTCGGGCGGCATCTCTCGGGCGGCATGCCTCGGGCGGCATGCCGTGGGCGGCATGCGCAGAGCGGCCCCTCTCGGGCGGCATCCCTCTGGCGGCATCCCTTGGAGGCATCCCTTGGGCGGCATTGCTCGGGCGGCATGCCTCGGGCGGCATGCCTTGGGCAGCACGCCTCGGGCAGCACGCCTCGAGCGGCATGCCTCGGGCGGCATCCCTCGGGCGGCATTCCTCGGGTGGCATCTCGGGGTGGCATGCCTCGGGCGGCATCCCTCGGGCGACATCCCTCAGGCGGCATCCCTTGGGCGACATCCCTCGGGCGGCATTCCTCGGGCTGCTTCCCTAGGCAACATCCCTCGGGCGACATGCCTCGAGCGGCATCCCTCGGGCAGCATCCTCGGGCGGCATCCCTCGGGCGGCATCCTCGGGCGGCATCCCTCGGGCGGCATCCCTCGGGCGGCATGCCTCGGTCGGCATGCCTTGGGCGGCATCCCTCGGGCAGCATCCCTCAGGCTGCATCCCTCGGGCGGAATCTCTCGGGCGGCATGCCTTGGGCGACATCCCTAGGGCGGCATGCCTCGGGCGGCATCTGCGGGCGGCATGCCTCGGGCGGCATCCCTCGGGCGACATCCCTCGGGCGGCATCCCTCGGGCGGCATCCCTCAGGCAGCATCCTTGGGCGGCATCCCTCGGGCGGCATCCCTCGGACGGCATGCCTTGGTCTGCATCCCTCGGGAGGCATGCCTCAATCTGCATCCCTGGGGAGGCATCCCTCGGGCGGCATCCCTCGGGTGGCATGCCTTGGGCGTCATCCCTCGGGCGGCATCCCTCGGGCGGCATCCCTCGGGCGGCATCCCTCGGGCGGCATCCCTCGGGCGACATGCTTCGGGCAGCATCCCTCGGGTGGCATCCCTCGGGCGGCATGCCTTCGGCGGCATCCCTCGGGCAGCATGCCTCGGGCGGCATCCCTTGGGCGTCATCCCTCGGGCGGCATCTCTCGGGCGGCATGTCTCGGGCGGCATGCTTCGGGTGGCATGCTTCGGCCGGCATCTCTCGGGCGGCATCCCTCTGGCGGCATTCCTCGGGCGGCATCTCTCAGGCGGCATCTCTCGGGCGGCATCCCTCGGGCAGCATGCCTTGAGCGGCATGCCTCGGGCAGCATGCCTTGAGCGGCATGCCTCGGGCGGCATCCCTCGGGCGGCATCCCTCAGGCGGTATGCCTCGGGCAACATGCCTCGGGCGGCATCCCTCGGGCAGCATCCCTCGGCCTGCATCCCTCGGGCGGCATGCCTCGGGCAGCATCCCTCAGGCGGCAACGGCATGCCTTTGGCGGCATCCCCCAGGCGGCGTGCCTCGGGCGGCATCCCTCGGGCAGCGTGCCTCGGGCGGCATCTCTCGGGCAGCATGATTCGGGCGTCATCCCTCGGGCGGCATGCCTTGGGCGGCATGCCTCGGGCGGCATCCCTGGGGCGGCATGCCTCGTTCGGCATCCCTCGGGCGGCATCCCTCGGGTGGCATCCCTCGCGCGGCAACACCCCCCCTGCTTGCATTTCCCCGTGCACCCGCTCGAGGGCTTTCCCTGCGGGCTTTTTTGCGTGCGCCCCCCACCAGGCTTTCCGGTGCGCTTTCCCCACGCCGGTGCACCTCCTGCACTTCAACTCTCCACATCCGTTCTGCCTCCTATTCTCCCATCTACCCCTCCCACGACCTCTCCAGGGACGCCAGGCGGCGAGCGCTAGTGTGCCACGTGAAGGTGAAGGACGAGGAGAAGGCTGCTGCTGATACCTCCTCGGGACCTGTCGCTAGTGGGGCGAGCAGTACGGTGCTCCCTGCATCTAGCAGATCGGGATCGGGCAACACCTCAGCACTTGCCAGCGGGGGTGCTACTGGAGTCACCAGTGCCACCAGTGCCGCCAGTGCCACTAGTGCTGCCAGTGCCACCAGTTCCGCCAGTGCCTCTGCTGTTTCATCGGCAAATGCAGGCAGCGAGGGAGACGCATCAGTGGCAGAAAAACCACCATCTGCCAAGGATGAACCCCCGTACCCCTCTTCCTCCTCTTCAGAATTTCCCTCCTCCTCCATCCCCTCCTCCTCCTCCTCCTCCTCCTCCTCCTCCTCCTCCTCCTCCTCCTCCTCCTCCTCCTCCTCCTCCTCCTCCTCCTCCTCCTCCTCCTCCTCCTCCTCCTCCTCCTCCTCCTCCTCCTCCTCCTCCTCCTCCTCCTCCTCCTCCTCCTCCTCCTCCACCCCCTCCTCCTCCTCGTCCCGCCCGCCCAAGCGCAAGCTGCATGCGGTGGCGCCAGCTGGTGATGGCACAGTGTGGATCGGCCACGGGTCGGGCGCGCTCAGGCACTACGACTGGGCGGGCGGCAAGCTGCAGGAGGTCATGATGGAGGCCGGCGTGTGTTGTCTCTGTGTAGTGGGGCTGCGGCTGTGGGTGGGCACAGCTGACGGCACGATCACCGTGCTGCATGTGCGCACTGGGAGGTGGATCGGGGCCTGGCAGGCACACTCCCATACACCGTGCTCCCAGGCAGGGGCCAAGGGGTCACGGTCTGCTGGGTCAGCAGCAGGGTCAGTAGCAGGGTCAGCAGCTGGGTTAACAGCAGGGTCGACAGCGGCAGGAGATGGAACGGATTTGGATCAAGTGCACTCCGCCGATGATGCACCCCTCTCTTCTCAAGCCTCCGCATCAGCGGCGGCGGCCCCAGCAGCCATCCGCCAGCTGGCGCGGTGCAGCAGCTTCATCGTGTGCGTGGCGCGCACGGGCCAGGTGAGCGCGTGGCTGGCTGCCATCCCCGGCCCGGTGGACCCTGTGCTGCGCTCCACCCTCTCCTCCTCCTGCGCCCTCTTCACTGCCCGCCAGCGCTTCCGCCTGGCTGCGTGCACGTGGAACGTGGGGGAGGAGAGAGCGGTGCAGGGGAGTGTGGAGGCGTGGCTTGGAGAAGTGGCAGGAGAGGGGGGGAATGGGGCGGAGGGGGCGGAGGGGGTGGATGGGAGGGGGATTGCAGATGGGAGGGGCGGCGCGGATATAGTGGCGGTGGGGCTGCAGGAGGTGGAGATGAACGCAGGGGCCATTGCGATAGCGGCGGCGAAGGAGTCGGTGAGGATGGGGCTGCAGGAGCGGGGGTCGGCACTGGGGGACCACTGGGTGGCGGCTGTGGGCGCTGCTCTGAACTCCAAGGGTGTCTTTGTGCGGATCATGTCGAGACAGATGGCAGGGATTCTCATCACCGTTTGGTGAGTGTGGGTGTGGGGGTGGGGGTGGGTGTGGGCGTGGGCGTGGGTGTGGGTGTGAGGGTGGGGGTGGGTGTGAGTGTGGGTGTGGGGGTGGGGGTGGGTGTGGGCGTGGGCGTGGGCGTGGGCGTGGGCGTGGGCGTGGGCGTGGGCGTGGGCGTGGGCGTGGGCGTGGGCGTGGGTGTGGGGGTGGGTGTGGGGGTGGGGGTGGGCGTGCCATGCTGAGCATGGGAACATGGGGGCATGTACCCGATGCATTCAGTATCTGGGCCAGGCTGAACCATCTCTGCCAAACACGTCCCCATATTCCCTGCACTGGCGCTTCCCAAACTTTGTTTGTCGTTTGCTGCACGTCCTTTTCTTATTGTCTCACAGGGCACGGGCGTCGTTTGCCCATCTCATCTCTGATGTGGAAGTGGGTGCTGTGCCTCGGGGCTTTGGCCGAACGCTTGGGAATAAGGTGAGCGAGGGGAGCAAGGGCGGTGTTTACCCATCTCATTTCCGATGTGGAGGTGGGTGGTGCTCATTTCCGATCCAATTTCAAATGTGTGCTCTACCCATCTGAGCTGCTGCCTGAAGCAGCTGCTGGCTGCGGTGGTCTTCAGCAGCAAATATTTACCCTAAAAGCCCTGTTTTGGAGAATACTTGACCAATCAAAAGTCGTCCTCCAACTCTCTCTCTCCTCCAGGGAGCGGTGGCGGTGCGAATGAGTGTGTGTGGCCGCTCCGTGGCGCTCATTAGCTGCCATCTCGCTGCCCACTTGGACGCTGTGGCCTAGCGCAGTAACAGCTGATGCTACATCTGTAGCCACAGCACCCCTTCCCATCTCACTACCCGCCCCCCTCTCTGTCCGGCTCTCTGCCCTGCTCTCTGCTCCCCAGGGAGCGGTGGCGGTGCGCATGAGTGTGTGTGGTCGCTCCGTGGCGCTTATCAGCTGCCATCTCGCCGCCCACATGGACGGGGTGGCCAAGCGCAACGACGACTGGCGCCGCATCTACCGCCATCTCTCCTTCTACCGCCCGCAGCCCACCCTCGCCTCCGCTGCCTCCTCTGCTGCGAGAGCCGCTGGGGGCGGGCTGAAAGGTGGGATGGGGTGGGCTGAAAGGTGGGATGGGGTGGGCTGAAAGGTGGGATGGGGTGGGCTGAAAGGTGGGATGGGGTGGGCTGAAAGGTGGGATGGGGTGGGCTGAAAGGTGGGATGGGGTGGGCTGAAAGGTGGGATGGGGCGGGCTGAAAGGTGGGATGGGGTGGGCTGAAAGGTGGGATGGGGTGGGCTGAAAGGTGGGATGGGGTGGGCTGAAAGGTGGGATGGGGCGGGCTGAAAGGTGGGATGGGGTGGGCTGAAAGGTGGGATGGGGTGGGCTGAAAGGTGGGATGGGGTGGGCTGAAAGCTGTACGGGAGGGCTAAGGCGGTTGTGTTTAGAGGCCTCTCCAAATGTCTCGACTGGCGCCGCATATAAAGCCATTTCTCCTTCTTCTGCCCGCAGCCCACTCTTGCCTCCGCTTCCTCGTCTGCTGCCAGAGCTGCTGGGGGCGGGCTGAAAGGTGGGATGGGGTGGGCTGAAGGTGGGCAGGGTGGGCTGAGAGATTCAGCGGAATCCGTGTTGATTCAGTCCGCCTTCTAACTTCCCCTCTTCTCTGCTGTCCTCTCTTCTCCTCACTGCCCATCTCCTCCCCTACCTCCACATCCCCCCTTGCGTCTCACGCCACCAGCGGGTCTGCGGTCGGAACTGCAGGGGATAGTGAAGGCTGCAGCAGGGGCGACGGTCAGAAGTTTACTTCTGAGGGCGTCTCAAAGCCCTCGTCCTCTCACTGCCCTTCTCCTCTCCTTCCGCCGCATCTCCCCCTGTGGCTCACAAAACCAGCTGGCCTGCAGTCGGCAGTGCAAGGGATAGTCAAGGCTGCTGCAGGGGCGGCGGTCGGAGCTGCAGCAGCAGCCGCAGGGGCAGCAGGAGCAGTGGCAGGGGCGGCAGCAGGGGCAGGAGGGACAGGAGGGGCAGGGGGTTTAGGAGGAGCAGGAGCAGCAGCAGCAGGGGGGTCAGGGGCAGGAATGGGAATCAGTCCAAAGAGGGGAGGGTTTGGGAGCGGGCGGCTCACTGGGGATTCACCGGGCGGGAGATTTGATTGGTCGGATGATGCCACGTCATGGCTGGACGACTTGGTCCTTGCACGTGATGGGGAGGAGGTGAGAGAGGGGTAAAGAGGGGTAAAGAGGGGTAAAGAGGGGTAAAGAGGGGTGGTGAGAGGGTGGTGAGAGGGGTGTGGGGAGAGAGGGGAGGGAGGTGGGGGGAGAAGTGGGAGATACGTGGGGAAAGAAGTGGGGAGAGAATAGCTAGCGAATGCAATCTGGACGTTCAGACATTCAGTATAAGAGCTGATTGCCGTCATCGCTTCCTACCTTGATCCCCCCACCTTGATCTCCCTGCCCTACTCTCCCCTCCTCCGACTCCCCGTCTACCCCTGCAGGAGCTTGAGGAGAAAGGCACCTGAGCTATCAGAGGCGGATGTGCTGGTGTGGATGGGCGATCTCAACTACTGCGTGGAGGGATTCGCACACCAACAGGCCCGGCAGCAATACAACCGTTTCCCATTCCTCCCTCGCTCCCCACCGCTCCCCTTCAGGAGCTTGAGGATATGAAGACACCAGAGCTGGCAGACGCAGATCTGCTGGTGTGGATGGGCGACCTCAACTACCGTGTGGAGGGCGTCTCCTACGAGCAGGCCAAGGGGGAGGTGGCGGCACGCAATCTGGCAGTGCTGCTGGCGGGGGACCAGCTGCGGCGGGAGATGGCTTGTGGGCGGGCGTTCCGAGGCATGGAGGAGGGGCTCATTGCCTTCCCCCCCACCTACAAGTTTGACCGAGGGACCACTGATCCCCTAGGTGAGAGCCATTCACGCGCATTTGAGCATTTCTCCTCCCTATTCCTTGCCTCTGTTTTCATTTTTCCATTGCCCTGTTTCTCACTCCGCGCCTTCCCCAAAACTCCGTGTGCGCGTGTGGCAGCGTATGACTCGGGGGAGAAGCGCCGTGTGCCCGCATGGTGCGACCGAGTGCTCTTCCGAGATAGCTTCACTCCCAGTCTGCTCCCCTCACCGCCGCCCACATTGCCGTCCACACTTCCACCCACCTCCCTACCTTCCCTGCCTTCTTCTCTGCCTCCCTCCATGCCTCCTGTGCTCCCCTCTCCCCCCACTTCCTCCTCCTCTCCCACCCTTCCCACTCTCGCTGCTCCTCTCACTAACACGAGCCCCACCTCCGCCTCATCATCACCAGCAGCAGTACCAGCAGTGGCAACGGCTGCAACGGCGTATGCAGAGCCACGCAAGCTGAGCAAAACAGATGAAAGCACAGGAGACATGAGTGAGGTTCATATTTTCCAGGGCCTGGTCAATGAAAGGGAGACTCTGCCAGTAGTAGAACACAGTAATTTTGCGCCCGGGTATGGCAGCACTGGGGACTTGAGTAACAAGGATTTGAGTGGTAACGGAAGGTCTGGTAGTGGCTCTAGCGAGGATGGTAGCAACAGCCCCCAGGCACCTGGTGGTGTTCCTGCTGCCTTCACTGCTGCGTCCTCTAGTTCCGCTGCTGCTGCTTCTGCTGGTGCTCCTACAGCTGCTGGTGGGGGTGGTGGTGCTGCTGTTGCTGCTGGTGCTGCTGGTGCTGGTGGTGTGACTGCGAGTTCCAGTGCTGGTGCTCTGCAAAGAGCACTCAAGCAGCAGGAGAGCACTCTCGCCCAGCCAATGAAGGCTCGAGTGCAGCGCTACGACGCCTGCATGGCAGCCACTCAAAGCGACCACAAGCCCGTCAGGTGCCTCCTGGACGTCTCCGTTGCTTCAATAGACCTGCCCGCCACCAGGTGCCTGCTCGGCCGCCTGCTCACCCTCAGCAGCCAGGTCCGGGCAGCCCTGCAAAATTCGCCGCACCTGCCCGATGTGCCAGCTGCAGGCTCGTGTGTGGATGTGGATCCTTCGACTGGGCAGGCTTCAGTGATTGTAATGAATCGGAACGACAGTGACTCTATGGGGTTCATTGTGCAGTGTGAGGGGGAGACTGTTTCTTGGTCTGGGAGGGAGCAGGGGGGTGAGGGAGCATTGGAGCAAGGGAGTGAGGGAGAGAGGCAGCAAGGGAGTGTAAGTGGAGGGAAAGGCACAGGGGGAAGCAGAAGGGGAGGTAGCAGGGAGAGCAGTTGGCAGGGAGGACAGATGGTGCGGGCAGGTGGTGGATTCCCTCTCTGGATCAAGGTACAGCTCTCTGCTATGCCCCTCAGTTCTGCTGCCTGGTCTTTTCTTCCACTTTCCCTCAAAACTATTACCAGCTGCTGGACCTCCATGCATTGTCTTCAGCAAAAGGGGCACCTCAAAAGTAGTACCGGACCCTGCGCGTCTGTGGCTCTGTTCTGGTGCTTTCATGCGCAGGTGCTACCTGGGGCAGGCATCCTGATTGCGGGTGGCAGCATGACCATCAACTTTTGCATCTCACCCTCCTCTGCTGAAGCACCTGCGTTTAGCATGGGGCACCATGAGGCAAACAGTGACCTGCAGCAGCAGCCGGCGAAGCCAAAGCCTGTGAGCGGGTCTGGTGACGAGGGGATGGAAGTGGGACAGAAACAGGAGCAGCAGCAGGTGGCTCAGGAGCAGGGGGGCGCAGGAGTAGGGGAGAGGGTTCTAGAGATGTCTCTCACCACGTGGGGGCCAGCACCGGTCAGCACACACACCCACCGCTTCTTTCTCCGCATCCCACCATCCTTGCGTCTCCCGTATGAGCCGTTTGAGTCGACTCAAAATACACATGTGAGCACGTGGGGTGGTGGGGCCAGCATGTAAGCGACCCATTGTGTAAATAGCCACAGTTGCATGCGTTGCCCAGGCTGCAGCTGCAGGCGAGCCTTCAGGGACGGGGCTTGCCTTCTTCCTAGCTTAGTCGTAGGAAGCCTAGGGCTCTGCATGCTGACTGTTGAGTTGTCTGTCTGTTGGTTTTCCAGCTTGGCATTAATTTTTTATCACAATCGAGCATAAAGTGACATTGGGATTGAGTGTCATCGTTGTGTATGTATGGTTTTAACACGCTTTTATTCTATTGGAAGCTGAAATTTGTATTACCTGAGCTGTTAAATGGCGCTCCTTATTGCTTCACCTTCTAGCTGCACATCGGTTATGATTGGTGGTTCGAAACGCGTTACAAGACTTGCCCCGCCGTCACCCCTACCAACGCCGACCAATCTGAGCGAAGCTGGTGCGACGCGCCGGTGTTCCACGAACATTGACATCCCGTGACTCCCGCTGCTGACTGACCTCCCAGAGGTAACGCTCCAGGCAGCGAAACGCGCGAATCATTTCCCCGAAGCCAGCCTGCGACATCAGCGAAAGTAACGACAGCAGCATCACCATCCAACCATACCCATCCCGCTCGCCCCTGTCCAATCACCTGCATCCCCGCCGTCAGCATTCCCCCTAAATTCGCGCCTTCCCATCCCATCCCTCACATCACCCTCTTGTGTGGCACCTGTTCTACACCTGGTGCTCTAGTGTGGCTGGTAAAAATGGCTGCTCGGCATTGGTCGGCGCGACGAGAAAACTAGCAATGCAAGCTCGGCTTTCTGGCCCGATTGGGTGGCCTTGGTATGGTAACTTCCTCTTATCACCACCCGCCCTGAAATCTTTGGAAGCTCCTTCTCAGCAATCCCATCTGGAAGCTCCTAGCTCCTCGCTTACTGTCTCAGAGATTCCTCAGAAATCCCTGACCGCTCAGCTCCCCTAGGCATCCTGGACACAGCAGGAAGAGCCACGCTACGTTCCCAGCTGGGCTCCTCCATGCTCGAATCCTCTCGCTCCCTTCGCACGAGCAGTCGAAACGAAGCGCCCACAGCAGCCTCCAGGATGAAGCCCCGCATTCCCGCATTCGGGGACTGGGTGCTAGACGATAACGATAACGATGACGATGACGGCGCGTGCAGCCGTCGACTGAAATACACGCAGGAATTCGCCCTCCTCCGCCAGAAGCCCCGCCGCCCTCCCTCTCCCCACTCCCTCCTCCTCGAACTCTCTATACCCCCTCCGCTCTCCCCCATTTCCCCGAGTACTTCCGCCGGCTCCGCCCCTTCCGCCGCTTCCGCCGCTTCCTCGGAGACAGGCTCTCGGCATTCCCGAGGTGCAAGCAGCGGCCGTAGCAGCATCGGTGGAGGCGAAACGAGCCGGTCTGCGAGCAGCAGGGAGGGGAGCGCGAGCCATGATGACGTGGACCTCGCATTGGCGTCCACGTCAGCCCTGTCCCCCATGTCCCCAGCGGCCGACACGTGTCTGTTCCCGCAATGGGCGCCGATTCTTCCGCCGCGCCGAATCAGCAGCCAGGGGCGCAAAGGGGGCATTCTGAGCGGCGGCAAGGGCGCCAGCAGGGGCAGCAGCGGCAGCAGCTACAACAGCCGCAGCAGCCGCAGCAGCAGCAGCGGTGGCAGTAGCGGCGGCAGCAGTGCGAAGTCAGGGCTCGACTCATCTCGTGTCGACGACGGCATGCCCCCGCCGTTGCTCCCACTCTCCGCCAGCTCCTCGTGCCAAGCATCCGACTCCGACTCCTGCGACGCTTTCGTCGCCACCGCCTCTTGCGACAGCTTCTGCTCGACAAAATGCGACGACTCTCCTCGTCCACACGTTGAATGCGACTCACCGCCCCTACCTCCGGGGGACGACTCGCCTCCTCCCTATCCCCCGCCTCGGTTTTCCTTCTCCTTTCACTCGCCCGTGGCGGTGTCCCCGCCAGGCGCAACGAGCGGCGGAGCCTCCCCCGCCGAGGCGGCGGAGCAGGTCCGCCAGCGGCTGCGCAACTCGCGCAACCTCCGCATTTCCGTCTCGCGCCAGCTCATGGACAGCAGCAACAGCGCGCCCTCCTCCCCCGTGCGCGCATCCGGCGCATTCGGCTCCCCCTTCGGCTCCCCAACCGCACTCCCCCATGAAGGCTCGTCCGCAACCCCGGGGCGGAGGGGATCGCGCGCGCAAAACGCGGCGGGAGCGGCGGCGGCGGCGGCGGCGGACAGATGTTGGGATGACTCGTCGTTGTTAGCGCTTTTGGAGCACAGCCGGCTGTGCCGCCAGGAGGTGGTGCAGCTGCTCGGCCTCTGCCAGCCCGGCGTCGCCCCGCTTGCGCCGCTAGCGCCACCTGCGCCAGTCGCGCCACCTGGGCCAGTTGCGCCAGTCGCCCCAGTTGCGCCAGTTGCGCGTCCAACCGGGACGGAAGGGCAGGCGGAAGTCCCTGTGGGGGGGGCTGCAGCGGATGGGGGAGCGGAAGCGAGGTTGAAGGCCAGCAGAGCGTGCGCTGGGCAGCGGGCTGGCTCTCATCCTGGCAGCACAGCGGAACGTGGCACTGATGCCGGGAGCAGGGAGAAGCCGCTGGCTGGCAGTTGTGGCTCTGATGCTGACGGATCGGCGAAGGGTGAGGCTGGGCAACAGGGAACGGATGGAAGGGCAGGTGGGGAAGGAATGGGCGGAGGCATGGGCGGAGGCATGGGCGGAGGCATAGGCGGAGGCATGGGCGGAGGCATGGGCGGAGGAATGGGCGGAGGAATGGGTGGAGCAGCCTCGTCTGCTCCTTGCAGCGCTCCTCCCTCGTCCTCGCCCTCGCAGTCACGGGGCAGGGCAGGCCCCCCCACCATGTCATCCGCGTTAAAGTACGATGCGGGGTCGGAGGGCAAGGGGTTCAGCATGATGTTTGCAGAGATGCGGCAGAGGCGGCAGCAGGAAAAGGCCGGTGCTGAATCCACTGGTGCTGCTGCTGCTGCTGGAATTGAGAGCATGGCCATAGAAGGTAGTTTCCAGGGTGCAACTGCTGCAGTACTACCAGCACCAGTAGCGCCTGCTCATGGAAACACCGGTGCCGACAGCAGCAGCAGCCCCAGAGGCAAGGCTTCTCGTGGCCCCAGCAAGGGTCTACAGTGGATCGGTGTCCGCGCGGACGATATGGATTTTATCCTCAAGGAGCTGGCAGAGGCCGCCATGGGCGGGGGGGAGGAGGTGGCTGGGTTTGACGAGTTCGAGGGGGAGGAGAACAAGACGGATGACACTGAGGATGATGTGGGGGGGTTATCGGAGAGTGACAGTGGCAGTGATGAGACTAGTGAGTGTGACTGTAGTGAAGCAGAGAGGAGGGACAATCAGCTGATTGCAGTGCTGAGGAAGGCACAGGGCAAGCAGGGCAAGGACTGTGTGAGTGGCATGGCCGAAGGAGGTGGCCGGCACCATCGTGCTGGGATGATGCAAGGGGAGAAGGGCAGGCGCCAGGTGCATTGGCTGCGACGAACTCAACGCAGGACAGAGGTATGGTTGTCTATGCTGCATCCATATGCTGCAATCCATCTTGGTGGAAGTGTTTCTTCTGGAAATCTTTGGGTGACTGGCAGAATGCTAAGACAACGTTTGTTTGACCTCTTTGCAGGTGGTTCTTCAAAAGCTGCGACACCTAGTTCTAGGGAGACCATCTGAGGATCAAAGTATGGCGCACCGTTGTTGTGCTAAGCCTTGAATTCCAATATTGCATCAGGAATAAAATGGCATGTAAAATGCCAGACGTTGCTGTGCAATGGCATGTTGAAGATAGGAAATTGTACTATCTATGCTTTATGTGATATGTGGAAATTTGAGGCAAATGTGTACAACCTTTCAAGCATTGGAACTTGTATAACTACACACCGCAACTATAAACGATCTGTTCATACATTCTCGTTCGGGGCATCTCGATATTATCGAGGGTTCTTGGTCCTCTCAAGGACCCCGATTGTGTCATCCTGCAGGGAGCCTTGATTCTATCCTGCCGTTGGAGGGAAACCTCGATTCTGTCCGTCGTCCTCTTGGTTCTGTTGATTCGTTTTCTGTCACACGCAAACCACTAGTTCTGGAAGCCAACCACTAAATTGACCACGATTTTCTAGACTGAAGCCCAGTGTTTATTTTCTAGGTCAACTTATTCCGCTCCGCCTTGGGTCAGCTAGCTAGGACCAGCAACTCCTTTCTTGATCAACTGAACCTAGGAGTTGCCTGTCCATGTCACTCGTTTTCAGCAACAGCGGCATTACTCGTTGCATGTCGAAGGGTGACTGCCGCCGTGGCGAAATGTTGACCAGAAGCTTTAGTCGGACCGTTTTATAGCTAACGTTAGCACGTCGTAACAGTGTACTTGCTGTCGAGCCTGTCTCCCGCTGACCCGACATTCGTTTTAGCTTAGCGTACTTAACTGACTGCTAACTTTCCACTGTCTGTCTCCACTTGCCAGCACCCTCTTAGGTAGGTAACCAATGGGCGCTTGCGCGGGAAAAGAGGCCCCGCGACCATCCGACCATTCGAACTACGCAGGACAGACTTCGCAGCAACAACATCAACAACACCAGCAGCAGCAGCAACACCAGCAGCAGCAACAGCAACAGCAGCAGCCACAGCAGCAGCAGCCGCCCCCGCCTAGCAATGTCGCACCAAACCAAAACTCATCCGCAGATTCTGCGGTTGCAGCGGTTCCAAATCAGCCCGCCGCTCCTCCCGGGCAGCCGCGAAACGACGTCGTTCTCCGCAACCCCTTTCCGGAAATGGTCGACCGATCCATTGGGGAGTTTTACGTCTTAGGCCGCGAGCTAGGCCGGGGCGAGTTCGGCGTGACGTGCCTCGCGACGAACAAAGTCTCGGGCGAGCAGGTCGCGGTTAAGTCCATCCCGAAACGGAAATTAAAGACCGCGGTGGATATCGAGGATGTGCGGCGCGAGGTGGCGATTATGCACCACTTGCCGCCGCATCCTAACATCGTGGGTCTTAAAGGTGTATTTGAGGACCGGCACGCGGTGCACATCGTCCAGGAGCTCTGCGAAGGCGGCGAGCTGTTCGAGCGGATTATAGCGAGGGGGCATTATAGCGAGCGAGCGGCGGCTGTTATCACACGGACGATTGTGGAAGTCGTGCAGGTGAGTGGAGAGTGGTGCTCGGGAGTGCAAATGGTGCTGGTTAGCAGCAGGAGGGAAGGAAATTGCTGCAGGTGAATGGGAGGAAACGAAATAAGGGAGGGGGGGGGGGGGGGAAGAAGAGTTCAAGTGGCAACGACAAACAGCGACAATGTTGGTCAATCGCACACGCCAAGCCTAGGCTGCAACCCCGCATTTGAACACGCGTGCCCACCGTGCTGTCAATTCTCTTTTTAACGACGGCTGAGAGCCTTCGCGTGTTCTCCACGCTATCCCACCCCAGGTGTGCCACAAGCACGGAGTGATGCACCGGGACTTAAAGCCCGAGAACTTTCTCTTCGCCAGCAATGAGGAGGATGCAGCGTTGCGAGCCATCGACTTCGGCCTTTCCATCATGTTCAAGCAGGGTGAGTGTGTTTAAATTCAAACATGGCTTTCAAGCGGCATCTGAGCTCGGAGATTTTGGATCGCTTGTTTCATGCAAGACTACATCCCATTTCCCACTCCTCTCCCGGTCCCCCTCGTCCCAGGAGAGACCCTGAGCCCGTTAATAGGCAGCCCGTTCTAAATAGGTGCTCAACGTCTCTCAATAAAGGCGATCCCCATCCCTCGTTTCCCTAAACTTCCCTGGTACCAGGCGAGACGCTGAGACAGATAGTGGTCTATTTTTGAGGCGCCTCAAGAATAGACTCCTCACGCTGATACCAGGCGAGACGCTGAGAGAGATCGTGGGCAGCCCGTACTACATGGCGCCTGAGGTGTTCAACTTTCTCTCTTCACTTAGGCCTCCTCCCACTCCCCCCCCCTGCCCCTCTTATCCCAGGCGAGACGCTGAGCGAGATAGTGGGCAGCCCCTACTACATGGCGCCGGAGGTGCTGCGCAAGAACTACGGCCCGCTGGCGGACGTGTGGAGCGCGGGGGTCATCCTCTATATCCTGCTCTGCGGCGTGCCCCCCTTCTGGGCTGGTATGTTTCTACCAAGGTGACCTTTGCTCAGCTCTAGGTAGCCAGCAGCAGTATAGCCCTTCCAAGGAGGACGTGTGGAGCGCGGGGGTCATCCTCTACATCCTGCTGTGCAGCATGCCGCCCTTCTGGGCAGGTTGTGCCACCACCATACCACCTCCCCTCCTTGCGGTTTTTCCAATGTGCCATTTCAAAGGCCTCATTACAGTGTAATCCTGAAATATGTGCTGCCCATCCACCATCCTGACCCGACTGCATCGCAGCAGAAGCCGAGCACGGAGTGGTGCAGCAGGCAGTGCGTTAACAGCAGGCGGACGGACCCTGTCTTTTGAAGACAAGCACACAGCGCTCCCTCTCTCCTCCCTGCATTTTGGCATGGCAGTGCAGTGCGCTCACTGCTCGCCACTCAATGCATCCCCTCACCCGAACATGGCAGAGACCGAGCAGGGAGTGGCCCAGGCAGTGCTGCGGTCGCAGGTGGATCTGAAGCGGGACCCGTGGCCCAAGGTGTCTGACGGCGCCAAGCACCTCGCCATGCTCATTGCAATGCGCCCTTTGCACTGTCCTCATGATGCTGTACCCTTACCTTCTCACAACAGAAACCGAGCAGGGAGGGAGTGGCCCAGGCGGTGCTGCGGTCGCAGGTGGACCTAAAACGGACGTGTGGCGTGGGCCAAGGTGCCTCGTCAGGCTCAGGGGTGCGCTGTGCCTGTTGCACTGCCCTCGCCCCACCCTTCCCTTTCCATCACCACAGAGACGGAGCAGGGAGTGGCCCAGGCGGTGCTGCGGTCGCAGGTGGACCTGAAGCGGGACCCGTGGCCCAAGGTGTCGGACGGCGCCAAGCACCTCGTCATGCTCATGCTGCAGCCCGACACCTCCAAGCGCCCCACCGCGCAGCAAGTCCTCCGTCAGTGCTCTCCCCCCCCCCCGCCTCCTCGCCTTGACTGTTAGCTTCTGCTTGCCAGAATCACGCTTGCCTGCTTCCTTGCGAATTGCAACAGATGGAGTCATGCTCTAGTCTTGCTCGCGTCTAGTCTTGCTCTTGCTGCAGCCCGATACCTCCAAGTGCCCCACCGTGCAGCAAGTAGCTCCGTCAGTGCCCCTTTCCCCTTGCGCCTCCTGCATTTCCTCCTGCTTGCGTCAGTTCCTTGGTCCTGTAAATTGTCAAACTCATCTCCTTATTGCTGTCACCACCCAACTCCCCCTCTCTCCCCCACCCACTTCCCACTCAACCAGAGCACCTGTGGCTGAGGGATGCCGATGAGGCGCCAGACACTTCCGGGTTGACCCCAAAGTCACTTCACCTTTCTCTCGCTTTCCCCTCCCCCACCCACCCACCTCCCCACCCCACCAGAGCACCCGTGGCTGCGGGACGCCAACGAGGCGCCGGACACGCCGCTGGGAGTGGAGGTGCTGTCGCGCATGCAGTCGTTCCAAGCAATGAACAAGCTCAAGAAGAAGGCGCTCAAGGTCAGATTTCTTGGTCCCAGTGCAGCAAGGCAAGTGCTGTTTGTTCCACTGAGTCAACACATAGAAGCGCATGCAGTCAATCCAAGCCCATGATCAAGCTCAAGAAAATGGCGCTCAAAATAGGTTTCTGCTGACACCCGAGCTAGAAGCACCTCAGCATTCTTGAGTCAGCCGGCTCAGACAACACCTCCCCCAGAAGGTGTTCAAAATCACAGACGAGAATGGGCTCAAGGCGCCTCTAACCCTAACCCCATCCCTCTACCCCTGTCTCGCCCATCTCCCCCACACTCACCACCTCATCTCCCCTCTCAGGTGATAGCGGACCAGCTGTCATCGGCGGAGGAGGTGCCGTGTCTGCAGGAGGTGCTCAAGATCATCGACGAGAATGGACCTTAGGTGCCTCTACCCCCTTTTCCCTCCCTCCCCACTTCCCCACCGCCTTCCCCCCTTGCTTGCAGCATCCCCCATCATCAGGTGATAGCGGACCAGCTACCGACAGCAGAGAAGATGCAGGACCTGCAGGAGGTGCTCAAGATCCCTCTTAACTCCCCTCCCCTCCGCCTCTCCCCAACCCCCTCATTTCCTCCCCTCCCTAACCCCCCTGCAAACCCCCGCAACCCCCCCCCCCCCCCCCCGCGCCTCAGGTGATAGCGGACCAGCTGTCGTCAGCGGAGGAGATGCAGGGGCTGCAGGAGGTGTTCAAGATCATCGACGAGAATGGCGACGGCACACTCACCCTCGAGGAGCTGCGCAACGGGCTCCGCCGCATCGGCTCGCCGCTCTCCGACGCCGAAGTGCAGGCGCTCATGGACGCGGTGAGTGCAGGGCTCATGGACGCGGTGAGTGCAGGGCTCATGGGCGCGGTGAGTGCAGGGCTCATGGACGCGGTGAGTGCAGGGCTCATGGACGCGGTGAGTGCAGGGCTCATGGACGCGGTGAGTGCAGGGGCTCATGGACGCGGTGAGAGCAGGGCTCATGGACACGGTGAGTGCGTGCTTGATGCATTCTACATGCTGGATGCATTGAGCAGGCAGGTGCCTACGCTTGTTCCCTTCCCTTTCCTGACACTCACGGGGATTTGAAAATGAGCTGTGAGGTGCGTTAGTCTAGACCAGCCGCAGATTGCACAGGTGTATAAGCCGCAGAGGGCACAGTTTGCAATCCATGGGATGGTCCTCCCACACCACGTGTTGGTCTTTCCTCTTCCCACGTCCCATGGCTGCCTTTCAGGCGGACATCGACGGCAACGGCGAGATTGACTACAGCGAGTTTGTAGCCGCCACGATGCATCTGCAGCGTGTGGACAACGAGAAGAACCTGCAGGCGGCGTTTGACTTCTTTGACTCGGACCGCAGCGGGTTCATCGACATCGAGGAGCTGGCGGACGCGCTGGGAGCCGACCTCACGTCACTCAAGGAGATTCTCGCTGAGGTGGACACCAACAATGTGAGTTGGATGGTTGCTGAGGCGCCACAGAATGCGCTTGATTCTCTTGAGTCTTGATTTGGAGAGAAGCGGGTTTTTCTCAGTGAGGAGGAGCTGGCAATGCCCTGGGAGCCGACCTGACATCACTCAAGGAGATCTGGCTGAGGGGGACACCGACAATGTGAGTTGAACGTGCATGAAACACATGCGAATAGCGCTGTCTGAAATGCACACAAGAAGGTTGGCGTATTCCATGCATCCGGAGCCCATGCGAACTGCCTCAGCATTACTTTATACACTGCACTTTTTCCCCCAAAAGCCACCTGCACTCTATGCAGGGTCACATCACATGTTTCCATCCACATGTTTCCATCCACATGTTTCCATCCAGATGTTTCCATCCACACACGAAGGCATCTGTGCATCAGCTTGAGGGGCCTCATCGACTTGAGGGGCCTTACCATAGTAAATTGATCTCTCTGCTGGTCTCTCCCATCTCTTCTGTCTCTCCTGTCTCTCCCGTCTCCCCATCTCTGCCTTTCCCATACCCCAGGATGGCAAGATCAGTTTCGACGAGTTCAAGGTTATGATGCGGAAGGGCACGGACCTGCGGGGCAGTCTAAGGCACTTCTCCAAGAGCCGCTCCTCACTGCGCGCGCTGCTCAAGCTCAGCGAGATCGACCTGGCTGGCGGGGGCACTGAAGAGTTGCCTCAAAACTAGTCCAAGGCACTTTTTCAAGAGCTGCTCTTCCGTGCCCCTCTCTGGCTGGAAGTACTGATGGAGGCCGGCTGATTCTTAACAGCAGGTTTTTAAGAAATTGGTGGCAGCAGTGGGTTGGACTGACAGCTTCTGAACCTGTTCCAATTTGTTTATATAGATGGGTATGAATGAAATGCCTAGGTAGTTACCGCCAATTCCTCGTTTCTAGCCTGAAGTGGAGTGTCTGCTGCTTTACTTTGTAGCTTAAGTTTGCTGTGCGTAACTGTGTTGTAGTGGCATGGATGGAGCTGACTTTAGTCGTTTTAGGTTCAGCTTTAGTTCTAACATTGTATTGATGGGTAAAATCATCATTCGATTATTGTGCTCTTATTCACGTCCAGCTGGTGTCTGCAACTGTACCACCCTCGTGTGGAGACAATGCAGGTCAGGGTCAACGCGGTCCAAGGCGGCGCTGACGTTGACCCACCTACTCTGTTGTTCCACCTGATTCGCTGGTGTGCACAGCACACACAGGTTGCGCATTTGCACAGGCACATGTAACTTCGGTAGCTTTCGCCAATGCTCGAATCACCACATGGTCATTGTCGCATGGAGCATGTCCATGATAATGTCGTTTCGCACTGGCACTGATCCTTGTGCGCCCACCGACTTCAACAAACGCTGCTCTCGGGCAAGGCGTCTCCCGATCCGACCGATCTGACAAACGTGTTCTCTGCTGCTTGTGCGGCAAGCGACGAAAGTGCTGACCAGGCCTTGCGGAACACGGGCAGGCGGGCAGGCCGAAGGAAAGTGCGATCAAACGCAGCGAACTGAGGCGGGCAGGTGTGAGAACTTTCTGCGTTGCGCGGGAAACCCCACCTGCCAACCATATGTGGTAACCTGCAATTCTTCGCATTCCGCATTTGTCCCCGACCACCGACCGACCAGGGCAACGTGCGTTAGTGCGGGGGGGGGCGGATTCTCTCGGCTGGGTAAAGGTATATCATGGCTCCCAACGGCATTTGTTCTAGTAGACCAGAAATGCTAGCCAGCTTTCCGTTCAGTCTTGGGTGCCTAACTAATCTAACTAGCGCGCAGCTCTTCATTGATGCGTGATTGGACTTCACTCCGATCCTTTGCTTGTGCGTAATCCCGCGTGCGTAGTCTTTCTCACAGAAAGTTCCGCTAATAGTGCCGCCTAGAACGTCGTTTACGGTCAACACTCTCTCGAGTCATAACTACACTACATCCTATACACAGATGCGGCGTCATCTCTTAACGGGGACGTCGTTACTACTGCCGCTCCTCACCGCGCTTCTGCTGTGCCACGCTGCGGAAGTTTCCGCAGAAGCAGTATCCGCAGCGGCGGGACTTCCGCTCCCCCGCGCGTTCCGCGGTGGGATATTGCGGACTCTGCGGACACGCTTCCGCAGGCTTGCGGCGAACCGCACTGTGAAAGCGATAAGCCGAGAAGGCCCGAGCTGCAGTAGAGATTCCGCAGCGGAGGGCGGTGTGGTGCGGGGATATGCGGTGCTGTGCGGTGACGATGCGGTAGAGGCGCAGGGGGAGGAGGAGGAGGAAGAGGAGAGGTGGAGTAGATTGGGGGGAGATACGGAAGCGACCGACGGTGAGGATGCGGGGAGGCTAACACGGGACGGTGATGCCGAGCGCACGCCCGAGGCGATCGCGGGGCAAGGCGCGACATACAGTGGAGAGGGGGAGGCAGGTTCAGGGGAGGGGGAGGTGCTACCGTCAGTGTTTGAAGGGCCACAGCTGCCGCATGTACATGGGCTCGTTACTGTTACAGGAGTTACCAGCCCCGAGACAGACGAACAGGAGGAGCAGCAGGAGGAGCAGGAGGAGGAGGCGGATGAGGCGGAGGGGGGAAGCAGGCGGAGCCGAAGGCTATGGGGCGTAACCGGGCCTTATAGTTACAGTCCATCCCACAGGTCGTCCCGGCACCAGCAGTGGCAGCAGCAGCTGCAGCAGCAGCGGGTGCAGAAACAGCGACGGGTAGATGCCTTTCAAAGCAAGCAGCAGCAGCAGCAGCAGCAGCAGCAGCAGCAGTTGCAATGGCAGGTGCAGGGGGAGAAGGGCAACGGAGCAGCCCCCGAGTGGGCGGTGCGGGAGCAGCAACGGTGGGAGCGGGACCAGCGGCCGCAGACAGCGGAGGAGATCCAAATGCAGGAGGCGCACTGGCGGCAGCAGCAGGCGCTGATCGCCCCGCGGCTGCGGCAGTGGCGGCAGCAGGCGAAGCGACTGGTCAAAGCGAGCCGAGCCAAGGAGGCCGTGTGGGCGGCAGAGGCGAGGAGCAAATGGGCGGCACAGGCGAGGGCCATGGAGAGAGAGGAGAGAGAGCAGGGTCGGACAGGTCTGGTTGCCCAGGGGGAAGGGGTAGCTGAGGCGCAGGGCGTTGGGGAGGGGGACAGCGTGCGGGGGGACGGGGATGCGAGTGGATTTACTACTCGCACAGCGGCCGGTGGGACCGCAGGGGCCCCAGGAGCCACAGGGGCCACGGCGGGCGGTGGGCGGTACGCTGTGATGACAGCGGACGACCTGGACGCCATGATGCCAGGCGGCACACTGTCGTGGCAGCGCCTTAAAGCCACCACTGCTGCCGTCAGCCCGCAAGGATCCGCCAACCTCAGGAGAGACAAGAGAGTCGCCAGCCCCAAAGCAGCTGCCAGCCCGTGCTCGCCACGGCACAGCAGCCCGGTGATCAAGGTGTTTTCCTCGTCCGACATCGCCAAGCGCACGCGCTACTCCCCCTCGCAGACCGTCACCCTCGTGCTCTACCGCTCCATCTCCCTCTCCCGCGGGCTCCTCTTCGGCTCCAATTTCTCGTGCACCATCTTCCGCTCACGCACCCTCCCCTCGCGCCTCTCCCTCGCGCTCTCGCGGTCGGACGAGCCGGTACTGCGCGTGCACAACGCCAGCAACATCCTGTTCATCGGCATCGGGCTGAGGAGCTCCGTCAAGAACAGCTCGCCCTTCTGCGAGTCGCTCCCCGAGTACGGCGCCCTGATGGGGTACGAGATCATCTGCCCGGCACTGCACATCTACCGCTCCTTTGGGATTCAGTTCACACAGGCGCCGGTGCTGGGCCGCATCGACGTGTTCCGGTCCGGATACACCAAGCTGGACTCGCTCTTTGTGACGGCGCCGGGGACGTATGAGCGGTCGCCGGGGGTGATCCGCATGGGCATGTGCGGGCTCGGAATGAACCTCACTTCCTCTAAGAATGTGATCACCAATAATGATGTGTTCGGCGCCTGGGAGCTGGTGAACCTTTACCGCGGGTCCATCGGAGTGAAGGTTCACAATAATTTCCTGCACGATTATTTGTTTGCGGGGTTCCGGTGCGGCGCGGACGTGCATTATTCGTGGGACTGCATGCTGACGTCGGTGAAGAACAACTTTGTCTTCACGCCTCAGTCCAAGGGCCGCCTGACGTTTGACTCGGCGGGGATCTACTTCTGCACGCACTGGTTCAACCCAGGTAAGAATGGGTGGTTGCGTTCCATTTGGGTCTCACGACCGTAATTCCGCCAGGCGGCTCTTGTCTCTGCTGTGTGCCTACTTGCTGTTTCCCTCACATTTGACTCGGCGGGGATCTACTTCTGCACGCACTGGCTCAACCCAGGCAGGTGGCTGTTTATACTACTGCCAGATGGCTTTAATTTCTCGTATGTGCCTGCTGATACTGGCTGCTGGCTTTTAGCTATTTGCCTTTTAGCTAACTCTCGCCTCTCTCCTCTCTCCCCTGTGCCACCATCCCCCTTTACAGGCAGCACGGTTGCCTGCAACTATGTGATAGGAGGAGACCACTGCTACTACCTGGACTACTGCACATCAGGGGTGGACATAACGGGCGGCGTGTGCGCGCAGCTGTGGGACGGGGTGAAGCTCAACAATGGCAAGCGCAACAAGATCCGCAGCCTGCTCATGGTCAGCCTGGGGCAGAGCCCCGGGTACATCACGTGCCTCACCGTCACCATCAACCACTGCGGGAAGGACCCCGGGACATACTGGGAGCGCATGCGGCAGCGCTACTACAACTCGCCTGAGATCAACAAGGTGCGTGTCTGGGAATTCTGGAAGTCTTACATTATTCCACAAACACACTGCAACATGGTGCTAGGCAGTCAAGAATGTAACATATGTGCCTTCTTCTTGCCCCAGCCTATCCCCTGCATCCTCCACTCTCCCTGTCAAACCCCCTTCCCCCTCCCCTATCCTCCCCATCACCTGCCTGACCCTCTCTTCTATCCCCTTCCCCCCACCTACTATCCTCCCCCCACCACCAGCTATGGCCGTGGATGAAGCATGTGTGCCAACAAACCCGCATTGGCTCCCAGTCCTGCAACCCCAAGGGCCACCAGGCGCTCACCTCCAAGCAAACCGGCGCCTGCAGCGGCCTGCCCACTGAAAACGACGTGGAGCTCATCGCAGTAGATGCCGACACAAGCCGCTCGGACGAGTACCGGTACTGTGGGAGGGTGCCGGCCGCCAACAAGGTGAATCGGCAGGTGCTCTACAGGTACACTGGTGATGAAATGCAGTTTAGAGATTATAAAAATGGGGATTACGGGGTAGAAGCGGGCTCGATAGTGTATAAGAAGCATAAGGGGTTTGTTTCGTGTCCCAGAGGGCGAGTGGGGATCACACCGGTGTCGGTCCAGACGTACTACAAGGACTGGAACATTCCGGCTCCTACCTTCTACAAGAAGATGGTTGCATTGTCGTACAATGTGATATACAATAAGGATATGTATTAGACCTGTACCATTCTATTCTATTCATTGACGTGTTTAGGTAGTTATATCTCTACTTCATGTACCTTTTTTTTTTCACAGCTCTACCCTTCACCACGGACTTTGTTATGTTGTTTACCTTTGCTACACTCAGCAGTTTAGATGATATGACGCATTACCTGTTCAAATTATATAAGTTATAATTTAATATAGGCTTGGTAGGTTGTTACTGAACCTTTCTGTAGGGGGTACAAACCCCTCCTTGTACTCCCCTCTCTTCTAATCCAACCCTCTTTTCTCTCCTCAACTTTCCTAGCACCTAAAACCTCTCGCCATTCTCATGGCTCCTCCTAGCTCCTAGCTAAACCTTGTGCCATTCTATGGCTTCCTAGCTAAGCTAGTCTTTTGACATGGTATTAGAGCAGTTCGTTCCGTGTGGGCCTGCTCCTCGCGTTTCCGCTGCGTGCTCGTTTCTCTCTCTATCTCGCGCTGCCATGGCGGCCGCGTCAAGCTGCTGTGGCCGCGTCGTCGTGCCGCGGCGCCGCCGTCGACGTCCATGGCGCCCGCGTCCAGCTGCTGTGGCCGCGCCGTCGTGCCGCAGCTCCGCCGTCGCGTCAAGATGCTGTCGCGACGTGACGGCGCCGTCACGCTGCCGCGGCGTCTACGCGACAGCGCGCGGTCGGCGTAACGGCGACGTCGTGCTGCCGTCGCAACGTCGACGCCCCGCTGCGGCATCGACGCCGCTCCATGATGGCGTCGTCGGGCTGCAGCCGGCCGCGTGATGCTTGTGGCGCCGCTAGACCGGCCGCCCGCATGTCAGCCTGTGGCGCCCCCCCCCCCCCCACCCCCTCCTTCCCCTGTGCCCTCTTCCATTCCGCAGACGACGGCTGACTCCCGCCGGCCGTCCCACCGTCGCGGGGCCTGGCCACGTCACCGAGAGGTGCGGGTGCCGCCGCCGCTGCCGCTGTTGTCGAAGCCGCCGCCGCCGCCGCTGTCGCCGCTTGCGTCGGGGCCACGCAGCCGCACGCCGCCGCCGCCGCCGCTGTCGACACTGCCGCCGCTGCTGCCGTCGCCGCCGCAGCCCCTGCGGTCGACGTCGCCGCCTCACGCACCGTGGGTCGACCGACCTAGAGTCGCTGTCACTGTGGCTGGAATGGGGGTGCTAGGTTAGGGGGTGTGGGTGTGTGTGGGCATGTGACTACCAAGCCTAGGGGGTGTGTTCAAATTATATAAGTTATAATTTAATATAGGCTTGGTAGGTTGTTACTGAACCTTTCTGTAGGGGGTACAAACCCCTCCTTGTACTCCCCTCTCTTCTAATCCAACCCTCTTTTCTCTCCTCAACTTTCCTAGCACCTAAAACCTCTCGCCATTCTCATGGCTCCTCCTAGCTCCTAGCTAAACCTTGTGCCATTCTATGGCTTCCTAGCTAAGCTAGTCTTTTGACATTACCGAGGCCAAATATTGTTACCAGTATGTAGTTCAGTGCAATATCAGAGAAAACACCCTGAGCCTAAACCCTAAACGAGTACAGATCACTGAAACGCTAGTGCAGAGTAACGAGTCTATAACCCACACCCTATAAACCAAGTTGTCTAAGCGGCAGCACGGAGGATGGCTCTAGCCACCAGCATGCCATCCACAGCAGCACTCACAATGCCCACAGCATAGGGGTCTAGGCTGAGGGTGAGTGAGCATCATGACTCATGAGCGTGAGGGAGATGCAGGAGAGGTAGCGGCAGCACTACGAAGAATGGCTCTAGCAGCCAGCATGCCGTCCACAGCAGTGCACACAATGACCCCAGCATGGCGGCTGAGAGTGGTGTGGTGAGTCATGAGTGCGGTGGAGTGTGGTGGGGTGTGGTGAGTGTCATGAGGGAGAGGTAGCAGCAGCACTTCGAAGAATGGCTCTCGCTGCCAGCATGCCGTCCACAGCAGCGCTCACAATGCCCCCAGCATACCCCGCGCCCTCGCCTATCGGGTACAGCCCTGGCAGCGACACGCTCTCGTAGCTCTCTGCCCCGCGCTCCACCCGCACCGGACAGCTGGTGCGCGTCTGTTGGGCGCGATGGGAAGGTGATGAGACAGGGGAAGGGGGGAGGAGCGGACAAGCGAGGGCGGTGGTGAGAGTTGGAAACAGCCCGGGAAGCAACTCGCTCTCATAGCTCTCTGCCCCTCACTGCACGTGCACCAGACAGCTTGTGCGCTTGTGAAGGGTGTGACGGGGAGAGGAGGGGAGAGCCCATGGGGAGGGGTGAGGAGAAGTGAGGAGAGGTAAGGAGAGGTGAGACCAGACCTGGCAGCGACACACTCTCATAGCTCAGAAGCTACCATTGTCCACCTTATTGGGCACACTCTTCATAGTTGACTATTGGCTGCTACAGGGGGCCCATTATTGCTCACCTCTGCAGCGTGCAGCAGCGCGTGTGGGGAGATGAAACCAGGCATCTGATGGGTTGGAGGGGGGGATGAGAGAGAGGGGGAAAGAGGGGGACTTCTGGGACGATGCACAATCTGGCATGCAAGGGATGATAGAGGGAGACAAGTGTGGAGATAATCCTAATTCATGTGCACCGTTGCCTGCTGTGCTGTGATATGAGTCCTCACCTTTTTATCGAATTCCTCTAAAGCGAGTCGGATGGCGAGTGTGATGGAGGGCGAGTACAGCTGGTCCAGCCGAGCCGGAGCCACTCCCAGGCGGTAGCTGGAGGACGGCAGGGCGGACGCTGGGAGGGGGGAAGAGCGGGCGATAGGGAGTGCGGGAGAGGATGATGGATGGGGGGCGGGGGGGAGGGGGGGGAAAGAGTGGGAAAGTGAGGAAGAGCTGGTCCAGACGAGCAGGAGCCACGCCCAGACGGTAACTGGAAGAGGGCCGGGCGGACGCTGGGAGGGGGGGAGGGAAGGGAGGGGCGGAGATTCTTTTGAACCTTCAAACCTATGTGCCTGCCTTTAAGAGAGCCGGAGCCACTCCAAGGTGGAAGCTGGACGATGGGCGGGCGGAGGCTGGAAGGGGGGAAGACAGGCAAGGCGGGGAAATGTACTGAGAGATACTGCCTTGCGTGTCTGAAGAAGAGAGCGAAAGAGGTGACGGGGGGAAGGCTGTACTGAGAGATTCAGTTTCCGTGGTTCATGCAGACTTTGCCCTGGACGTTGAGGTGGTACTCACCGGGGGAGAGAGTCCCATGGAGGAAGTCAGTGGCCCGCTGCACTGGAGCAACGAAGTCCCCACCCCCCATCACGGCTGCTTGGCGCTCGATTGCCCTCTGGGGGGAGGGGAGAGGAGGGAAATGAGGGAGAGGAGGGACATGAGGGAGAGGAGGGACATGAGGGAGAAGAGGGACATGAGGGAGAGGAGGGAAATGAGGGAGATGAGCGGGTTGAGGGAGAAGGAGACAGGCATCAACCACAGCTAGCCAGCAGCGGTGCTCGTGCACTCCACCCGGACAACTCAACCCCTCCCAGTTGATAAGCTCATTGCCCCTCACCTGGTGCTCCATGTCTGCCAGTGCCCCATGCTCCCTGGCGAACTCGTCAAAGTCACCAGCCGTTGCTGACACGGAGGAGACCAGAGCGGCGTTGGCCCAGAGGGAGGAGCGGTTGGAGAAGGACATGCCGTTGATGCAGAGCTCGTCGGCGCGCACACCACCTGTTCCACCCACCCACCAGCCCACCTGCTACCCACTGCCTGCAACCTGCCAACCCGGAGCCCCTCACCTGGTACTCCATGCCTGCCAGGGGCCCATGGTCCTTCACAAACTCGTCAAAGTCGCCACTAGTCGCCGAAACAGAGGACACGAGGGCGGCGTTGGCCCAGAGGGAGGACCGGTTGGAAAAGGACATGCCGTTGATGCAGAGCTCGTCGGCTGTGGTGCTCGTGCACACCACCTGCCCGCCGGGACACATACAGAACGAGTAGCAGCTGCGCACACTGCTGCCCGTGCTGCTGCCAGCACTGCTGCTGGTACTGCTGCCACTGCTGCCAGTGAGTGAATCAGCATCCAGGGTGAACTGGCCTGCCAGCGAGTAGTCTGCCACGGGTATCCTGCCCTTGCCCCGCGCCACGGCTGCCTCCACGTCCATGCTGCCCTGCCACCGCCGGTACTGCGAAGGGCGGGGGAGGGGGGGAGGGAGTCGGGAGGAAAGTGGAAGAGTTTAAAAAGTGGGTGAGTTAGAGGGGAGCGAAAGTGGGTGAGTTAGAGGGGAGCGAAAGTGGGTGAGTTAGAGGGGAGCGAAAGTGGGTGAGTTAGAGGGTAGCGAAAGTGGGTGAGTTAGAGGGGAGCGGAAGTGGGTGAGTTAGAGGGGAGTGAGGATGGGACCACTGCTACCCCCACGTCAATGCTGCCCTGCCACCGCCGGTACTGCAGTGTGTGGGGGGGGGGGAGATAGGCAGGCAGGGGAAGTGATCGGCTGAATGCCATTGAACCCACTGCTCCCACCACGTCCATGCTGGCCTGCCGGCGCCGCTACTGTGATGAGGAGGCGTGAAGGGGGTTGGGTGCGAGGAGAATGGGAGAGGAAGTGAGTGAGTGAGAGTGAGAGCAGAGAGGCGGGGGCACTGCTGGACGCCAGGCAAGATAGCTGGACGCCAGGCAAGTTAGCTGGACGCCAGGCAAGTTAGCTGGACGCCAGGCAAGATAGCTGGACGCCAGGCAAGTTAGCTGGACGCCAGGCAAGTTAGCTGGACGCCAGGCAAGATAGCTGGACGCCAGGCAAGTTAGCTGGACGCCAGGCAAGTTAGCTGGCACGTGGACGCCAGGCAAGATAGCTGGACGCCAGGCAAGTTAGCTGGACGCCAGGCAAGTTAGCTGGACGCCAGGCAAGTTAGCTGGACGCCAGGCAAGACTACGCCAGGCTGGACGCCAGGCAAGTTAGCTGGACGCCAGGCAAGTTAGCTGGACGCCAGGCAAGTTAGCTGGACGCCAGGCAAGTTAGCTGGACGCCAGGCAAGTTAGCTGGACGCCAGGCAAGTTAGCTGGACGCCAGGCAAGTTAGCTGGACGCCAGGCAAGTTAGCTGGGACGCCAGGCAAGTTAGCTGGACGCCAGGCAAGTTAGCTGGACGCCAGGCAAGTTAGCTGGACGCCAGGCAAGTTAGCTGGACGCCAGGCAAGTTAGCTGGATGCCAGGCAAGTTAGCTGGACGCCAGGCAAGTTAGCTTGATGCCAGGCAAGTTAGCTGGACGCCAGGCAAGTTAGCTGGACGCCAGGCAAGTTAGCTGGAAGCAGCCCATAGCATCCCGGAGGTGCCTGGCAGCTGCTCCTAGCTGCCGGGAGGTGCCTGGCAGGTGCCCATAGCTGCCAGGAGGTGCCTGTCAAGTGCCCATAGCTGCCGGGAGGTGCCTGGCAGGTGCCCACAGCAGCCAGGAGGTGCCTGGCAGCTGCCCACAGCAGCCAGGAGGTGCCTTGCAGCTCCCCACAGCTACCGGGTGGTGCCTGGCAGCTGCCCCTAGCTGCTAGGAGGTTCCTGGCAGCTGCCCCTAGCTGCCAGGAGGTTCCTGGCAGCTGCCCATCGCGGCGAGGAGGTGCCTGGCGGCTGCCCGTAGCTGCCAGGAGGTTCTTGGCAGCCGCCCCTAGCAGCCAGGAGGTGCCTGGCAGCCGCCCCTAGCAGCCAGGAGGTGCCTGGCGGCCCCTAGCCGCCAGTGGGTGCCCGGCGGCTGCCCCTAGCCGCCAGGGGGTACCTGGCAGAGAAGCTGAGCTGAGTTGAGCTGAGCTGAGCTGAGCTGAGAAGCGGAGCTGAGCCGAGCCGAGCGAATCGAAGCGAGGCCAAGCGAAGTGAAGACAAAGCGAAGCCAAGCCAAGTGAAGCAATGCTAAGCCAAGCGAAGCCAAGCGAAGCGAAGCGAAGCCAAGCGAAGCAAACCAAAGCAAAGCCAAGCAAAACGAAGCCAAGCCAAGCCAAGCCAAGCCAAGCGAAGCGAAGTGAAGCCAAGCCAAGCGAAGCGAAGACAAGCGAAGCGAAGCCAAGCCAAGCCGAAGCGAAGACAAGCCAAGCGAAGCGAAGCCAAGCGAGGCCGAGCGAAGCCAAGCGAAGCGAAGCCAAACCAAGCCAAGCTAAGCCAAGCGGAGCCAAGCGAAGCCAAGCCAAGCGAAGCAAAGTGAAGCGAAGCTAAGCCAAGCCAAGCGACGCCAAGCGAAGCAAAGCCAAGTGAAGCGAAGCCAAGCCAAGCGAAGCGAAGCCAAGCGAAGCGAAGCGAAGCCAAGCGAAGCCAAGCGAAGCGAAGCCAGGCGAAGAGATGCGAAGCCAAGCAAAGCCAAGCCAAGCCAAGCCAAACCAAGCGAAGCGAAGCCATGCAAAGTGATGCAAAGCCAAGCGAAGCGAAGCCAAGCAAAGCGAAGCGAAACGAGTCCAAGCAAAGCAAAGCCAAGGGAAGCAAGGCCAAGCGAAGCGAAGCCAAGCGAAGCAATGCGAAGCCAAACGAAGCGAAGCGAAACGAAGCCAAGCCAAGCCAAGCCAAGCGAAGAGAAGTGAAGAGAAGCGAAGCGAAGCGAAGAGAAGCGAAGCGAAGAGAAGCGAAGCGATTCCAAGCGAAGCGAAGCCAAGCCAAGCCAAGCGAAGCCAAGCCAAGCCAAGGGAAGCCAAGCCAAGCCAAAGGAAGCGAAGCCAAGCGAAGCGAAGCCACGCGAAGTGATGCGAAGCCAAGCGAAGCGAAGCCAAGCGAAGCGATTCCAAGCGAAGCGAAGCCAAGGGAAGCCAAGCCAAGCAAAGCGAAGCCAAGCGAAACGGCGCGAAGAGAAGCGAAGCGAAGTGAAGCGAAGCAAAGCCAAGCGAAGCAAAGCCAAGCCAAGCCAAGCAAAGCCAAGCCAAGCAAAGCCAAAGCCAAGCCAAGCCCAACCGCCCTAAAGCCCAACCGCCCTGAAGCCCAACCGCCCAGAAGCCCAACCACCCAGAAGCCCAACCGGCCAGAAGCCCAACCGCCCTGAAGCCCAACCGCCCTGAAGCCCAACCGCTCTAAAGCCCAACCGCCTTAAAGCCCAACCCCCCTGAAGCCCAACCGCCTAGAAGCCAAACCGGCCTAAAGCCCAACCGCCCTAAAGCCCAACCCCCCTAAAGCCCAACCGCCCTAAAGCCCAACTACCCTAAAGCCCAACCGCCCAAAAGCCCAACTACCCAAAAGCCCAACCACCCTACAGCCCAACCGCCCTAAGGCCCAACCGCCCTAAAGCCCAACCGCCCCGAAGCCCAATTGCCCTAAGCGCCGAAGCCCAACTGCCCAAAAGCCCAACCGCCCTAAAGCCCAACCGCCCTAAAGCCCAACCGCCCTGAAGCCCAACCGTCCTGAAGCCCAACCGCCCAGAAGCCCAACCGCCCTAAAGCCACCGGCCTAAAGCCCAACCGGCCTAAAGCCCAACCAGCTAAAAGTCCAAACACCCAAAAGCACAACCGCCTTAAAAGCCCAACCGTCCTAAAGCCCAACCGCCCTAAAGCACAACCGCCCTGAAGCCCAACCGCCCTGAAGCCCAACCGCCCTGAAGCCCAGCCAGCCTAAAGTCCAATCGGCCTAAAGCCCAACCACCCTGAAGCCCAACCGCCCTCGGCCCAACCGCCCTAAAGCCTAACCGCCCTAAAGCCCTACCACCCTAAAGCCCTACCGCCCTAAAGCCCAACCGCTCAAAAGCCCAACCGCCCAAAAGCCCAACCGTCCAAAAGCCCAACCACCCAAAAGCCCAACCGCCCTAAAGCCCAACCGCCCTAAAGACCAACCGGCCTAAAGTCCAATCGGCCTAAAGCCCAACCGCCCTCAAGCCCAACCGCCCTCAAGCCCAACCGCCCTAAAGCCCAACCGCCCAAAGGCCCAACCGCCCAAAAGCCCAAGCGCCCTAAAGCCAACCGCCAAAAGCCCAACCGCCCAAAAGCCCAACCGCCCTCAACCCCAACCGCCCTCACCCCAACCGCCCTAAAGCCCAACCGCCTAAAGCCCAACTGCCCTAAAGCCCAACCGCCCTTGTCGTCGGGAGGTGCAAGGCAGCCGCCCTAGCCGCCAGGGGCTGCCTGGCAGCTGCCCCTAGCCGCCAAGGGGGTGCCTGGCAGCCACCCCTAGCCGCCAGTGGGTGCCTGGCAGCCGCCCCTAGCCACCAGGGGGTGCCTGGCAGCCGCCCCTAGTCGCCAGGGGGTGCCTGCCAGCTGCCCTAGCAGCCAGGGGATGCTTGGCAGCTTCCCTTAGCTACCAGGAGAGTGCCAGGCAGCTGCCAATAGCTGCCAGGAGGTGCTTGGCAAGTGCCTACAGCTGCTAGTAGGTGCTTGGCAGCTGCCCCCAGCTGCCAGAAGGTGCCTGCCAGCTGCCCCTTGTTGCCAGGAGGTTCCTGAAAGCCGCCCACAGCCGCCAGCAGGTGCCAGCAGGTGCCTGGCAGCCGGCCACAGCCGCCAGAAGGTGCCTGGCAGCCGCCCCTAGCCGCCAGGGGGTGCCTGACAGCCACCCCTAACCGCCAGGGGCTGCCTGGCATCCGCCCTTAGCTGCCAGGAGGTGCCTGGCAGCCGATCCCAGCTGCCAGGAGGTGTCTGGCAGCTGCCCCTGGCCGCCAGGGGGTGCCTGGCCGCCGCCCCTAGCCGCCAGGGGGTGCCTGCCAGCCGCCAGGGTGTGCCTGCCAGTCGCCCCTAGCCGCCAGGGGGTACCTGCCAGCTGCCAATAGCTGCCAGGAGGTGCCAGGCAGCTGCCAATAGCTGCCAGGAGCTGGCCCATAGCTCCCCATATGGCTAGGAGGTGCCGGGCACATGCCTAGCTGTCATGGCAGCCGCCCCTAGCTGCCAGGAGGTGCCTGGAAGCCGCGTCTAGCTGCCAAATGGTGCCTGGTAGCCGACCCCAACTGCCAGGAGGTGCCTGGCAGCTGCCCCTAGCCGCTAGGGGGTGACTAGCAGCCGCCCCAAGCCGCCAGGGGGGTGCCTGGCAGGCAGCCGCTCCTAGCCGCCAGGGGTGCCTGCCAGCCGCCCCTAGCCGCCAGGGGGTGCCTGCCAGCCGCCAATATATGCCAGGAGGTGCCAGGCAGCTGCCAATATCTGCCAGGAGCTGCCCCATAGCTGCCAGGAGCTGCCCCCTAGCTCCCCATATGGCTTGCAGGTGCCGGGCAGTTGCCTAGCTGCCAGGAGGTGCCTGACAGCTGCCCACAGCAGCCTGAACTGCCTGGCAGCTGCCCCTAGCTGCCAGGCGGTTCTGGCTGCTGCCCCTAGCTGCCAGGAGGTGCCTGGCAGCCGACCCCAGCTGCCAGGAGGTGCCTGGCAGCTGCCCCTAGCCGCCAGGGGGTGCCTGGCAAACGCCCCTAGCCGCCAGGGGGTGCCTGCCAGCCGCCCTTAGCTGCCAGGGGTGCCTGGCAGCCGCCAATATATGCCACGAGGTGCCAAGCAGCTGCCAGTAGCTGCCAGGAGGTGCAAGGCTAATTGCCAGGAGCTGCCCCATAGCTGCCAAGAGCTGCCCCATAGCTCCCCATATGGCTTGGACGTGCCGGGCAGTTGCCTAGCTGCCAGGAGGTGCCGAGCAGCTACCCATAGCTGCCAGGAGGTGCCTGACAGCTGCTCCGAGGTTCCTGGAAGCTGCCCCTAGCTGCCACGAGGTGCTTGGCAGCTGCCCAAAGCTGCCAGGAGGTGCCTGGCAGCTGCCCATAGCTCCCAGGAGATGCTTGGGCGCCAGGCAGGTTAGCTGGACGCCAGGCAAGATAGCTGGACGCCAGGCAAGTTAGTTGGACGCCAGGCAAGATAGCTGGACGACAGGCAAGCTAGCTGGACGCCATGCAAGATAGCTGGACGCCAGGCAAGACAGCTGAACGCCAGGCAAGTTAGCTGGACGCCAGGCAAGTTAACTGGACGCCAGGCAAGATAGCTGGACGCCAGGCAAGATAGCTGGACGCCCTCTTCAGCTGGACGCCCGTGGGGGTGGGAAGCAGACTGTGGGAGCGCAGCATGTCGATTGCCGCCCTGGCTGCTAGACTATCATACCCGAATGGCGTTGATCGACTGTTGGGGATGCTCTATGCGGAATCCCATGGCAAAGTCCTTGGGGGTGATAAGAACATTGTGGGAGAGCAGCATGTCGAACACCGCCCTCACTGTCAGTCTGTCAGCCTGTCAGCCTGTCAGACTGTCTTACCCTGACTGTCACTGTAGGAGAGTGGCATGTCAAATACCGACCTCGCAGTCAGCCTGTCAGCCTGCCCGACTGTCTTACCCGGATGGCGTTGATCAACCGCTGGGGATGCTCTATGCGGAAGCCCACAGCAAAGTCCTTGGGGGTGAGAAGGACGTTGTGGGAGAGCAGCATGTCAAACACCGCGCGGGCTGAATGCCCCACACCCAGCAGCACCCTATCCGCTGCTATCACACTCCCATCAGCACCGCTCCCCACCGCACTTCCAGCAGGTCTCACTCGCACCCCAGCCACCCGCCCGTTCCGAACCTCCAGGTCGTCCACGACTGTACCGAACCTGATCTCCACGCCCAGGCCTTGCAGGTAGGCTCGGAACTGCTGCAGGATGCGCACGAGCCTGTCGGTGCCGAGATGCGGGCGGCCATCCACGAGAATACGGTCAGGTGCTCCCATGCGCACCAACACATGCAGCACCTCCCGCACATCCTGGCTGTTCTTGCCGATTCTGGTGGTCAGCTTGCCGTCACTCCATGTGCCTGCACCTCCCTGCCAAGTATAACACATGGCGAGCTCCAGACTCAAGTTTAAAAGATGCATCCGGATTGATTGAGCACATGATCCTCCACCGGTTGGCCCTGCTCCACCACCATCTGCTCGTCATAACCCCATGGGCCATGCCTCTCATCTCACCTCCCCATAGCAGAAGTTGCTGTCAGGGTTGAGCACGTGCCGCACAGCCAGAGCCCCAATATCCATACCATGAACGTACGTCCCACCTAGAGCTTACCTAAACAACACATATTCTCACCTCGCCATAGCAGAAGTTGCTGTCGGGGTTGAGCACGTGGCGCACAGCCAGGGCGCCAATGTCGCGCCCCCTCTCCTCCACCGGCTGCCCCCTCTCCACCACCACCACCTGCTCGCCCGCCTCTGCTAACACCAGCGCCGCCAGCAACCCCGCTGGACCCATCCCCACCACCACATTGCGCGTTCGCTCTCTCGCCCCCTTGCCGCTTGCCCCCACAGCGCCTGAGGGGGGGCTCGAGCTGCTGTCCGTGTTCCTGCCAGCAGCAGCAGCAGGAGAAGCAGCAGCAGCAGCAGCAGCAGCAGCAGCAGGAGAAGCAGCAGCAGGAGTAGCACTCTCAGCAGCAAGAGTGGTGCGTGCAGCCAGGAGGCCGAAGGGCGGTTCAGGCAGCACGGGCTGCGTCTTGAGGGCCACGTCCCTGCGCTTGCGAGGGGGCGTGGCGGAGAGAGAGAACGCCCGGTCGAGGGCAGAGGCGTCGATGTCTATGGCATAGGCGAACACAGGGGCCTGGGTGGGCGTCAGGAGAGGTAGGCGGAAACGGGAGGGAGAGGAGCAGCAGGGGGATGATTGCGAAGGCTTGTTGAGAAACAGTGGTTTGAGATAAACTTTTTCCTGATTCCAGCTGAATCTCTCTCTTTAACTAGTGACTGAATCAGAGACATCTTAACACACCTTGCGGGCGTCAAAGGACTTGCGGACGACGGAGATGGCCGATGCAGGCAGGTGCTCCGGCCTCACATGCAGCGCCACAGCAGCGGCCCGCACCAGCCCGTCGCACACTGCAACGTCGTCCTTGCCGGGGTCGGCATGAAACGGCACGTCCACGTTCATGAGTCGGATGAACCCCTCCGTTGGTAAATGGCCCTCTGTTGCCAGTTGCCCGTCTGTTGCCAGCTGCCCGTCTGTTGCCAGACGCCCCTCTGGTGCCAGTCGCCTGTCCAGACGCCCGCCTGGTGCCACGTTCCTGTCATTATCTCCGGTCTCTCTCCTCACGCTATCATTCATCTCTCTTCCTCTGTATTCACCCCTCCCTCTCTCCCCGTACTCGCCCCTCCCTCTCCCCCCATACTCACGCCGCCCTCTCCCCCCATACTCACTCCGCCCTCCCCCCCCATAATCCCTCCGTCCTCTCCCCCCATACTCGCCGCTCTCTCCCCTCCTAATATCGTCCCTCTCTCTTCCCCCAAACTCCACCCTCCCTCTCCTCTCAAATGAGCCCCTCTCCCTCCCGCCACTACCACCCCCCTCCGTCCCCCCATTATCACCCCTCTCACTCCCCCCATATGTCCCCCTGCCTCTCCCCCCATAACCACCCCTCGTGCTCTCCCCATATGATCCTCTTCCTCTCCGCCCATATCCGCCCCTGTCCCCCCTCCCGTATCCGGGCCTCTCTGTTACCGCATAACCGCCGCCCTCTCTCCGCCCATATTCACGCCTGTCCTCCCCTCCTAACTCATCTCTTCCTCTCTTCCCATATCCGCCCCTATCTCCCTCCCCATATCCCCCCCTCTCTTCCACCCCATTGTCTCCCACCCGTCTCCCCCCATAGTCCCCCCTCTCGCTCCTCGCACCCTCACCCCCCCGCACACTCTCGTCAGACCTCTGCCCACCCCTTGTGCGATATTCCGTCTCTCCATCTCCCCCTTCTCTGCTCCCATTCTCCCTGCCATATCCAGAATACCGCTCCCTACTCCCCTGGTACCGCTCCGAACCGCTAGCGTCTCGCTCTGAGCCTCTAGGGTACCGCTCCTTTTCACCCCCGTACGTCGCTCCCCTCTCATTCTCGCCCCTTGCCTCATCGTACCCTGTCGCCCGTCCCCTACCATATCCCCTCCCTCCCCTCCCCCGTCCGTACCCTTCACGTTCCTTACTCTCATACGTGTACCGGTCTTCCCTATACCGGAGCGTCTCCTTGCCATCCCCATCGCTTAAACCCTTCCTGTCCCCAAACCCTGAACCATCCCCCTCTTCCCTTCCCCTCCCTCCGTCCCGCCTCTCCCTTCCATCATACCCCCCACCGGCTCCCCAACCATCATCCTCCTGTCCCCTCTCCACTACTCTATAATTACTCCTCCTATAGTCACCCTCAACAGGACGAGGAGCCTTCACAGCATTACCCCTCGCCGTCCTCGGTTCATCTCCCTGCTCCCTTCCCCTGCTTCCACCAGCGAAACGCCTTTCTCTCTCACTCCAGTCCCTACCCTCTCTCAAAGACCGATCCTCCCCAGAAGCTTCGTTTCCCCTCCGAGCCTCCCCCCTTGGCCGCTCCGATCGATCCCGACTGAACCGCGCAGTCACGACGGCTAGACGGCTATTCCGATAGATTTTTTCCGTCCCATTGTTCCTAAGGCAGGGTAATCTGCGCGTTGATAAGCTCCCGTGGTGACGCAACCAAGTGTGCTTGAATGGAAGGAGGACGGGTGGCCCCGTTAGAATGTCGACCAGCGTCATCTCTCATTCACCCGCAAGGAATCTACGGACTAGCTTACAATGAAGAATGTGGTGTGCTCGTCTTCAAGCATGTTCTTGATTCTAGCTACGGAAAGTGATGATCTGACGTACTGCGTGCCAATGGTTTGCTCGGAACATCAAAACACGCCGATGGTACAAAATGAATTCTCGACCTCCAAAGATGGGGTGGAAAGGAATGGTACTGGGGTTTGTGATGTGATGGGATGAGGTGAAATGCAGTATGTTCAAAAACGTTTCAGCACGGTTTGGCTGGATGATATTTGGTTGGTGTCGTGGTGATGGGGGTGCTACATGGTGGGAGGGATGTCAGGCAATTCCCAATGTTCAGTCCAGTGAGGAAGTTACACCAATCGCAGGATAGCGTGGCAGTGAGGTGGACCCACAGAGCAGGAAGGGATTGCTGAAGCGAGGCTGCAGTATCCGCTAAGAGTTTCCTCGAGTACCAGCACCATTCTCGAATCCTGTGCCTTCCTTGCTGTACTTCGGCAGGGTGTACAGTAATTATCTCACCGAACTCCAGCAGGGGCAGGTCAGACGTGGCGCGCATCAGACCAGATTCCCCTTCACTACAATTGGTCGCCGCTGGGGACCACCACACAGCATCCAGCATCTAATTGACACAATGTCAATTTTCGCGAACCTCGTTCGTACCCTCCAACCCCGTAACACAGTTCGTCAAAAACATTTCGCAGTCTCTCCTCCAGCCTCCCGTTCCTGGCTCAGACTGAACTTGAGGTATTGCCTGACACAGAAAGGGAGCAGGGAACCTTATCCAACCGAAACCCCAACAGAGGCAATTCCCTCCAGTCCGTTAGTGTTAGGTTCTCTGCTATTGGCTACCAACTGACATCACGATCACACGAGTCGCTTTGCCGCGTCTCGAAGTGGCCGTTTACCCGTTCCCGCCCAGCCATAACGTTTACTCAACCAATCCGAGCCGTAGATCGATTTTGTTTGAAATTAATCCAACGACTCAAGCTCCATCAGTCCCCCTTTTTTGTCCCGACGGCCATCCCTCCAGACCCGTATTCGTTTTCCGAGCCTTTTGCTTCGGAACCGCGCGGCTTTTACTCCAAAGGCCACGATTCGGTTTTTTTTGTAGCCGTCCAGCGAACCGCGAGTGTTGAACCCCACACCCCCAATCCCCCCCACTCCCTTGCGTTTGGCCGTGGGAATTTCCAGCCAGGACATTCCAACCACGCATTTCCCAGGAGCGACATTCCAACCACGCATTTCCCAGGAGCGACATTCCATCCAACCACGCATTTTCCTGAAGGGACATTCGAACCACGCATTTTCTCGGAGCGACATTCGCTCTTGCTTTTCCTCGAAGTCAATCTAGCTGAGACATTCGCTCATTCAATTCCACATTGCGTTCGTTCGTCGCCAACTCAGCTCTATGTAGCATATTCGCACCTCGACCAAGCTCATTCCTCCTGCTTCACGGACATCAGTTCGCCGGCTCAGAGTGCTCTCGCTGCTGGCTTTAATGGAGCGTCGAACCACTGCAACGTGCTCCAACGCAGGTAACTTCTCCGAAAATTCTGGTTGGCTTTTTCAACATTTCGTGGACGTTTCTGACGCTGCCTTTTTTCCTCCCTTGCAGTCGATTGAAACATCCACTGTCCGTCGTCAGCCGTCGCTGCCTGTCTGCTTTTATGGAGCTTCATTGCACCACAACAACGATGTAAGCTTCCAATTCGCATCGGTATTAACTTTTTTAATATCGTGCAAGTTTCTGACATTATTCTTATCCGATTTATTTCTTGCAGGCAGCGTCCCATCCGCTATCCCCCGTCACGTCAACCTCCGTCATAGCTTCCCTCCGTTCACTACGGTTTCAAGCACATCAATCCGCGGATGCTGAAATTTTCAAGGTACGCTTTCAAATTCCGACTTTCGCTTTCTGCAAGCTTGCCTTTTAAGAGTTATACTTACGCAGGTCTCGTTGTTCATGTGTCCTCAGGTGCGACATCATCCAGACGAGCCGCCAGACAGCACACCCGTGCGAGCATGGATGCCGGAAAACCTTCAATATGCACGGCGCTCCGCATGCACGGCAACCCAACCGAGCGTCACCTGTCGCTTGCTGTGGCGACCAGCACCTCGGCCTCAAGCGCCGTTTCCGAAGCTAAGTTCTCGCCCGGTCCCATTCCCTCACATGCTATGCTGCTTTTCTTTGCCTGTGCACCATGCTTTCCAGGCTCCCCACCCCTTCGATTGCTCATCTCCCCCTCCCCCTCCAACCGGAAGCCCATGGCGCACGGCGCTTGCTTAAGCCGCCCGCCTGCATAGAGAGTCCAGTCGCTAGTGGGTTAGCCTATGTTAGAAGTTTAGCTGTCGCTGCATGCACGCGTCGAGTCTCCTCCTCCTCGTTGTCCCCTCGCTGCCGCTCGCTCGTGCATGTGTACCATGGGCGACCCTCCCCCTCTCCCCCTCCCCTACCTTCCAGGTCCGGAGCTGCTTCATGGGTTTCACGTCTTCAGGTGTTGGTGCTGCTCCAGGGGACGCACCAGGTGCCTCCGCTGCTCTGCGCGGCTCACATGTGGCTCCCTGTCCTCACGTCGTCATCTCCTTGTTCCCTCCGCCCCTTCCCAAACCCCGCCCCCCTCCCCCTCCCTGGCAGGTCACTCGGCCTGTGATGGCAAGGAGCAGAGGGAGACGGAAGCGGGGAAGCGAGCAAGCATCCGGGGGTGCTTCAGCGTCTTCATGCTTCCGGTAGCAGCACAAGGCGGTGCAAGGCGGCACCATCTGCCTCTGCACGCTGCCTCACCTGCCTTCTGCGCGCACTCACATCATCAGCTAAGTAGCCGACCCTCTATGCATGCATGCATCCGTCTTTTCTGCCATTTCGTTTTCTCATAAAACAGTGCCGCTGGTGGAAGCACAGTGTACAACCCACAGAATCCCTCACTGCTGGTAAAGCCCCCCCCAGGTTAAGCCCTCAGGTGTACCCCCATTACCACAGGTATATCTTCCCTTGGGTCTGTGGCGTTTCGCTGTGCCTCCACCAGTGGCCCTCCTTCCGCTCGTCCTCCATTTCGCCATGCGTAGAGCCATTCCGTTCCCATGTGTCGTTTCGATCCCACTCACTGCGCCTCCACGTGCAACCCCTCCCTCCCCCTCCTCCCCCCCCCCTACTCCCCCTCCCCCCCCCTCACCGCTTCCCCCTGCAGGAGTGCGAGTGCCCGCGCTACCGTTCCTTCCGCCACTCACCTGCAGCAGCAAACCAACAGCGTAAGTACTTCTCACCCTAACCCCTGAATCTGACCTTGAAACTTGACTGCCCCTCGTTCCAGTTTATTGTTGCTCTTTGCATGTGCCCGCGTTCTCTCTCTTAAACCAATACCATTGGTTCCCCCGGCTCACATGCCACGGACCCCCCTACTACTCCAGGTAACCCCCTCTGGTGCAGGAACCCCCCCTCAGGTCCAGGTGCACCCCTCAGGTTCAGCCCGCCTTGGGGTCTGTGGCTTGTGGCCATGCCTCCACCAGTGGCCCCTCCCTTCCCCTTCCAGCCTTGACGCTTTGCAGTCCGTGGCTTGTGCTTGCTGCTACGCCATGCCCGCTGACCACTGCCGTGTGTGTGCATTGCAGGTGGTGGGGAGGGGCGTGGGGGTCAAAACCGACATCCCCTCACGCCCCTCCCCAGTGGCCGTGCAGGTCGTGCTCAGGAGGGCTGGGAGGATGGCGCCGGGGAAGGGAGTCACCTGCTGGTGCTTCAGCTGCCGTCTGCTCGCACTCATTCCTCCATCACTCAGAGCTGAGTGGCCGTTCCTCCCTTCCCGTACCTCCCTCACCCTTGCATGCCACATCATGTCTTGTGTTTTTTGTCGTTTCGTTCTTTTTGCTTGTGCTCGCGCCATTTCCTTCAAATCAATGCCACTGGTTGGTTGGCCCGGTTCACATGCCACAGACCCCCTACTTCAGGTAACCCCCTCAGGTGCAGGTACACCCCTCCCTCAGGTACAGCCTCCAGGTGCAGGTTCCCTTGGGGTCTGTCCCTGTGGCTTGTGGCCATGCCTCCACCAGTGGCCCCTCCCTTCCTCTCTTGCAGTCCGTGGCTTGTGCTTGTTGCCATGCCATGCACACTGACCACTGCCGGGTGTGTGCATTGCAGGTGGTGGGGAGGGGCGTGGGGGTCTACTACACCGCCATTTCCCCGCGCCCCTCCCCCTGTGGCCGTGCAGGGACGCACTGGGAAGGCTTGGAGGAGGGGTGCCTGCCATGGGGGAGAGTATCTTTGGGTAGGGGGTCGGCTCTTGAAGGTGAGCCAGTCGTGCTCACTTGCCTGACTCACTCCTGCCAATTCAGTCTGCTTCACTTTGATCACGCCTTTGCCTTGCGGCTCTTGGTGCCTTCATGGCTCTTGGTGCCTTTATGGCTCTTGGTGCCTTTATGGCTGTTGGCGCCTCTAGCCTTCACACTCACCCTCTGGCGCCCCTCCTCTTTCCTATCCCCTCCTTCCCCGCCTCCCTTTCTGCAGGTCACTTGGCAGAAAGTACCGGCTGAAAGCAGCACCTGAGAGGGAGAGTGTTGGGGATGGGCTCGGCTGCTCTAGGTAAGCCCCTTTTCTACTGCTGCTTCTCTGTTTCAGTTGAAGCCCGACTTTCTTTCCCAGCAGCCAGTTTTCATATCGTTCCCACCCCATCCCTTTCCCCCCCTTCCCCACTCCCCCTCCTCCTCCCCCTCCTCCCCCGTTCTCCCTTGCAGCCAGCCGTGCTGTTGGGGTGGGGTGGAGGGGCGGCAGCAGCGCGTGCTGCTCGAAGGGAGACTATCTGGGGTGGCCCTGGCTTGGCTGTTCAAGGTAAGCCCCTTACCTCACTGCTGCGATCCCTGCTCGTTCACTTAGTTGCCTGCTTGTTTTGGCTTGATTGGTGCTCCCTTCCTTCCACTCACTTCTCTCCTCTCCCTTCCAACTCCCCCCCCCCCCCCCCTCCCTCCGGGCAGGTCACTCAGCAGCAACAAGAACTGCAGCCAACCTGTAGCTGAGCAGCGGTGGTGCAGCAGCAGCAGCAGCAGCAGCAGCAATGCAGTTTGCTGCTAGGGGGAGTATCTGGGGTGGGCTCGGCTGTCAAAGGTAAGCTCCTTCTCACTGCTGCAATCCCTGCTTGTTCACTTTCTGGTTTTGGCATAGTTGACGCTCCCTTCCTTCCACTCACTCCTCTCCTCTCCCGCCCTCCTCACTACCCCCTCCCCCCTCCTGGCAGGTCACTTGGCAGCAGCAAGCAAGACTGCAGCAGAGCTTGTAGTAGCTGAGCAGCAGTGTTGCAGCAGCAGCAGCAGCAGCAGCAGCAACGGCAGCAGATACAGGGCAGCAGAGCAGCAGCACGGGCTAGGGTAGTTAGAGGGCGGGCTAGAGTGTTAGTGGTGAGCGAGGTACAGGTATGGTATGGTATGGTATGGTATAGGTACAGGTTTCTGGTATAGTATGATATGTTAACATTCCCCCCTCTTTCTCCTCCCTGTTTCTCTCCAGCAGCTTCCCATCCCTTGGTGCACTGGAGAAAGAAGGGAGCAGAGGAGAAGTGCTCACACCCCCCTCCTCTTTCCCCCCTGCAGCTTCCCACCCCTTGGTGCGCTGGAGCAAGAAGAGAGCAGAGGAGAGTTGCTCACACCCCCCTCCTCTCTTTCTCCCCTGCAGCTTCCCACCCCTTGGTGCACTGGAGCAAGAAGGGAGCAGAGGAGAGCTTCTTACAACCCCCCCCCCCCTTTCTCTCCCCTTCCCTTCCCCCCACCCATCCACCACCCTTCCCCTAGCAGCGTCACACATCCCTTGGCTCTGCATGGCAATGGTAAGTTGAGGTAAGCTGAAGGGGTGAGGGGGGGGATGGAGGTGGGTGGGGCAGGGTGGTGGGAGATGGCACGTGGTGCAGTCTCCTGGGGGCAGCATCTTCAGTACTATAAGCAATGGGGGTTGGGTGAGGCAGTGCAAGTACACGTGTCAAGCACTCTGTGTCCAATCGCAATACCCGCGCGTTAATGCATAATGGGCCCATGGCAGACCATTGCGGCCGAATGGTTCTGTCTCGTGCCAGCTCTTGCCACGCCGGTGAGGGGTAATTGGATCTTGGGCTTACCGTGTGCTTGCCTCCTGCCTCACTTGGCGCCCCAACACAATGGGTACTGCTGGTGCTGCTCCTAAGGGGTCTGTTCTGCGTGCCTCTCTTGCTGCTGGCGGGTGAGTTGAGGGGATGGTGGGTGGGGCGAGATGGGTGTGGTGCTGGTGGTGAGAAGTGGTGGTGCTGGTGGTGAGAAGTGGTGGTGCTGGTGGTGAGAAGTGGTGGTGCTGGTGGTGAGAAGTGGTGGTGCTGGTGGTGAGAAGTGGTGGTGCTGGTGGTGAGAGTGGTGGTGCTGGTGGTGAGAAGTGGTGGTGCTGGTGGTGAGAAGTGGTGGTGCTGGTGGTGAGAAGTGGTGGTGCTGGTGGTGAGAAGTGGTGGTGCTGGTGGTGAGAAGTGGTGGTGCTGGGGTGGGGGGGGGGGGGGGGGGGGTGGGGGGGAAGTGGTGGTGCTGGTGGTGAGAAGTGGTGGTGCTGGTGGTGAGAAGTGGTGGTGCTGGTGGTGAGAAGTGGTGGTGCTGGTGGTGAGAAGTGGTGGTGCTGGTGGTGAGAAGTGGTGGTGCTGGTGGTGAGAAGTGGTGGTGCTGGGTGGTGGTGAGAAGTGGTGGTGCTGGTGGTGAGAAGTGGTGGTGCTGGTGGTGAGAAGTGGTGGTGCTGGTGGTGAGAAGTGGTGGTGCTGGTGGTGAGAAGTGGTGGTGCTGGTGGTGAGAAGTGGTGGTGCTGGTGGTGAGAAGTGGTGGTGCTGGTGGTGAGAAGTGGTGGTGCTGGTGGTGAGAAGTGGTGGTGCTGGTGGTGAGAAGTGGTGGTGCTGGTGGTGAGAAGTGGTGGTGCTGGTGGTGAGAAGTGGTGGTGCTGGTGGTGAGAAGTGGTGGTGCTGGTGGTGAGAAGTGGTGGTGCTGGTGGTGAGAAGTGGTGGTGCTGGTGGTGAGAAGTGGTGGTGCTGGTGGTGAGAAGTGGTGGTGCTGGTGGTGAGAAGTGGTGGTGCTGGTGGTGAGAAGTGGTGGTGCTGGTGGTGAGAAGTGGTGGTGCTGGTGGTGAGAAGTGGTGGTGCTGGTGGTGAGAAGTGGTGGTGCTGGTGGTGAGAAGTGGTGGTGCTGGTGGTGAGAAGTGGTGGTGCTGGTGGTGAGAAGTGGTGGTGCTGGTGGTGAGAAGTGGTGGTGCTGGTGGTGAGAAGTGTGGTGGTGGGAAGTGGTGGTGATGGTGGTGGTGCTGGTGGTGAGAAGTGGTGGTGCTGGTGGTGAGAAGTGGTGGTGCTGGTGGTGAGAAGTGGTGGTGCTGGTGGTGAGAAGTGGTGGTGCTGGTGGTGAGAAGTGGTGGTGCTGGTGGTGAGAAGTGGTGGTGCTGGTGGTGAGAAGTGGTGGTGCTGGTGGTGAGAAGTGGTGGTGCTGGTGGTGAGAAGTGGTGGTGCTGGTGGTGAGAAGTGGTGGTGCTGGTGGTGAGAAGTGGTGGTGCTGGTGGTGAGAAGTGGTGGTGCTGGTGGTGAGAAGTGGTGGTGCTGGTGGTGAGAAGTGGTGGTGCTGGTGGTGAGAAGTGGTGGTGCTGGTGGTGAGAAGTGGTGGTGCTGGTGGTGAGAAGTGGTGGTGCTGGTGGTGAGAAGTGGTGGTGCTGGTGGTGAGAGGTGGTGGTGCTGGTGGTGAGAAGTGGTGGTGCTGGTGGTGAGAAGTGGTGGTGCTGGTGGTGAGAAGTGTTGGTGGTGAGAAGTGTTGGTGGTGGGAAGTGGTGGTGATGGTGGTGGTGCTGGTGGTGAGAAGTGGTGGTGCTGGTGGTGAGAAGTGGTGGTGCTGGTGGTGAGAAGTGGTGGTGCTGGTGGTGAGAAGTGGTGGTGCTGGTGGTGAGAAGTGGTGGTGCTGGTGGTGAGAAGTGGTGGTGCTGGTGGTGAGAAGTGGTGGTGCTGGTGGTGAGAAGTGGTGGTGCTGGTGGTGAGAAGTGGTGGTGCTGGTGGTGAGAAGTGGTGGTGCTGGTGGTGAGAAGTGGTGGTGCTGGTGGTGAGAAGTGGTGGTGCTGGTGGTGAGAAGTGGTGGTGCTGGTGGTGAGAAGTGGTGGTGCTGGTGGTGAGAAGTGGTGGTGCTGGTGGTGAGAGGTGGTGGTGCTGGTGGTGAGAAGTGGTGGTGCTGGTGGTGAGAAGTGGTGGTGCTGGTGGTGAGAAGTGTTGGTGGTGGGAAGTGGTGGTGATGGTGGTGGTGCTGGTGGTGGTGCTGGTGTGAAGTTGTGGTGGTGCTGGTGTGAAGTTGTGGTGGTGGTGGTGATGGTGCTGGTGGTGAGAAGTGTTGGTGGTGGGAAGTGGTGGTGATGGTGGTGGTGCTGGTGGTGTGAAGTGGTGGTAGGGGTGCTGGTGGTGGTGGTGAGAAGTGGTGTTGGTGGTTGAGAAATGGTTGTGGTGGTGGGAAGTGGTGGTGATGGTGCTGGTGGGAAGTTGTGATGGGCAGTGAAGGTGGGGGGTTGTGGTGGTGGTGGGATATGGCAGAGGGGAGGTGAGAACCTCCTGGGTTTGGTGAAACCCAGGCAGGGGGAGGGGATTGGAGTGCCCTTTGTAAGGCAAGCGAGGGGCAGGGGGGGAGAGGGGGGTTGATACCCTCGGGTTAATGCGAGCATGGGGCAGGGGAACCCCCCTCCTTTGCCTTATACTCGCCTTGACCTGGGGGGTTCAACCCCCTCTCTTGTCTCTCGATTGCCTTGCGCTGGTGCTTCAACCTTATTCCCCTGCCTGGGTCTCTGCTTACCTTGGGGGTTCTCACCATCCCTCTGCCACACCCCACCAGCACCACTACCGTCCACCTCCACTGCCTATGACCACTTCCCACCAGCATGATTGCCACAAGCACCATCCCATAGTGGTGGGTGGTGTGCCATGGTGCATCATCCCGTGGTGGTGGTGTGCCATGGTGTATGTATCATGTGTCATCCCATGTATTGGCCATGTGATGGGCGATTAAGCCCAGCACAGCGGGTGGTGGTGGGTGTGGTGGCTCATGATCGTTATCGCATGTTGCCTGCATGCCTCTCAGCCCAACCATGGGTGTGGTGGCTCACGATCGTTACCCATTGCATGTTGTGGGTCGCATGTCTCTTTCAGCTTGCAGCCCAACCATGCATGTGGGCGTGGATGGATGAATCCGCCCCCACATGAAGCTGGTGGGGTGAGCCTGGTGTGGAAGGGATGAGCATGGGTGTGCTGTGCTATGGCACGGCACTCCTGCTTCTTGCAGTAGAACCATCTGCGTGAGCATCGCTAGCGCCAATCCACTTCAATGCCTGGACCAGGATGTGGTCACCCAACAGCATGCAAGATTGTAGTGTAGAGTGTAGAGTAGGGTAGGAATAGGGTGTATTGTAATCTGATGCTTATATACACAAATGTATGCATGTGTGATAATGTAAATGATTTTCTAGGGTAAAACACATCAAGTCAGCATATGTGCTGTTATCTCCTGGGAGGACTCTGTTCAAGCAGAACTGCTGATCGCAGCCACGGAAATGGGGACAACCTTTGGGGTGCGGCTTGCTGAGGTAACATACCGTACGTATTTGTGACGCTACAACGAAATGCCATCCACTAGGGTAGTTTTACAACATCTGGTACATGCTTATCTACATCATAGTCATGCATAATGTGCAGCATTGATGTGGTATGTCACTATCAATTCAGTGAATTTCGCTGCCATCAACCAGGCCTTGCACAGTGATGCCTCCACCCGCCCCTGTGACCAATGCCTGCCCATCGAATGTCGCAGCTCCTCCTGGATAATGAAAAACAGACACACGCAAGGGAAGTGAACACACAGTTCTTATACACACAAGAGGCGTATCAATCAGTGAATGCACATTTATTGCGGAGAACTTCTCGGCTGCATGGACGTGCATGCGTCAGCACAAGGGTGTCGCAGTGGTAGTACCTTGCACTCGGAGCAAGCCTGCAACCTTCTCCCACACTTTGGAGCTGAGCTGCTTCACAGGGGCCGCACTAGCAGGCCGACCCTGGGGTTACAGGGATGAGAGGGAGGGGTAAATGCGATGAGAAGGTAAATGGGATGAGAGGGATATTGAGCAAGGGGAAAGAATTGAAGGCGAGTGGGCTATGATGTGCATCATCATGATGGACTATGTGATGTGGGCATTGAGATGGATGGAGTCGGCGCATGTGGTCGGTTAGAAGGGCATTCATATGGCGTAGGCATGCATGGGATGGGAGTAGGCACAAGCAGGAGGGTAGCAAGACATGGTACCTGGATGCAGACTCTGTCGCCAACTGCTGCATCTTGGGGCGGATCAATGAGCTGTTGGGACGAGACAGGGGTGGGGCGGGGTGGGGTGGGTGGGGATGGGATGAGTTGGTGGTTGAGATTAGGAGGTTGAGTTGGTGGTGGAAAACTGTGGATTCAGATGCATCAACACAAGAGGATCCTTATGCACCACATGTGCTGCGACCGAGACACCGTCACACCGCCCTATCCTCACCTTCACAACCTCCCCTGCCTCTGTCTCGGGGTCAGGGAGTGAGCCAGCAAGCATTATGGCGTCGCTGGACTGCCCTGCCAGCTTGGCGCGCTTCATGTTGCACGCCTCACACACCAGCAGCTTCTATTCCCCTGGGTCTAGTCAAACACATCCTCACCTTCACAATCTCGCCCCCCTCGGCCTCTGCAGCCGGGTGCGAGCCAGCGAGCATCATGGCTTCGCTGGGCTGCCCCGCCAGCTTGGCGGGCTTGAGGTTGCACACGGCGCACACCAGGCGGCCCTGCAGCTCCGCCTGGGGGACGAACTTGCGCAGCCCCGCCACCACCTGGCGCACCTCCCCCGGCGCCACCTCCACCTTGCACACGTACAGCTTCTCCGCCACTGGGTGGACCTCCACCGCCTGCACCCGCGCCACCTGCGCGCGCGGGGGGGAAGGGGGGGGAGGGGGGGAGGTGGGGAGGGGGGAGGAAACGCGGTGAACACGAAATGCCACGAGCACGAGGGGATAAGGGAATGGGATCTGTTTATGAAACGCGTTCAAAACTTAACGGTTTCTGTCGCTCACCCTGATGTCGCACTTGTCGAAATTGTCTACGTTCTCTCCGCCCGACGCTGGGACAGCTGCTGGATGAGGAGGCACAGGCGGAGAGGAAAACGTTGTCAGGAGAATCAGCGGAACGAACCTTGAAAACAGTAATAAAACGAACGGCGAGTAACGATCATGTGCAATGTGAACAAAAATGTCTACGCTATTACTTGCTTCCGCAGATAGTGGATCACCTGGCTTCGCAGGTTTTGCCTTCCCCGACGTTTTTTTCTCGCCATTGCTTCCAGCCACTGCTGCTTTCGGCTGGGCGGCAACGGGAACGTCAGCTGAGGAGGTGGACGAAGCGGTGAGGCGGGAGATGAGGAGATCGATCTGCGCGATCGCGTTGTCCAGAGCCACCAGCGCTGGAGCAGGATCAGCCGCCGCCATTACGCCAACGAAGGGAAGGACGAGGAAGTCTGCGGAATAGTCTAGGGATGTGGAATAACTTAGCATGAACAGAAGGAAGGATGCGGAATGATGTAGCCTCTCGAAAATAATTCGGGTGAGCTGAAAATGTTGGAGATGCATTACATAACCTACCTGATGGGTGTACGCATTACTCTCGTAGGAACAATGTGTTCAATAACGCGGATTTCAAACACCCCCCTGCCACTTCGCGCCTGCAGCACCGAGGAATTCAAAAGTTCCCGCCAACTTTGTGGCAGAGGCATTCAGTGAACCGAACCGCCTGAAACCTGAAACCAATCAGACTTTCGCGGCTCCACCCTCCTTGCACTCTCTGCTGCTCGTGCCCAAACTGCCAACACCAAGGCGAAACAGCTGAGCACCTCTTAGCGAAACAGGCAAAACTGATGACAATCACTAGGCAAAATCGTCGACAATCCCCAGGTCAGGCTGCTGGAAGTCACACAGCTAGTCTTACGTCCTTGGTCACCTTTGGTCGGTAGTCCCCTAGGTCCTAGCTTCCGGCAGCCATTACCTTCTCTGGCTAATTTCACCATAGTTGCGATCACTTTTATGGGGTAGTTGAAACAGTTCAGAATCCGATCTGACATCTCGTCGGACAGTCTACTAGTCTACCACGTATTGCGATCAGCAATGGAGACAGACGACTCGATTCTAGGAAGCGTCAGTCTGAACACGCTCTCAGCTTTTGGTTAGTAAAATTACTTTCTCGACGCTTCTGCTGAATCTAATGAATCATATTTCTAGAAGTCGTCTAACTTAACATGCCTTTCTTACATGCAGATAAAGCGAACCAGAACTTTCTGGGGAAATTTGACTTTGCGATAACCCCGTTGCGACCTCAGAAGCGAGTTTTAAACGCCGCTGCTGGTGGAGGCGACATTCTGAGCAGCGTGCAGCCAGAAATCTCCGGTCCCGGTAATCTGAATCACTCCTCGAGTTTTAACTTCAACCTAGTGGAGAACAATGAGAATAACGTCAAGATTCCAGTTTCAGTTAACGTCAGCGCCACGCCTAAGTTCGGTCCGACACCGACGCCTGCAATGAGAAAGAGCCGACGGAGCGTCGCGCGACAGAGCCTGCCATGGAACAACGCCTTCCTGGAAGACGAAGGTGAGAACCGAACGTTTACGTGAACTCGCATTTCATCCTCTTTCTTTTTCAAAATTCTGAAGGCTCACTTTCAATCTCGCAGGGCTTTTGAATGACGACGAGTTGCACGGCGAATTTATCGACGACGGATTTATCATGGAGCGAATGACCGACTTGGACTGGCCCGAAGACCCCGAGTGTGCCACGTCTAAGAAAGCCTCCCCGAGGTACCCTCCAAGCGGCTCTGAATCCGCTCCTATCGACTCTGAGTCCGTGCCAGCCGACTCTGAAAGCGCTCCAAGCGCAGCTGAGTCCGCTCCAAGCGGCTCAGAATCCGCTCCATGTGGCTCAGAACCCGCTCCATCTGTCTCTGAATTCGCTCCAAGCGGCTCTAGACCTGCTAAGATTCTTGAGCCGAAATCCGCCCTGAAGGATCGTCGCGTCAGCGTTGCCTGGAACGAGGCATTTTTCAACAAGAATGCAGGTTCGTGCTGCCCTAACCACGAGGCTAGTATTATGAAACCGAAATTTTCCCTCAGTATCTAAGTCTCTCAACATCCATACATACCATGGCGATAGCAGAGATTCATGTTTCTGTGTTTCACCTGTGTTCTCTCTGTGTTCTTCCAACGCAGAGTCTCTTCTGGACCTCGATGACGATGATGACGACCTCGCGCCACAGCAGCAACCCCCGCCGGCTCTACCAGATCTCCCTCCGGTCGACCTGTCCTTCCTCCCCATGTATTCCGCCGGCATTTCTTCCAACAACACAACTGCAAAGAAACCCGCCACTCAGTCGTCGCATGATCATGCTCTTGAGCCGAAGGATGCACCGGACGCAGCGTGCAGTGCACCACGTGCTGCTGCCGACCACCAGAGGATGACGAGCGAGCAGAAAATAGCGGCCATCGTAGAGAAGAGCAACATTGTGGAGGCCCCGAAGAGTGCGACAAAGGGAGGGTCAGAGCAGGGCCAGGGAAGTACGCGACTCAAACTGCCCGGCGCAGCACCTCGTAAGTGCCAATATCTCGTTCATTTGTTGGCCTTCCGTTTTGCACAAGTGCTTGCTCCTAAGCATAGCGGATCGCATGCGTATCTGTGCGATTTCAGGGTTTCCATCGTCGAATGCGAGGACGGCGAAGGGAGCAGGGATGTCCCCCGCTCCAGGCGCAAAGACACCCGCGAGTTCGAGCAGGACCCCCAGGTCAGCGGCAACGACGACAGCCCCAAGCACAAGCAGGCAGCACAGTGTGGGCGTGAGCACTTCTAGGCTCGCAAAGCAAGGTGCCGGCGGTGTCGGTTCGTCCAGCCTGTCGAAGCAGGGTGGTAGTACCGTCTCGCACGTGACACGGACTGCAGAGCGGAGCAAGAGGCCGACGGCAGGGTCCGGTAGCTCCTGCCACTCCCGTCAGGCAGCCTCGTCAGGGCTTTCGAGCAAGGGAGGCGGGGGTGCCTCGTCAATACTCCCTGCCTCGTGCGCGGCACGGGTGGATTTGAACAGCCGCTTCGAATCGTCTACAGGCGCGGAGGAATCGGAATCGAACGACGCTGGGCTATCGGTGCGTCCTGAAGAATCGCTCGATGCTGGGTCGACCCGGTCGAGCGCCAGCTTTGAAAACTGTGGGGAGGGGGACGTGATCGGGGCGGTCGACGATTGCGGTACACAGTTGGCAATGGCGATGGCGACGGCTGAGCACGCAGCGAAAGCCGAGAATGCAGCCACAGCCGAGTATGCAGCCACAGCTGAGGATGCAGCGCCCGCGGAATCTCACTCCGGGCCGGTGGACTTAGCTGTTTTGAGCGCTGAGAATCCGACGGTAAATCTTCGCGTGTCCGCGTCGTCGGGGCTGGAGAATGTGGCCAAGTCTGCGGACGCTCCTGTCGGCGCCCTGCGCGGTATGGTGGGTCGCGGATCCAAGGCCATGCGCGCGTGTGCGCCGTCCCCGATGAAGCCTGCCGTCCCGCGGGAGCCGTTGCCGTCGCAGCTGACCGCCGCTCCGCGAGGCTCGTCTGGGAGTGTGAGCAGCGCGCGGAGCTCGAGTGACTCTAAGCAGCAGCAGCTGCACGATTGGCAGCAGCAGCGGCAGCAGCAGAGGCAGGCTCAAGTGGCCAGTTCTCGGCCTTCGGGCAGCGAGACTACAGGAGGAGGGGCCCCCAGGGCACCTGTACGAGCGGGTGTGAACATCGGAGGGAGGCCTGCTCCGGGAGCAGTGGGGGCGAGAGCAGGGGTGCCGAAGTCGACGAGCCACAGCACGAGTCTCGTTCCCGCTGGCCGCTCGCATGGGCATGTGGCTGCGTCGTCTGGCGTGGGGGGATCTGGGCTGGCCATGCTGCGGACGTCGTCTACCCGCTCCACTGGCACCTCTGCTGATGCAGAGAAGCGTGTTGGCGCGGTGGGGATAGGGAGTGGCGGGAATCACGGCGGGAATCGCGTCGCAGCAGCTGCGGGGTTTACGTTCTCCGCCGCTGCGACTTCTGTAACTGCGAAAATGGCCGCTGCTGTTGCTCGCACTGCTCTTTCTGCGAAACCGCGGACGCTGATCAAGGATGTGAAAGCTGCTGCCACGGAGGGAGCGTCGGGAGCCTCTGGTGCTCCACGGGCGAGTACTGCCAGTAGCAGCGGAGGGGGTGGGGGTGGGGGTGGTCTGTTCGGCCTCAAGTTTGCCGCTGGAAAGGCGGATGATGGCGCTGCTGCCAAGAAAGGGGCTCCCGCTGCTACGGCCCGGAGGGTCAGCGGCGTGGGAGCGAGAAAGGCACGGTTTGGGTTTGGCCTTGGCGGAAAGGCCGCACCGGCTTCCAAGGAGAAAGAGGAGGAGGCGAAGGTCGCTCGCAGCAGTCAGGTCGCAGCAGCAGGCATGGGGCAAGGGGGAGCGAAGCGGGTGGCAGCAGACAGCAAAGTGGCGAGCGGGAAGCAGATGGTGGCGAGCAAGGGCAGTGCTCTTGCCAAGGAAAAGGTGGCGCCTGCGTCCACGTCCCCTCTTGCTGCGGCGCTGAGAGTGGCCGCCAACCACTCGAAGCTGCTGGGACTCAGCTCCAAAATTCCGGTGCCCAAAGCTACTGGCCGGTTTGGGTTTGGCGGGAGTGGTGCTTCAGGGGCGAAGGCTGGAGTCGGTAAGCTGAGTGAGAAGCCGGCAGGGAAGGCGGCGCAAGGTTCTGGTCCGGGTGCTAAGATGGAGGCGACGCAGGGGCGAGCTGGTCCGCACAAGACGCAGCAGGCCCACGCAGGACCTTCCCAGGCCAAAGCCGAGGTGGGTGTGAATGTGTTGACCCCCTTTCCCAGGCTAACATGACTGGAGGAGTCGGTAGTTAGCTTCGTTTCCTTCCCCCCCCTCACACTGACTAGTGTCTTGCTGTGTGTCACAGGCTGTCACCCCTCGGGCGAGTCGAGAGAGCGACCCATCACAGAAGAGAAACACCCCTATCAGCTCGCGCACGAGCAGCAGCTCGCAGAAGCCCTCCCCGCGGGTGGAGAAGAAGGCGGGCAGTGGCAGCCCGTGGATCCCGGGAGGCGTGGCGCAACCCTCCGCCGTTGCCACGGCAGACGCTGCGTTCTCGGCCATGTCCACCCCTAGGAGCAGCGACGCCGGGCAGCAGCTCAGCAGGGAGAGGGAGGGGCAGCACCAGGGGCAGCACCAGGCCGACAAGGACGGACAGGCGGAGCAGCAGGGGCAGGATGCGCAGCAGGGGGCGGTGGTGATGGCTGCGTTTGCAATGCTGGATATGCATGAAGGGCGTGAGCGTGAGGAGAAGGCAGGCAGTGATGTGAACGCTGGTGGCAAGGTGGTGAGTGGGTTTGGCGGGGTGCCCAGCGGTGGAGAGGGTGAGGAGCATGGGGCGGATGAGGGGCACAAGACGCCTGGGACCAAGAGTGGGGGCGAGTGCGAGAAGGGAAGGAAGGGACTGTCGTTCAAGGCGATTGGGGCATTCGTTGCTGGAGGGAGCCCTTGGAAGAAATCAGCGAGGAAGGTGGCAGCAGAGAGGGAGAGAGAGGAGAAGGCGAACTGCTTGAGGGAAGAGGAGAAGGAGGCGATGAAGGAGAAGGAGAGTGACGCGTCAGTGCTGTGCACTCCACAGAAGTCGCCAGGGAAGGCTGGAGGGGTGGATGAGGGCGAGAGGGGTGCGTGGGCGAGCACTGAGAAGGTGGGGGAGTGGGTGGGCGAGGTGCTGGAGACAGCAGGGACGCCAGACGGCTGTGAGCAAGATGGACGCAAGACGGCTGTGGAAAGAAGGAGAACCCCACCCAGCAACTCAGAGCAGAAAGCAGGGGCAGTGGATACAACAGTGGTGGTGGCTGCTCCAGGGGCGATGGCTGCTCCAGGGGCGATGTCTGCTCCAGGGGCAATGGCTGCTTCAGTGGGGACGGGTACTCCAGTGGCGATGGGCACTCCAGTGGCAGTGGCAGCGTCAGGGGGGCAGCCGGGCAGCAAGGGAGGAGGCGACAGCAAGCAGCGGCGCACCTCGCCTCTGCCTCGGTTCCTTGGATCCCCCATCGCAAGCTTGTTCAAGGTATAGGCACCCTTGACACTCCAATGCTCCTTGCTGGAAGGTTCGTGTTGTTCGCTAGCTGTCCCGTCCGCATGATTCTCACCATTTGAATGCATTGCGGGTAAGGCGTCCTGACGCTTCTCTACCTGTCATTTCTCGTGCAGAGCCCCAAGCGATCCAGCAAGAAAGCACAGGAAGCCCATGCGACGGAGAGCAAGACGCCAGAGACTGCAGCAAAGGGCCGCTCATCATCATCAGCAGAGCAGCAGCAGCAGCAGGAGGAGGAGGAGCAGGAAAGCTACCAAGAGGCAGTACCAACTCCAGCGGCTGAAAGCCCCACTCTTCCCAGGAGGAGCCTCTTCAAAGCAAGCCTTCCCAAGGCCGACCTTTTCAAGGTGGACCTTCCAAGGGCAGAGCTATCCCAGCCAGAGTTCCCCAAGGCGGCCCTCTTCAGCAGCAGCGAGCAGTCTGGAGCGACCTCGTCCTCTGAAGTGGGCATGTACACTGCGCCCGCCTCGCCTGAGGAGGGGGAGGGGGAGGGCGAGAGTAGGAGTATTCTCGCCCAGAAGGCGGAGGGTGTGGGCCAGCGGTCCATTGGCGCGTCTGGCAGGGGCATGTTCACTGCGCCTGCTTCCCCTGAGGCAGAGGAGAGGGGGGGGGAGGAGAGGGTGGCGGGAGCAGGGGAGGTGACTCCTCCTGGGAGTGGGGAGAAGCAGGTGGTCGGGGCAGAGGGGGCGAAGGCGGAGGCCCTGGACCCGTTTATGCGGAAGGTGCTTGAGGCAGAGGCGCTGGGAGTGGTGAGTGTGCGGTGCTGCTGCTGCTGCTGCTGCTGCGTGCGTTGCCTGCGTCAGAGTCTCCTCAAATGCTGACTGCATGATTGCTGGTGAATGCATTCTGTGAATGCATACAAGTTTTCCGCCCATCCTGTTTTCTTCCCTCGTGGATCTCACTGCCTTCGATTGTGTTCTGTGGATGTGCTTTGCTCTTCAGGTTGCTCTTGAGAAGAAAGGAGGAAGGGTGAGGAATTCGCCATTAATGACCAAGGAGCCGTCACCACCCAAGAACCCCTGGTCACCGGTGGGTCTCTAGTCGTCACCACCCAAGAACCCCTGGCCACCAGTTAGTCCCTCGGCAAATGCTATTTCTGGCTCTCTCGCTTCTCTGTCTCTCTGTTATCAGCTCTCTGTTTCCAATCCTCGCCACTTTATCGTTCTCTTGTAACTTATTTCTTGCTCTTCCTCTCTCATTCATCCTCTGTCCTCTCAGGTGCGCAAGGCTGAGGTGGGTCCCTGCGACTGCACCAAGAGGTCCCTTTGCTGTTTCACGTGACAGCTTCTCCCTCGCCCGCTTGCCTCTCTTTTCTCATGACGTTCCTCCTCATCCCCTCACCTATCTCCGTACCCTCAGGTGCGCAAGGCTGAGGTGGGTCCCTATGACTGCACCAAGAGGTCCCTTGCTGCCTCGCTGGACAGCTTCTCCCTCCCTGCAAGCAGCGGCGGCATTGGGAGCTTCTCGTCTAGGGGCAATGGCGGCAGTGGTAGCAGTGCTGCGTTTCACAGTACGGGGCATGCTGGCATGCGCATGTCTTATGGGCAGTAGGAAACTTTCATGGCCATAGAGTAAGCAGGTTAGTACAGTAAGAAGCATGGGTATTTAGTGATGTGGAGATGCATGCTATAGGACTACCTTAGATCATGGCAAGATGACCATGGGTCATGATGAGACACCTTGTCTCTCGTCCTACAGTAGTTGGTCTCTTTTGCTAGCTCCCTGGAACTTTTTGGCTTTGGTGCACAAGCTTTGGTTTCTTTCACTGCAACATCATTGACGCTCAATACTGCAACCTGTCTTGTCTTGAGTACTGAATGCTTATACTCAATGCTTCGGCAGAAAGAGTGTGCATCACGGCACATGGAATGCAGTGGGCACAAAAGAAGTTGAATATAAGCCAGTGCATACACCAGTGTTGTCACTGCAGATCTATAAGCGCAGTAGCAGTTTGTGTCTTAGTGAGTCTAGCATCGGTAGTGAGCGAGCAAGGAACCTGTAATCCGCTACTCAGCCCGCACATGTTACCGTAACTCGCCTAGTTAGTCATCCGCCTCCTCTGCCTGCACACACCAATGCCAGCAGGGAAGAGACACGAGTCAAGTCAGCATGCCATTGTTTGCTTGCTGCTGCGTGTGCCTTACCAGCATCATGCCATACCACTCATCATTGGCAACATTGCCATCATTGCCACCATAAAACACACCCATCAATCTTACAACGTCGTACCTCATCATCGTCATCTCCTTCCTCCCCTTCCTCGCCCTCCTCTCCCTCCTCCCCCTCGTCCCCGCTATATTCGAACGCATACTCCGGCTCATCATCCTCCTCCCCCTCCTCCACCTCCTCTCGCGGCCTCACTCCCTCCTGTGGGTGAGCGGTAAGGGTGTGCACAGAAGGGGGAACGGATACTGGTATGGGGTGGTCTGGTTTCACATTTTCCGAAGGCAGGTGATTGAGTGGGTGAGCAAGAGAAGAGACGTGGGGTAAGAGGGGGAAGGAAGGAGCCACAGCAAGCTTCACACCTTGCGGGGAGTCTATTTTTGAGGCGCCTAAAGAACTCAGACCTTGTGGTAGTATTTCAATGAGTTTTGTGAAGACTCGAAAGCAAACTTCTCACCTTGTGGTAGTATTTCAATGAGTTTTGTGAAGACTCGAAAGCAAACTTCTCACCTTGTGGTAGTATTTCAATGAGTTTTGTGAAGACTCGAAAGCAAACTTCTCACCTTGTGGTAGTATTTCAATGAGTTTTGTGAAGACTCGAAAGCAAACTTCTCACCTTGTGGTAGTATTTCAATGAGTTTTGTGAAGACTCGAAAGCAAACTTCTCACCTTGTGGTAGTATTTCAATGAGTTTTGTGAAGACTCGAAAGCAAACTTCTCACCTTGTGGTAGTATTTCAATGAGTTTTGTGAAGACTCGAAAGCAAACTTCTCACCTTGTGGTAGTATTTCAATGAGTTTTGTGAAGACTCGAAAGCAAACTTCTCACCTTGTGGTAGTATTTCAATGAGTTTTGTGAAGACTCGAAAGCAAACTTCTCACCTTGTGGTAGTATTTCAATGAGTTTTGTGAAGACTCGAAAGCAAACTTCTCACCTTGTGGTAGTATTTCAATGAGTTTTGTGAAGACTCGAAAGCAAACTTCTCACCTTGTGGTAGTATTTCAATGAGTTTTGTGAAGACTCGAAAGCAAACTTCTCACCTTGTGGTAGTATTTCAATGAGTTTTGTGAAGACTCGAAAGCAAACTTCTCACCTTGTGGTAGTATTTCAATGAGTTTTGTGAAGACTCGAAAGCAAACTTCTCACCTTGTGGTAGTATTTCAATGAGTTTTGTGAAGACTCGAAAGCAAACTTCTCACCTTGTGGTAGTATTTCAATGAGTTTTGTGAAGACTCGAAAGCAAACTTCTCACCTTGTGGTAGTATTTCAATGAGTTTTGTGAAGACTCGAAAGCAAACTTCTCACCTTGTGGTAGTATTTCAATGAGTTTTGTGAAGACTCGAAAGCAAACTTCTCACCTTGTGGTAGTATTTCAATGAGTTTTGTGAAGACTCGAAAGCAAACTTCTCACCTTGTGGTAGTATTTCAATGAGTTTTGTGAAGACTCGAAAGCAAACTTCTCACCTTGTGGTAGTATTTCAATGAGTTTTGTGAAGACTCGAAAGCAAACTTCTCACCTTGTGGTAGTATTTCAATGAGTTTTGTGAAGACTCGAAAGCAAACTTCTCACCTTGTGGTAGTATTTCAACGGGTTTTGGAATATCTCCTCCCGAATAGCATTTCCAATCTGAATCACAGAGACAAAAAAGGCGGCAGCGGCAGAGCGGACAGAAAGAATGTTCCGGTCGAATAAGCAGTGGCTGGAATCGGGTCATTGTGTAACCCCCCCATCCCAACCCCCTTTCTCTTCCCACTCCCCCTCTCACATCATCGGCAGTGACAAAAATGGGGTCATCACACACCCCTCAATGGAAATCCCCTTTCTCCTTCCACACCTCTCTCCCCCCCCGCTTTCCACTCCCGCTTTCACATAATCCGCAGTGGCAGACACGGGGTCATCACCGACCCGTCAATTTAAAACCCCGCTCCCCTTCTACACTTCTATTTTTTCCCTCTCTCCCCACCCCACCTCCCCTCACATCTTCAGCAGTGACCGGAACAGGGTCATTAACCCCCCCTCCTGTCTCCCCTCCCACGCTCTCCCTCCCCCGCTATCTCTCCCCCCCTCTCTCGCCGTCTCTCCCCCCCCTTCTCTCACATCATCGGCAGTGACCGGGATGGGGTCATCGTCTCCAAACGCAAGCCAGCTGAACAAACTGCACGCACATGGAGGGTTGGAGGGGGGGGAGAAGAGGGGTTATTATGGGTGAAGGTAAAGCGGGGAAGGGGACACAAGGCAGAGGAAGGGAGAAGAAAGCTTGTTGGTGGCTGAAAGAACTACTGCCTAAAACACCAACAAGCTGCCAAATTGCCCAACAGGCTGTTAAGACACCTGACAATCTGCCAAATCACCTGACGAGCTGCTCCTTGCCCTCCTCATCCTCCTCCTCCTCATCCTCCACATACGCCTTGATGCCTGCCGTGTAGTCCTGGGAGCAGGGAGCAGCACGAAACAGCATGGTGGGCATGGGGCATGGGGCATGGGGCATGGGGCATGGGCATGGGGCATGGGGCATGGGGCATGGGCATGGGGCATGGGGCATGGGGCATGGGCATGGGGCATGGGGCATGGGGCATGGGGCATGGGGCATGGGGCATGGGCATGGGGCATGGGGCATGGGGCATGGGGCATGGGCATGGGGCATGGGACATGGGGCATGGGCATGGGCATGGGGCATGGGGCATGGGGCATGGGGCATGGGCATGGGGCATGGGGCATGTGGCATGGGCATGGGGCATGGGTATGGGGCATGGGGCATGGGACATGGGGCATGGGCGTGGGACGGGTAACCACTACCCTACCCCCGCACCTCTCATCGTGTCAACCCCTTCTTCCTATAACCATTACCCTACCCCGTCCCCTCTCGCCCCTGCTCTCGCCCCTGCTCTCGCCCCTGCTCTCGCCCCTGCTCTCTCCCCTGCTCTCGCCCCTGCTCTCGCCCCTGCTCTCTCCCCTGCTCTCGCCCCTGCTCTCGTCACCTGCCCCTCCTTCCAGTCAATCCTCGCGCTCTTCCTTCCGGTGGCGATCAGAGTAAGACTCAAGACTCGCACTGCATTGCCAGCGAACAAATAAGAGCCTCCACCCACCAAACCCCTACCCCAACCCCAACCCCAACGTCCTCCCCCCCCCCTCACCTGCCCCTCCTTCCAGGTGATCCGCGTGCCCGTGACTCTTGAGTCGACTCAAAACCCCCCCCACCCTCACCTGCCCCTCCTCCCCCCCGCCCTCACCTGCCCCTCCTTCCAGGCGATCCGCGTGCCCGTGACTCTGAGCGTGAGGTCGTCCTGCATCACCAGCGACCGCGAGAGCGACTCGTTGCTGAAGAAGGGGTTCGGGGCGAAGGTCTGCCGGGTGCCCCGTGAGGGGAAGGGGGGGATGAGATGGGGAGGGGGAGGAAGAAGGCGGTAGGGGGGAAGGGGGGGGGAGGGGGGGATGAGATAATGTGTTGCATGAGCATGAGTTGAGCAGCTCTGCGAAAGAGTCATTGGTGGCAAAGGCGGTTGACTTGAAGCAACATATCACCACAGTAAGTAACCACGTCTCACCAAAGTAACCACGTCTCACCAAAGTAACCACGTCTCACCAAAGTAACCACGTCTCACCATAGTAACCACGTCTCACCATGATAATGGTATAGCCCGGGTCGCCCTCCTAATTCTCCTCCATGTCTAGCGAGGTGAGGTGCTCCAACACCTTCACGTCCTGCTCTATGTAGTAACCTCATGCCACATTGTGGTAACCACGTCTCACCATGATGATGGTATAACCCGGATCGCCCTCCTTATTCTCCTCCACGTCTAGCGAGGTGAGGTGCTCCAGCACCTTCACGTCCTGCTCCACCGTGCAGTGGCGGATCGACCCGCAGTTGCAAAGCTGCACAGGGGGGAGAACACCGGGGTGCAGGGGGGTGCAGAGGGGGTGTAGTTGGGTGCAGGGGGGTTCAGATAAGTGAGATGCTCCAGCACCTTCACGTCCTGCGCCACCGTGCAGTGGTGGATCGGCCCGCAGTTGCACGGCTGTTGAAGGGGGCAAACGGCAAGAGGGACGAGGAAGGGCGCCGTGGAAGGAGGGGGTCAGTTCTTTGAGGCGCCTCAAGAATAGGCGCCCCAAGTCAGTCGAATCCTGCTCTGCTGTGCACAGGCCAGTCGACTTGCAGTTAGAGCCGCACAGCACAGGGGGATGGACAGAGGGGGAACGGGGCGGGGAGGCGCCTCAAAAATAGACTCCTCACGGGGCGGGGAGGAGGGTGGGACGAGAGAAGCGGAGGAAGAAGAGGGGGAGGAGACGGGAAAGACGATCTCCTTCACGTGCTGCTCCACTGCGCTCTGCACTGTACCGAGATGGTAGGGGGTGGGAGGGAGGAGGAAAGGGGAATAGGGGCAGAGAGGGGCAGAGAGGGGGAGAGAGGGGGAGAGAGGGCGAATGGAGAGAGGGATGGGAATGGCGGAGGAGAGGCTCGGGGAAGAGGGGGAGAGGGGACGGGGGACGGGGGATGGGGGGTGGGGGATGGGGGATGGGGGAGAGAGAGCATACGACACCATTTCGCTGCCACTACGAAACGGGGTAGAGAAGCGCGCCGAGTCGCGAGTGCGTACCACGTTTTGCCAGAAGCGCGGGATCTTAGCGAGGACCTCCTTGCGCCTGTCGTACAGCGGCCGCCGACGTTGTGACACAAACGAGCGCTCCACCTCAAGCACCTCCTCGCTCGCCTTGTCCGCCACCTGGCGTACGCGATACAAGACGAAAGTGAGAAAAGGCTGATGGACGGCGAAGTATGAGGATAGGCGTGAAAATAATAAGACATAACGGATCTCGAGGGTGATTATGACGGGTGCCTGCAAAGGCTGATAACGGGTACAGGGTATAAGAGGTTCAGGGTTCGTTAGGGATCCGACTAGGCGTGAAGCAGAAAGCGAACGCCAGAAGCCCCCCTACACACCAACACCATCATCCCGAACCCTCATATCCGCAAGAACCGAGCCGGACCTCTTCGAACTCCACAGTGCACAGTGCACAGTGCACAGTGCACGAGGAGTTCAATGCGCACTGTGCGTTTTTTTTCCACGAAATCCGCTTAGCAAGCAAGCTTCACTCTCTTTTGCCAAGCAATCCAGCCGCTGCCACGTAACGACGTGACATCTAAATAGAGCTTCCTCGCAAGAGCCTGCCTGACCTCCTCGAGCTCCTCGTGCACTTTGCGCATCTTCTCCACGAAATCCGCCAGCTGCTCCTCCCCCATCGCCGCCGCCGCTTGTCCCCTCCCGCCCGCCTCGCCCGCGCGCGGCCGCTTCGACTTCTCCATTCTAGAGCTACGCGTTACAGTCACTGCAAGCTAAACTCGTCCTAGTAGAAAATAAAATGCGTGCGTGTAGCGAGCAGTGCTGGATCGACGGAAGACGCTGGCCAGGGAAGATTCTGGCACGGGACTTGCCAGAATGGAGTCACAGAATGCCGTTCCTCAACATAGAGCCGAGCGATAAAGCATAGGAAGAAACGACTCGCATCATGCAGCATATCGCCTTAAATATACCAATACGGGGGAATATACCTCCACCCTAAGGGCGCTTCCAAATTGACAGCTTTTTCGTTTTTGGTTTCCGGTGCTGCTCGGCGTGCTGCAGCTTGTTGTAAGTTCGGTACTTTGCAGCTATTTCAAGTACGGTGCAAATGTAAAAGAATCCACTTAGGAAGCGCCATAAGTACATCAATAGCTGCGAAGGTATTCTACACAATTGATCTCCTTAGGTGCTGAAATCGTTAGCGATTCCACAGTTGCAACCTCCATGCCCTCATGTGGCAATTGGGAAGGGTCGAATAACTGTAGCGAAGCATACTGGTTTAGAAACAATAGCATGTATTTGTGTACGTTGTCCATTGTAAGCTCGTTTTGCACGAAATTTGACGATGCAGCTGCAACTCTCATTGCCTCGTCGGGGTGCCCGTTTCCCCAGTCGACAGCCCTCTGCATGCAAGGAATAGCCAGATGTAAGGGACGAAGTGAATGCGAAAATACGGCTGCACATTGGGCATACCTTGAGGTTTGCACACATGGGTCCTTCACTCGGAAGGGGTACTTCAATAAAGTGTGTGCCGTTACGCAGTCCTCTTGAAACGAAATCAAAGTATGCTGGCTTGACGAAGATGGGTGTAGATGCACACGCCAGGATGTATTTGAGGCTGCACGACCATGCACTCCCCTCCACATATATCTTGTACCTGCAACGCTCACACCATACATGAAGTGAGAAGAGGCTCTGGTAAAAAGAGAAGATAGCACAATCAAAGAGGAGGGTGGAGCCAAGAGAGAGGGGAGTTGAGCCAAGAGAGAGGGGAGTTGAGCCGAGAGAGAGGGGAGTTGAGCCGAGAGAGAGGGGAGTTGAGCCGAGAGAGAGGGGAGTTGAGCCGAGAGAGAGGGGATTTGAGTTGAGAGAGAGGGGAGTTGAGCCGAGAGAGAGGGGAGTTGAGCCGAGAGAGAGGGGAGTTGAGCGGAGAGAGAGGGGAGTTGAGCTGAGAGAGAGGGGAGTTGAGCCGAGAGAGAGGGGAGTTGAGCCGAGAGAGAGGGGAGCTGAACCAAGAGAGAGGGGAGTTGAGCCAAGAGAGAGGGGAGTTGAACCAATAGAGAGGGGAGTTGAGCCAATAGGGATGGGTTTGAACCAGAAGAATTACCACCAGGCTTGGCCATGTGCGCTAGATGAAGCACTTATTGACCAAACCGTACAATCCAGCCCATCCAAAAGCTACACATCCATGCTTCGCCTCACCTATGCTTGCACTGGTTCTCCAGTCGTGTGCTCTCCTCTGAAATCTCATGCACCCAATTCGTGTCCCATGCATCAACTCCCCAATCATTCCCTGTCTCTTTCACCTCTTTGCTATCGCCAACCCCTTCCCCTCTCCTTTGACTGCTACAATCGACCACAGGCTTCCTCAGGCCTGGTGCGACCCAGGTGGTGCCCTTCCAATGGGCGCGTGGAATTCTGTCTCTCCAGGGTATCGAACCCGTGCCCTCTCTGATCAGGTTTCTCGTTGTGTCCCACTCCCTGATACGCACCTCAGGCCTGTAATGGCAAATAGAAGGATAACGAGGCGCTTGATAATAGAAAGGACGCGCACAGGATGCAGATCTGCGGCTGCTAAATAACGTACAGCTCCCAGCACACTCACCAGCCCCAGAAGGACCAATCAGGCCATACCACGTCCATGTGCCGGGGCGTGCTACAGTACTTGAGCAGCAGCGGAGGATGGGTGGCGCCAGCATGGACAGCTCTCTCAACCAGCGGCCAATCATGGCATTCAAACATCAAATCCACGTCAGGCACACACCATGACACGTCGCCTGTTAAATCTGTTCCCCTAACACGGTATTCTGCTGCTGTGCTGCTACTGTTTATAGCAGCAGCGGCACGAGGAGCAGCAGCACGGCAGGGCGGGTAACGACGCAGGAGCTGGAGGATTCCCCAGAGCGTGAAGAGCGCTCGGGTTTGATAGCATTCCTGAGAGAGAAAGAGAGGAGAAGTTAGAGTCTAGGGCAAGGCGAAGGGAGGGAAGAAATGAAGAAATGAAGAAAAGAAGAAAAGAAGAAATGAAGAAATGAAGAAAAGAAGAAATGAAGTAATGAGGTATGCATCGTCACTCTTAATGGCGATTTAGGAGCTGATTTGTCTCACTGCATAGTGTTCCACGAAGAGTTCTCCTTTCACTATAAGCACACGGAACGATGCTCCTATGGCGCGTGCATTCGCGAGCGCCTCCTGCGTGATGCCGCCTCTCTCCCGCCATGGCCGGAGGTCCTCCTCAATGAATCGGAAATACTCGGGAAAATTTTCCTCCTGATTGTCCTGTGGCTTCCTGTAAAAACTTCCACCACCATTGGTGCCTTCCAGCAACAATGAGAATGAACCATTAATTTCAATTGCGTCGGGGCTTGGTGGCCGCTGAGACCTGCACGGAGCGAGATAAGCTGAATCAGGTGTTCGCCAAACAACAGTAGCCACCTTCAACCGAACCTCGGTAGATGACGTCTGGGAGTTGGCGATACGCTAAGGATGAAAATTGCTTGAAGCGGACAAAGAGTTAGAGGCACTTCAAGCGGCACCTGGAAGTAGAGAGGGTGTTGTCGAGGAGGAGCCACTGGAGGAAAAGAACCTGCGAACGAGAAATGCATGTACCAAGAACCTGAACTCAGTAAACGAAGGTTTCAGCAAGCACGCCTTGCCAGCAGCAGTCGTTTGATACTGCGGAATCTCACCGCGAAGAAGCAAGCAACCAAGACCGGAATCAGTGGAAACTTCATTTCGGCGTGATCGCGGCGCAGCGATCGGGACGGAGGAGCAACAGCTCACTACTGATGCTTGAGGCCTTTTCTCTAACCTGACTGACGCTCAGGATATATCTCGCGACAGCGGCCACTGCGGGCCAAGGCTGACAGAATCAAGCTAGCCAGAGGAGAAGAGAGGACACCCGTTCCTCGACGTCATGCTAGCTGCTGGCTTGTTGCTAGCAAGACACGAATCCGTGGAGTGCTTCGCCGAGCATTGGAAACACCGAATGGAGGAATGTGGTGAATTGTGGTTCCAACTGGTGTGGTGCGGTGGCTCCAATCCTTGTTGGTTCTGAGAGCCAGTGTGGAAATTCGGGTTGTGGCTGGTGGAGGTTTCCCTGCTCCCCTGCAGCGAGAGGGCATGTCAAAAGAGTTCATCACAGTACGGTTCATTTTAGATATAGAGCGTTCGGGTAAGTTCCTTAGGGAAACCGAACTCATCTGGCGACGGTTCGTTGGTGAGTGAGGAAAGTCCGATTCCCTGCTCAGGGAGCTGGTTGATCCTGTCAGCTGCTCTTCTACCTAGTTCATGGTCTTCCAAGTCCCGAGCACGCAGTTGTGCTTGACAGAATCTTCTGACGTGCATCAGCGCACTCGGTTTTCCCGATTTCGCAAAAAGGCCCATTATTCGTCTAGACACACGCCGTGGACTGACGCGCTCCCCGTAGACGGCGGAATCAGGAAGCCATGGCCACTTCCCTGGTTACTATCCGAGATCCAGCGTCCCTCACCACTTCACCCGTCTTGCTTTCACACCCTCGATCTCTCAGCGGGACGGATCGATCGGCAAGATCATACCTGATCCAACGCGATCTAGAGCGTCCTTCGCGACAAGTCAGGCGCCTGACAGTCTCCATTTCTGCTGGAAGGCCTCTTGAGTTTCAGCCTTCAATCCAGAGCCAGCAGGTTCCATTCACTCCCCCTGTCGCCGCCTGTCAACAAACGTCTGACCTAAGCTTCGAAAAGGAATCGGATAATTCTGATAAGTCTAATGCAGCGATTGGCACTAGCACTCACTGCCCTTATCCGTTCGCCCGCATCGCAGCCGTGGCTCTCGCAGCCGCGTCGTGCTCGCTGCTGCTCGCCTTGAGTCCCGCCGTGGCTGCTGGCGGGAATGACGGGCTGCTGGACATTCAGACGCTGAGGCCGCGACAGCAAGAGGTGAGAGATTTGGCCGCAAAGGGTCTAAGGCGACCATTTGTCTCACCGTTTCTATTTCACCAGTCACAAATTTTCCTGTATTTCCTGACAATATTGGCTTTCTTGCCCGTTCCATAAAACAGCAAATCAACGAGTCGTACGTCAAGAGGGATGGCCAGGATCTGTCCGTGTCTGATCTGCAAGGCGCCACCTTCATGGAAGCCTCCCTTCGTGGAACCGACCTGCATGGGTCCGACCTTCGAGGAGCCATGTTCACCAAGGTATGCCGCGTGGGATCATGCCGACTGAGTTTCCTGAGGCTCCTGGGCTGCCTATAGGATTATTTTCTTCTCATGAGAGTCACGTTGTTCAAGTACCTACCGTTTAGGTTTCTCTTTGTAAAATTCTGTTTTGCCCTCTCCAGGCCGTGTTGTACAAGGCGAATCTATCAGGAGCTGACTTAACAGATGCCTTGATTGACAGAGCGGTGCTGAACGGGGCAGACCTGCGCAATGCTGTACTGCAAGGGGCGTGGATGGCTCTCACTGACCTTGGAGGGGCTGATATCACAGGGGCTGACTTCACCGATGCCATCATCGACAAGTATCAAGTAAGGATGGGTATCGGTCATTTGGCTCGTAGAGATTCTGCCATGGGTAAGAGTCCACCAATTCCTTTCCTCTTGCTCCTGATCCCTTCAATCTGTGTCACTATTGCAGTTGAAGCAACTGTGCCAAAGGGCGTCTGGAGTTAATCCATTAACGGGGGTCGACACTGCCGAGAGTTTGCGATGTTCATCTACAAGGTTTTATTCTGGCTCTGGGAGCACAAGATGACAAGAAATGCTTTGATCTAGCCCTTAGACTAAATAGAGCCTGTTGTGTCAATTATTATTCTTGATAAGAACTGCAGTGTAGTCCTGACCAGAGCTGTTACAAAAATCGCCGTCCAGCCAACCACTGTTCAGGCAAGCGTGACCTTCTGCTCCCTGAAAGGCCTGCCTGATCCAGACCAACCACGCTGGACGGTCCACGTTGGTGCAGCCCTTGATAATTGCTCGGCCCCCTGACCGTCAATTCAGTTTCTCGCCAGAGTGACCCTACCGAGTACTGACTATCACGCAGAACTAAAGCGTTTAATGCCATTTCTATGTCTGATTTCTTAGGTCCCACTAGAATCCTTGCACATAAATGGTGCTGGTAGTTAGGACTAGTACCGCCGTCGTGACTGACGAACGGTGATTAGGTAACTAGTGCTGTAGCGTGGCTGACAAACCTACAGTCGTTCCTGACTAGCAATCTAGTGTCGTAGGGTTAGAACCATTGAGGAACTTATCGCGTACCTCGCACGCGTCGCATGTCCCGCATCGACTCGTATCGCGCGGCACATTCCGCATTCCGTATTAATTCGGCTGATAAATTTCAGACTCGTCTGCGGAAGTTGTTCAGAACAGGAGATACGGGCTCGACGCACGCGGCGTGACAGATATGCTCGAGTGGTAGATGTGACATGGATGCGGTTTAGGTATGACATGGCAACAGAAGGGCATCCGACTGTAGATATGAGAGCGGGTCCTTAGTGCATGGATGTTCATAATACAGATCCTTCAGCAGTCCATGTTTAAAAGACATACCTTTCTTCCCTGATTACTGACTTCTCTAGCTAGCAAGACCTTGCCACGTCAGTCATGGAGGGCGCGCCAGGCCCGCCACGTGGCAGCGGAGCGAATGCGGAGTTCTACCTGCCAAATTACCGACTAGGGAAGACACTGGGCGTGGGGTCGTTCGGCAAAGTGAAGGTAGCGGAGCACGTACTAACGGGGCATAAAGTGGCGATCAAGATCCTGAATCGGCGGAAGATTAGATCCATGGACATGGAGGAGAAAGGTAGGGTGGCTTTTATCTCCCAGCTTGGAACCCTAGAACCGGGGATTTTTTAGCAGACCTAAAAGTTTTAGAAATCGCATATCCTGTATAGTGCTCCATCGTATGATGTTTTTTGAGGAGTCCCGTTAGGAGATCACCTGCATTTGCCGACTCTTCCGTTTCCGCTTAGGCTTCGCGATTAAAGCTTGAACTCCCACTGGTCCTAAATTCAAGGGGACCCTCTTTTTTTTCCTCATCGTCTCCTCCCCACAGGCATTCTCGCCAGGCTGTCCGTAGAGAGATTAAGATTCTACAGTTGTTCATGCATGCGCGCATCATCCGCCTGTGCGAAGTGATAAGATGCCCCATGACATCAAATCTCCTCAACCCCACTCCACCCGAGTCCGCAGGGAGATCAGATCCTGCGGCTGTTCATGCATCCGCACATCATCCGCCTTTACGAGGTGATCGAGACGCCTTCTAACTGCGACTCTCCCCTCCCTCTCACCCCCTCAACCCCGCGCCACTTGCTCCAGTCCGGAGGGAGATCAAGATCCTGCGGCTGTTCATGCATCCGCACATCATCCGCCTTTACGAGGTGATCGAGACGCCCGCGGACATATTCGTGGTGATGGAGTACGTCAAGGCGGGCGAGCTGTTCGACTACATCGTCGAGAAGGGCAGGCTCCTTGAGGATGAAGCGCGCCGATTCTTCCAGCAGGTGCGTGCGCGCGTGTGTGCTGATGAGGAGAGGTCTCAGCGGGTCTATGCTACCAATTCTGGGTGGGGGGGCGAGTGGATGTCCCCATGGCCGAGTGCATGACCCCATGGCCGAGTGCTTGAAGCCATGGCCGAGTGTATGACCCCATGGCCGAGTGCTTGACCCCATGGCCGAGTGCATGGAGCCATGGTCGACTTCTTCCCGCACGTGGGTGGTGCTTTAGGAATCGTGCTACGAGGTGATAAAGGACGAAGCCTCGCGATTCGTCCAGCAGGCGCGTGTGTGATGGTGAGAACCACTTCTTGCCCTCCCACTAGTTGACCAGGTGGCAGATCATGAGTGGAGTACAGCACTGCCCTTGCAGCCTGCTGCTGCACTGAGGACTTCTCACACCGCCCCTCTCCCTTCTCTCCACACATCTCCTTTTCCCCCTCCCCTCCCCACCACCTCCCTTCCTCCCTTCCTCTCGCCCAAAACGCCCCTCTTCATCGCATGCTTCAGATCGTGAGCGGCATCGAGTACTGCCATCGCAACATGGTGGTGCACAGAGACTTAAAGCCCGAGAACCTGCTGCTGGACGCCAAGGGCAACGTCAAGATCGCTGATTTCGGGCTCAGCAACGTGATGCGTGACGGGCACTTCCTCAAGACTTCCTGTGGCAGCCCCAACTACGCCGCTCCTGAGGTACGCACGGGCAACTCAGGTGGCTATTTAGTTTACTCGACACCGGAATAGCAAATGTTGGTCCCTTTGAGGTGACTTTTGAGTCAAAAGTCACCGTGATGCACGATGTGATGGCCCTTTCTTAAGACGACTTGTGGCAGCCCCCCCCCAACTCTGCTTCTCCTGAAGGATGCACAATAAGCTGATAAGCTGATAGGCTGATAAGCTGATAGGCTGATAGGCTGATAAGCTGATAAGCTGATAAGCCGATAAGCTGTTAAGGTGATTGTCTCCATTTGTGACTAGCTGATTGCCTGTGTCAGGGATGTAACTGGTTTGCAGGCGGAATATACACTGACTGTCCACCCCAAAATCCCTCTTCCGTCACTTCTCTCCCCCCCAGGTGATATCTGGACGGTTGTACGGAGGGCCCGAGGTGGACGTGTGGAGCTGTGGGGTGATTCTATACGCGCTGCTGTGTGGCAGCCTGCCGTTTGACGATGAAAACATCCCCAACCTGTTCAAGAAGATCAAGGTGCCATGTGGTGCTGTGCGGTGCTGTGCAGTGATGGTGGGTGGGTGGTGATCCCGATGATCCTGCATGGTCTGCTGTGTGGCACCTGCCGTTTGCACCAGCTGCCAGTGTTCTCATCTAACATGAGACGGTTGAAGCACTCCGCTCCGTCTTGTGCCCACACCCACCCCATTCTCCATGCCCCCATCCCACCCCTCACATTCCATGCCTGCAACTCCCATCCGCCTTGCGCCCATAGGTGATTTTTGAGCCACGTATGGCTAAAACCACCACCAAGTGGTGTTCTCTCGGATTTCATGCCTGCAACTCTCCTCCGCCTTTTGCCCACACCCCCAACTCCATGGCCCCATCCTCCATATGCTCCTCTTGCAGGGCGGCATCTACTCCCTCCCACACCACCTGTCCTCAGGAGCGCGCGACCTCATCCCCCGCATGCTACTAGTCGACCCCATGAAGCGCATCACCATCCCGGAGATCCGCCACCACCCCTGGTTCCTCGCCAAGCTGCCCCGATACCTCGCTGTGCCGCCACCTAATGCTGCCGAGCAGGCCAAGCGGGTGAGATTCACAATAGGGTGGGGGGAATAGGGAAGGGGCAAATATTCACCCCTGAGATCCGCCACCACCCCTGGTTCCTCGCCAAGCTGTCCCGATACCTGGCGGTGCCGCCGCCCAACGCTGTCGACCAGGCTAAACGGGTGAGATTCACCAGTAGGGTGGGCGGGGGGGGCAGTAGGTATAGGATGGGGCAAATATTCACCCCTGAGATCCGCCACTACCCCTGGTTTTTCGCCAAGCTGCCCCGGTTCCTGGCGGTGCTGCCACCCAATGCTGCTGAGCAGGCCAAACGGGTGAGTGTCTGAGTGGGAGAGACACACAGGTTCCCAGGGAAGCCTAGTGTCCCGGGAAAGTGTAGTGTCCCGGGGAAGAAACATAGTGCCCGGGGAAGCACAGTGCCCGGGGAAGCATAGTGCCCGAAGGAAGCATAGTGCCCGGGGAAGCATAGTGGTTGAGAGAGAGGGAGGGCCATGAGAACACGGAAGGGTTTAAGTTGAGCCCATTTATAGCCGTCAGTTTCTGAGCTGATTCAGAGAGGCGAGGCGATCTTTCTAAAGGTGACCAGGATGGGCTTCGATGAGGGGCGTCTGGCAGGGTCCCTCCTCCCCCTCCTCTCTTCCTGATCCGTTCCCCCGTCTTCCTTTCTCCCAACACCATCAGATCGACGAAGAAATCTTCCAAGTGGTCACCAAGATGGGCTTCGACGAGGAGCACCTGGCCGAGTCGCTCCGGGACCGGCGCACCAACAAGGCCACGGTGGCGTACTACCTGCTGCTGGACTCGCACCGCCGCATCTCCACGGGGTATCTAGGGGCGGAGTTCAACGAGCACAAGGAGCAGCAGCAGCAGCACGCTCACGCAATGGGAGCAGATGGGTCGCCGCTGGTGGCGGCGCGGGGAGGGTTGGGGCATGCGCTGGTGGCGAGGCGGAGCGTTGGGAGTGGGGGCGGGGGCGGGGGTGGGGGCGGGGGGATGAGTGTGCCGGGGTCCCCGGCGCATAATCATCAGAGGGTTGTCGCGGATAGGAAGTGGGCGCTGGGGCTGCAGGTGAGAGAGCAATCGTGTGTGTTTGAGGGGGGGTGGAGATGGGTGTGCTGACCCGTCACGTCATATCCCCTGTCAAGTCATATCCCCCGTCAGATCATATCCCTCTCCTGTCACCTCATATCCCCTCTCACCTCGTATCCCCTGTCACCTCGTATCCCCTCTCACCTCGTATCCCTGTCATCTCATATTTCCCGTCACCTCATCTCCCCCGTCACCTCATATCCTCCATCACCTCATATCCTGTCTCCTCCCCCCCACACCAGTCCCGCGCCCACCCCATGGAGGTGATGGGCGAGGTGTTCAGAGCGCTGCAGGCGCTGCAAGTGCGCTGGAAGAAGCTCTCGCCCTACGTCGTCAAGTGCCGCTGGGACGGCCCCCTGCCCTTCCCCCCTGCCGCTGCGCCTTCCTCCGCCTCTGCCTCTTCCCTGCCCTCCTGGATGCAAGCACATGGGCGGGGGCATGGGAATAATGGGGGAGCGGGGGATGCGGATGGGATGATGGTGGACGGCGGGAGGATGGACAGCATTCGGACAATACAAGACGAGAGAGGCCGCCCAATGATTCCCATTGAGGCGCTGGTGGGCGGCGGGTTTCGGCGGCTACTGCGGTTCGAAATGCAGGTGAGGGTGCTGCTGCGTGGCTGGCAGGCTCCATTGCCTGAGTCCATGCCCGCTTACTCGGTCTATTTTTGAGGCGCCTCAAAAATAGACTCCTCACGCATCGCTTACTCGGTCGCTCGTACACTTTCAGACTGCCTCTTTGTCCGGGGCCACACCTTGTGTGGCTCACATGCACATGGAGACTATTCTAAAGGCGCCTAAAAAATGTGCACATGCCGCATGCCCCCCCTTGTTCCCCACCCCACGCCACCCCACACCACCCCACACCACCCCACGCCACCCCACCGCCATCAGCTGTTCAAGGTGCGGGATGAGAAGTACCTGTTGGATGTCCAACACGTGGACGGCTCTCACATGCTCTTCCTAGACCTCTCTGCGGATTTCTTAGCCGAGTTACACGTCATCTGAACCATGTTACATACCAGGAGTGCAACAGGCCACCTGTGCGGGTAACATGTTGCTTGGGAGATGATTGCCCGGCAAAGTTGTATCTCTTTGTGGTGTCTGTTCCTTGTTCCTTGTTTTGTGTATTATGATCCGGCTAAAAAGTGTGTGCACCCCGGCAAGAGTAGGGTGTGTGTATATACTGACTGAACCACGGATCATGCTCCAGTCCTGCACCAGCCTTTCTCTCGATAGGTGCTGCAGGAAAGGCATACAGACAGAAGAAGCCTCTCCAGCAAGGAGTCGTAGCTCCACTGCGCAAGTACCGGAAGCAAGAGCACCAATAGCTTATGAGTTGCAACACATAAACCCTTGAGAGCTCAGCTGCTCGTTGACACGCTTGTTTGGGCCAATGCAGCAGACAGCTGGCACACCTCCGTGAACTGCTTGATGGCCCGATCAAACTGGCAGCCCTGGAGGGCAGCAGGGGCGAGGGAGGAGAGACCGTGCAAAGAGAGCTTTGGTTGTGAGTTGTTCATGCCGCAATGACTCCTATACATCTACATGCCTCAAGTCGTGCAGCCATGCTGTCCAGTCCACATCTGCCATTCCTGCCTCCCTAAACCAGCCCTCCCTCCCTCCATCCCATTATCATGGGTCAAGGCATCTCAGGCAGCACTCACCTCCCAGTAGAGGTGCTGGCACCGGCAGCACTGCCAGAACTCCGCCACCTGCTTCAGCACATGAGCCGGCACCACCTGGGACCACGGCGCCGCTGCTGCTGCCTCTGCCGGCCCCAGTGCCGCCGGGCCGAACGTGCCATTGCAGCGGATGCAGCGCGAGAGGAGCGAGGCCTCGGAGAGCAGTAACCGGAACGCGGTTACCACCTCGCGCAGCTGCTCCCGCTTGTCCATGCTTCGGATCAGGTGCATGTGGCTGGGTGGTAACAGGCGGCGGCGGACGAGCTTCACGTCCCTTGTTAGAAGCACGCGGCCCTCCTTCTCTGCCCACTCTATCAGCTTCCTGTGCATCGGGGGGAAGGGCACAGCCGGTACCGTGGCAACCAATCAATCAGTCCCGGCTGTGCGAATCAATCAGTGTGCGTGGGCAGCACAGGCACACTTCTTAGCACCTCTCGTTAGAAGAATGTGGCCCTCTCTCTCTCTCTCTCTGCCCACTCAATTAGCTTCCTTGCATGAGAGAGATTCACTGTACCTCGTATCGCATGTGTCTTGGCCGAGTGTCTTAGGCGAAGCTGTGTCGATCCCCACGCACCGCAGCTGCCGGGCCAGCCCCTCGACCATGGAGTCACACAGGAACCGCGGCTGCCCATCTCCCCCCTGTGCCACATCCCACACCGGCACCGCTCCGCTCGGCCGCGCCTCAAACTCCCACACTGACCCTCCGCCTGACCCCTCTCCTTGCCGTACCTCCCCTCCTCCACCTCCTCCTCCTGCGCTTGTGTCACCTATGATTGACCCTGCAGCCACACCATCGATACCGCCCGTTGCCCTCCCCTCTCCTGTGCTGCCCCCCTCCCCCTCCCCGTTCCCCCCCCTCTCCTCCTCCTCCTCCTCTCTCTCTCTGCTCTCTCGTGCCTGCCTCCTCCCTTTCCTCGAATTCAACCGCTTGCCTGAAGCCCCTCCCTTCCCCTTCCCTACCCGCCCTTGCCTTGTATTCGCACTGCTGCTGCTGCTTGTGCTGCTGCTAGTGCCAGTGGTAGTGCCCTCTTTGCTCTTTCCCAGGGAGCGCACCTCCCCAGTGGTGTCACAGAGAGAGAGGGTGTGGGAGTATTCGTCTATGAGCAGAGCAAGCGCGGAGATGAGAGCAGTGGTAGAAGGGGTTGCTGGAATGGAAGTGGATGGGATGTGACTGTCCGTGTGTCCGTTCCCTTGCTGCTGCTGCTGCTGCTGCTGCTGCTGCTGCTGTGTGTGCAGCGAGCGGTGGTGCTGCTGCAGTGGTGGGAGTGAGGGCGTGACTGTACACGCTGCCACTATAACAAAGGCGGATGGGAACGGCTGATGAACAACAGACGGGGATGCTGACAGGGATGCTGAATGAGATGCCCCTACATTCACAGCGGCAAGGCCAGGCTGGGGGGGAATGGCATGGGGGGGAAGAGCATGCGAGGAAAGGGCATGCGGGGGCAGGGCAAGGGGGAGCAGGGCGTGCGCCATGTGCAGCAGGCAGAGGGCGTCAGCAGCAGCATACTGCAGCTGGTGGGGCGACAGCGGGCGCTGCTCCCAGTCGCTGCACTGCAGCGCCTTGTCCAGGGGCGCCCCCAGCAGCACGTGCGCCAGCGCCGACAATCCCGAGGTGGGCGGCAACACAGCTTTAGCTGCCAGAGTGCCAGGGGCAGCGGAGGCAGTGAGCAGGTGCAGGAGGTTCTCGCGCTTCAGCTGTAGTCTCCGTCTCCGAACGGCATGGTAGGCCGTGCCCACGTCTATGAAGGGCGACGCCTGGTGGAAGCAGCCTAAAGGCTGGTGCTCCTGGGGGAGGGACTGGTGGAGGAACTGCAGATCGTCTGAGAATGCGAAGCCGAGCTTGAGGGTGTGTGGCGCGCGCAGCATGGCGCGGAGAGCGGGGGCGTAGAGGGCGGGGGGGAGGGAGAGGAGGTCCAGCAGCAGCACCACCTCCTCCCACCCATCCACCTGCTGCCAGCTCTCCATCCGCTGCCCTGCTGCCGTGCCACTCTGCGTGTCCTGCCCCTGTGACCCCTCTGCCATCCCTCGATCAGACGCCTCACAGTCACCCCCCCTACTGTCACAGTCGTAGCTGCATGTCCCGAGGGGCACGCGGCATGCGATTTGCAGCAGTGCCACTCGATGAGGGGGAAGAATATCCGCAGATGCTGCTGAAGTTTGAGGTGATGATGTAGCTGCCACGTCAGCCTGTTTTGCCAGCTCAGCCATTTCCCGTCGAAGTCTGGACGGCCGCCATTCAGCATCCAGCCCCACCATGAGAGCCTTGGACAGGATAACGCCAACCCTTGCCGCCCGGAAGGAGGCGGGGGAATCGATGAGGTAGACACGCGAGGGGGAGAGAGGCATACACCAGAAGGTTGAGGCGGAGGCGGAGGGGGAAGGGAAGGGAGCGGAGGCGGAGGGAGAGGACGAAGGGGGGAAGGCGAGAGATGGGGGGAGGGAATGCGAGGAGGGCGGGAGCATGGCGGAGAGTTGGAACACAGGAGAATGACCCGCTGCTGACGTGTGCGTGTGATCATCGACAGCGGATGGCGCCATCTTGGATGGTTTCCGCACAAGGCTGCGATGTGAGAAAAGCTCTTGGTGATCGGGTGAGAGGCCCCAGGCGGGAGAAAGGAGAGGGTGGGCTAGTAACGGGTGAAAATCTTGACTGCTATGATCGGACCTGCGACCGAGACTCGCGATGCTTCTTGAGACATCACGAACTCGGGTTACTGCTGCTGAGCTGGAGGAGGGGAGGCCTGCGACGGCTGGATCTGCGACAGAGGCGAATGCGACGGTTGGGTTTGCGACTGGAACTGGCGACGCTTCTCTTCCAAAAGCTGGTCGTCGCGCAGCACGCCGCGGTGGAGATTCTGAGCCACGTGGCGGACGCGGGTTTGCGGAGAGGTTAAGAAAAAAGTAGAGGGATAGGATAAGAGGACGTGACAGGAACAAGCTGAGTCATGCGCCACGAAGCACTAAGGGTAAAGGGTAACTAAGCGTGATCGGATGGAAGCACGAACACAAGACTCGACGGGAATGAGGTCAGGAAACGCACCTCCCGCTCCTTCACCTGCAGCTGGTGCACGAATGCGACACCAGCGACAGTCGCGAGAACAGTTACACCTAGCAGCACCTTCGCACGGTTACTGGACATGTCGCAGGCGGTGCCCTGGCGCAGCAAGGATCCGAAAGGGGGGAGCGGCAATATCCAGGGAAAGGAATGCAGCGCAGGGAACTGGTTGCGTGTGAAGTGCGACAACCGTGACGAACAGGAAGCGTAGTAACCTTGAGACCTCCAAAGGGGTTGGCGGGAAAAACATCAAGCGACGTGGAGTTCCCGAGGGATTTGCTAGCTGGAGTTCTGTTCCAGGCTTGGGAATGCCGAGCAGGCCAGCTGGATGTGCTGTTCTCGTTATAGGGGTATGCGATCCACTTTGGATAAGACACGCGCGAAGAATTTACACCCGCTGTTTCTGAGGAACCTTCAGCTCGCCACCTCAATTCACACCAGAAACCAACCCAACCCCACTGAACCGCAGTAGCAACAGCAATCACTGAAATTCTTGCTGACCCCCCCTTGCTGGCAGGCGTGCGTGCACCACTGACCATTGACCCTCACCGCCACTGAATCCTGGTGTGGTGTGGAATGTTCAGTCCCTCGCACACATTCGCCTATGCAGCGCTTGCCGTAGTACCTGGAAAGGTAACTCCTGACACCTGGACTCCAAAATGGTGTGGACCGCTCGACGCGTGGGAATGCGAGTTCTCGTCCTTACCGCAATCGCTGCCGTCGGGCTCCCATGGCTTGTCCTTGTTGTCCGTTCATACTTCGCCCTCTCCCGTCTCCACCCCCTTCCCTCGCCGTCGCACATTTCCCCTAAGCGCGCCGAGCGATTGGGCCTTGATAAGAGCACATTCGCTAGCTGGCGCCTGATTCCCTCACATATCCTCGCTGCATTCTCAAGTCTGCATTCGGATTGGCTGTTCTCCCGTGAATCCAGCTCCATCCATCCGCTCCACCTTCGTCGCCACGTCAGCAACGACTTCTTCGCGCCGCGCTTGCCTCTTCTATCAGCGTCACTCGATAAGTTATCTGGCAACTCCAGCAGCCAATCAGATGCCGCCAGCTCAGGGGCTGAGGAACAACCCGCGAATCGAAGTGCGCCGAGCGGGCTGTGCATAGCGATCACATCTGCGCCGCGATTGGATCCGCAAAACCTGGAGCCGACGTGGCAGCGAGTGGTGCAGATGCTGCAGGCTCTAGACTCGAGGAGAGTGGGAGCATGGAGAGGGAGAGGAGAGGGGAGAAGTAACGCGGGTAGAGGGGGGAATGAAAAAGAGGAGGGGGCAGAGAGAGTGGAGGGGGAAGGGGAAAGGGAGGGGGAGGATGATGTGAGTGATGAGGATGTGATTGAAACGGGGGAAGAGGTGGAGAAGGCGATTAGGGAGCTTCAGAAGCGGAAGGGGATGGTTCTGGGGCAGGACATGAGGATCGTGGTGTACAGCTCAGCATGCCACGTGGTGGACCCCGTGGACCTGCTGACTCAGCAAGGTGCGTTTGGTGAAGAGCATCAGAAGGAAAAGCAGGCAGAGGAACAAGGTGAGATGGAGGGAGGGAGGGAGGATAGAGGGGTCACAGGGGGCAGGCAGAATGGAACGAGGAACAGACGTGAGGAGGCTGCATGGAGAGGCAGGGGAGGAGAGAAGCCAAGGAGCAGGCGGGAGATGTTGGACGAGGCAGTGAGGCGATACGCGGCAGGCGCTGGTGTGAGTGAGGCGTACGTCCGCCCCCTCGTGCAGGTGCTCGCTCAGGCGGCCTTTGACAGCAGCAGCAGTGTAGACAGCCACACCCAAGCCATCCGCCACATGGCGGCCAACCTGTCCATCCACGTGGACGTTCTGACAGCTCATGCTGACGTGTGCGAGTTCTTTGGGGATGCTGGTAGGCTTCTGGCGGCTGTTCCCCAACAGATTATCGGGAGAGTTGGGTGGGCTAGATGGACGTGGGAGAGGAAGGTAGCCGTGGATTCAATCCACGCCATGCATCAGTGCCTGCATACAAACCCCAGGTTCGTCCTCCTTTTTGAAGACGATGTCATGCCGGTATGGCTGTGGGACGTTGGCATCGAGAGGTTTCTCTCTATTGACCTCCATGGCAAACGTCCCTGGGATCTGGTGGCGTTGTATACACCATCGTCATACGGGTGGGGTGTTACGCATGCCGGTCTGTATGACTTCGCGTGTTGCACTCAAGCAGACCTCTTCAGGGCTAGTGTTGCGAGGAAAGTGGTGGGTTATGTGGAGTCGCAGTTTATGCACAATCCGGCAGATGTGCTGCTGGGAGAATATGTGAAGAAGAGGGGAATCATTGGGTATGCACATGTGCCCTCGTTGTTTCAGCATGCTGGAACTGTGAGGACATTTGCTAATTCTTATTTCCACGAAGACATACACTTTAGGTCACAGTACGTAATGCAATCTCTAGCTGGTGAAGTACAATAGAGTTAGTAGCTGGATTTCTGTTTCTCGCGGCCTTGTGAACAGGTTCAATAACGAGTCTCTGCATCTGGAGCACCATGCGAGAGAAACACGTGGAATGGCGCCGGGGTGAGTCAGCAGCAGGACAACGTCTCCACAACGTGCCGCCGAACCGAGATGCACTGCGTTACCCCCCCACCCCCGCAACAGCTGTCTTGCATTCCTCCCGCGCACCCCGCCTCCCCCCAAAACTTTCAGCGGCCCGCGCAATTGCTGGTGGGCGCCAATCCCACCCCAGTGTCATATCATCCCCCATTTTCATCCGCATCTGGCGCAGATTCGCGCCAAAAGCCCTCTCCGCCTCTTCCTGCGCCTGCCCCAGTGCCCATCCGCCCCAATCCCGACACGACTCCCCCGAACGGCCTCCCGCGCGTCTAAAAATTATTCCGACATTTTTTTCCAGTTACCTAGATCCCTTTCGCCAGCCGCACCTTAGATCCCTTGGCCTTTCCGTCTCGTGAATCTTGGATCTCGGGTCAACCCTGGCCGCTTTTGACGGACGGTTTGCGGATTTTATTCCTTTAGCTCGAGCTTTAGCTCCCATGGGGCTGCTTATCCAGCGTCGCGTCGTCTCGCTGCTCGCCATCTTCCTTCTCGCCGCGTCTCTCGCGCCGGCTCTTGGGGCGGATGCCGATGCCACTGCAACTCCGCAGTTCGCGCGCGCGCGGCTGAGGCGGGCGGGGGAGCTCACGCCGGAGCGGATCGAGGCGCAGCGCGCGTGGCTGTCGTCGTCGGCGTTCAAGCAGCGCCTCCTCTCGGCCAGCGGGCTGCGCCCCGACAACGCGGAGACCGGCGCAAACGGCGCAAACGGGGCGCGCGCGGGGCCGGACGTGGTTCCTTTGAACAACTTCATGGACGCGCAGTACTACATGGAGATCGGCATCGGGTCGCCGCCGCAGACGTTCAAAGTGGTGCCCGACACCGGCAGCAGCAACCTCTGGGTGCCCTCGCGCCGCTGCTACCTCTCCGTACGCCGCTCTCTCGTTATAATCCCCTCGCGCCGCTGCTACCTCTCCGTATGACTCTCCCTCGCTATAATCCCCCTCGCGCCGCTGCTACCTCGCCGTATGACTCTCTCCTCCCCTCGTCCACCCCTCTTTCACCCACGTGAATTGGCGCGCTTGGCGTATTGATTTCCCGGAGCTCGCGTGTTCCAGCTGCGCCAAGCGCCGTCAATTCACGTTACCCCTCCGTACCGCTCGTCAACCATCTCCGCCTCCTCCTCCCCCGCCTTCCCCTCCTCACCTCTCCTCCCCGGCCTTCCCCAATCCTTCCACATGCCTCCCGAGCTCGCGCGCCTGGACCACGCCAACCGCGACTCGCGCAATTCGTCCCCTCGCGCTTCCTCCCCCAACCCCGCCCCACCGCCCGTCAGCGTCCCCTTCCCCAGCTCCCGTGCCTGAACCGCGCAAAGTACGACAAGCGCCAGGCACATACCTACGAAGCGGACGGACGCCTTTCGCCATCCAGTACGGCAGCGGCGCAATGAAGGGCTTCCAGTCGCGAGCCCCACTCGCGTCCCATCCCCAAATCCTCCTCCCCCCTCCCTCCCCCCCACATCCCCCCACACCCCTTCCCCACTCCCCCCCACCCCCTCCCCCCTGCGCCCCCCTACCCCCCAAATCTCCCAGCTCGCGTGCCTCAACCACGCCAAGTACGATTCGCGCAAGTCGCAGACGTACGAGGCCGACGGAACCCCCTTCGCCATCCAGTATGGCAGCGGCGCCATGAAGGGCTTCCAGTCCAAAGACCAAGTGACGGTCGGCGACGTGACTATAGCGGGGCAGACCTTCGCCGAGGCCACCAGCGAGCCGGGCCTTGCCTTCTTCGCGGCAAAATTCGACGGGATCATGGGGTTGGGCTTTAAGGAGATCTCGGTGAATCAGATCGTGCCGCCCTGGTATAATATGTTGGAGCAGGGGCTGGTGCCCGAGCCCGTGTTCTCCTTCTGGTTTAACCGGGACCCCGAGGGGGAGGCGGGCGGGGAGGTGGTGTTTGGCGGAGTGGATGAGGCGCACTTCAAGGGGAAGCACTCGTGGGCGAATGTCAGCAGGCGCGGGTACTGGGAGGTGCGTGGGGGCATGGGGGGTGGGTGGGGGGGGAAGGGGGGATGGGACGTGAGTGAGGGGGTGGTAGGTGGGTGGAAAGAGCATGGTCTGGGCTGGGATCAAGTTTTGAGGCGCCTCAAAACTAGACTCCTAGCATGGGATGGGCTGGGATCAGCCGGCTTAGAGTGGATGAGGCGCATTGCAAGGGGATGCACTCGTGGGCGAGTGTCAGCAGGCGGGGGTACTGGGAGGTGCGTGGGGGCATGGGAGGTGCGTGGGGGCATGGGAGGTGCGTGGGGGCATGGGAGGTGCGTGGGGGCATGGGAGGTGCGTGGGGGCATGGGAGGTGCGTGGGGGCATGGGAGGTGCGTGGGGGCATGGGAGGTGCGTGGGGGCATGGGAGGTGCGTGGGGGCATGGGAGGGGGGGGGGGGGGGGGGGGGGTGCGTGGGGGCATGGGAGGTGCGTGGGGGCATGGGAGGTGCGTGGGGGCATGGGAGGTGCGTGGGGGCATGGGAGGTGCGTGGGGGCATGGGAGGTGCGTGGGGGCATGGGAGGTGGGGGGGGGGGGGGGGGGGGGGGGGGGGGGGTGGGGGGTGCGTGGGGGCATGGGAGGTGCGTGGGGGCATGGGAGGTGCGTGGGGCATGGGAGGTGCGTGGGGGCATGGGAGGTGCGTGGGGGCATGGGAGGTGCGTGGGGGCATGGGAGGTGCGTGGGGGCATGGGAGGTGCGTGGGGGCATGGGAGGTGCGTGGGGGCATGGGAGGTGCGTGGGGGCATGGGAGGTGCGTGGGGGCATGGGAGGTGCGTGGGGGCATGGAGGTGCGTGGGGGCATGGGAGGTGCGTGGGGGCATGGGAGGTGCGTGGGGGCATGGGAGGTGCGTGGGGCATGGGAGGTGCGTGGGGGCATGGGAGGTGCGTGGGGGCATGGGAGGTGCGTGGGGGCATGGGATGCGTGGGGGCATGGGAGGTGCGTGGGGGCATGGGAGGTGCGTGGGGGCATGGGAGGTGCGTGGGGGCATGGGAGGCGTGGGGGCATGGGAGCGTGGGGGCATGGGAGGTGCGTGGGGCATGGGAGGTGCGTGGGGGCATGGGAGGTGCGTGGGGGCATGGGAGGTGCGTGGGGGCATGGGAGGTGCGTGGGGGCATGGGAGGTGCGTGGGGGCATGGGAGGTGCGTGGGGGCATGGGAGGTGCGTGGGGGCATGGGAGGTGCGTGGGGGCATGGGAGGTGCGTGGGGGCATGGGAGGTGCGTGGGGGCATGGGAGGTGCGTGGGGCATGGGAGGTGCGTGGGGGCATGGAGGTGCGTGGGGCATGGGAGGTGCGTGGGGGCATGGGAGGTGCGTGGGGGCATGGGAGGTGCGTGGGGCATGGGAGGTGCGTGGGGCATGGGAGGTGCGTGGGGCATGGGAGGTGCGTGGGGGCATGGGAGGTGCGTGGGGGCATGGGAGGTGCGTGGGGCATGGGAGGTGCGTGGGGGCATGGGAGGTGCGTGGGGGCATGGGAGGTGCGTGGGGGCATGGGAGGTGCGTGGGGGCATGGGAGGTGCGTGGGGGCATGGGAGGTGCGTGGGGGCATGGGAGGTGCGTGGGGGCATGGGAGGTGCGTGGGGGCATGGGAGGTGCGTGGGGGCATGGGAGGTGCGTGGGGGCATGGGAGGTGCGTGGGGGCATGGGAGGTGCGTGGGGGCATGGGAGGTGCGTGGGGGCATGGGAGGTGCGTGGGGGCATGCGTGGGGCATGGGCGTGGGGGCATGGGAGGTGCGTGGGGGCATGGGAGGTGCGTGGGGCATGGGAGGTGCGTGGGGGCATGGGAGGTGCGTGGGGGCATGGGAGGTGCGTGGGGGCATGGGAGGTGCGTGGGGGGGGGGGGGGGGGGGGGGGGGATGGGAGGTGCGTGGGGGCATGGGAGGTGCGTGGGGGCATGGGAGGTGCGTGGGGGCATGGGAGGTGCGTGGGGGCATGGGAGGTGCGTGGGGGCATGGGAGGTGCGTGGGGGCATGGGAGGTGCGTGGGGGCATGGGAGGTGCGTGGGGGCATGGGAGGTGCGTGGGGGCATGGGAGGTGCGTGGGGGCATGGGAGGTGCGTGGGGGCATGGGAGGTGCGTGGGGGCATGGGAGGTGCGTGGGGGCATGGGAGGTGCGTGGGGGCATGGGAGGTGCGTGGGGGCATGGGAGGTGCGTGGGGGCATGGGAGGTGCGTGGGGGCATGGGAGGTGCGTGGGGGCATGGGAGGTGCGTGGGGGCATGGGAGGTGCGTGGGGGCATGGGAGGTGCGTGGGGGCATGGGAGGTGCGTGGGGGCATGGGAGGTGCGTGGGGGCATGGGAGGTGCGTGGGGGCATGGGAGGTGCGTGGGGGCATGGGAGGTGCGTGGGGGCATGGGAGGTGCGTGGGGGCATGGGAGGTGCGTGGGGGCATGGGAGGTGCGTGGGGGCATGGGAGGTGCGTGGGGGCATGGGAGGTGCGTGGGGGCATGGGAGGTGCGTGGGGGCATGGGAGGTGCGTGGGGGGGGGGGGGGGGGGGGGGGGGCATGGGAGGTGCGTGGGGGCATGGGAGGTGCGTGGGGGCATGGGAGGTGCGTGGAAATAGCATGGTGTGGCCCTATGCGTCAATGTGGCTTGTTGGTTGTAAGCTGCTCGATGTGCGAGAGATGAGAGATGAGAGATGAGAGATGAGAGATGAGAGATTTGAGTTTGCGTTGCTGTGAAGGGAACCACCCATTTACACGACTCCCCCCTCTGTCCGTGTGTCTGTGCATGTCTGCTGTGTGCTTGTGCGTGTGTGCGTGTGAGTGTGTGAGTGTGTGAGTGTGTGTGTGTATGTGTGTGTGTGCATGTGTTTGTGTGAGTGTGTGTGTGTGTGTGTGTGCGCGCGCGCGTGAGAGTGTGCGTGTGTGTGTGGCTGGCTGTGCAGTTTAAGATGGGCGATGTGCTCATCAACGGGTCCACCACCAGTGAGTCATCCATCACGCATGATGACCCATGACCCATGACCCATGACCCATGACCCATGACCCATGACCCATGACCCATGCACTTGCGGTGATATCAAGCTATGTGTATCCGTGCCTCCCCGTTTCCTCCTGCCCTCTCCCCCCCCCCCCCTCGTCCAGGCATCTGCAAGAATGGCTGTGCGGCCATCGCTGACACCGGCACCTCCCTCATCGCTGGACCCTCGGTATGCCTCACAACTACCCCTCGGTATCTCCCTCGGTAGGCCTCGTATCTCCGTCGGTAGGCCTCGTATCTCCCTCGGTATGCCTCGTATCTCCCTCGGTAGGCCTCGTATCTCCCTCGGTAGGCCTCGTATCTCCCTCGGTATGCCTCGTATCTCCCTCGGTAGGCCTCGTATCTTAGTTGCTACAAACGCTCTGGGAGACAAGCGTTTGGCGTTCAAACGCTAGCGTTTGAACGCAAACGCCAAACGCACCCAAAAACGCAAACGCTCTCTGGGATTTTTTTCGGGCTGCCCCCCCAAAAAAAACACGAGATTGTCGTTGGAGAATAGCCTTAAGGATAGGTGATTTACATGACATATGAGGATGCTGGCTTAAATGTTAAGCACGGTTCTTTTTTATGAGACAAAATGCTTGCTGGTAGAACCCCCATGTTTCCCCCCTCCCCCACAGGAATCTTGAACCCCTGCCCGGGTAAAAATTTTACCCCTGCCCGGGCAAGCGTTTGCCTAGCGTTCACATACATGCTGCCGAGCGTTTAGCGTTCAAACGCTAGCGTTTAAACGCTAGCGTTCAAACGCCAAACGCGTTTGTAGCAACTAAGCCTCGTATCTCCCTCGGTAGGCCTCGTATCTCCCTCGGTAGGCCTCGTATCTCCCTCGGTATGCCTCGTATCTCCCTCGGTAGGCCTCGTATCTCCCTCAGTAGGCCTCGTATCTCCCTCGGTAGGCCTCGTATCTCCCTCGGTAGGCCTCGTATCTCCCTCGGTATGCCTCGTATCTCCCTCGGTAGGCCTCGTATCTCCCTCAGTAGGCCTCGTATCTCCCTCGGTAGGCCTCGTATCTCCCTCGGTAGGCCTCGTATCTCCCTCGGTATGCCTCGTATCTCCCTCGGTAGGCCTCGTATCTCCCTCGGTAGGCCTCCTTTATCCCTCGGTAGGCCTCCTATCTCCCTCAGTAGGCCTCCTTTCTCCCCCGGTAGGCCTCCTACCTCCCTCGGTAGGCCTCCTTTCTCCCTCGGTAGGCCTTGTATCTCCCTCGGTAGGCCTCCTCTCTCCCTCGGTGGGCCTCCTTTCTCCCTCGGTAGGCCTCGTATCTCCCTCGGTAGGCCTCCTCGGCCTCCTTTCTCCCTCGGTAGGCCTCCTTTCTCCCTTGGTAGGCCTCCTTTCTCCCTCGGTAGGCCTCCTTTCTCCCTTGGTAGGCCTCCTTTCTCCCTCGGTAGGCCTCGTATCTCCCTTGGTAGGCCTCCTCTCTCCCTCGGTAGGCCTCCTTTCTCCCTCGGTAGGCCTCCTTTCTCCCTCGGTATGCCTCCTTTCTCCCTCGGTAGGCCTCCTATCTCCCTCGGTATGCATCGTATCTCCCTCAATAGGCCTCCTTTCTCCCTCGGTAGGCCTCCTTCCTCCCTCGGTAGGCGTCATTTCTCCCTCGGTAGGCCTCCTCTCTCCCTCGGTAGGCCTCCTCTCTCCCTCGGTAGGCCTCCTTTCTCCCTCGGTAGGCCTCCTTTCTCCCTCGGTAGGCCTCCTTTCTCCCTCGGTAGGCCTCCTTTCTCCCTTGGTAGGCCTCCTTTCTCCCTCGGTCGGCCTCCTTTCTCCCTCGGTAGGCCTCCTATCTCCCTCGGTAGGCCTCCTGTCTCCCTCGGTAGGCCTCGTGTCTCCCTCGGTAGGCCTCCTTTCTCCCTCGGTAGGCCTCCTATCTCCCTCGGTAGGCGTCGTATCTCCCTCGGTAGGCCTCCTTTCTCTCTCGGTAGGCCTCATATCTCCCTCGGTAGGCCTCATATCTCCCTCGGTAGGCCTCCTGTCTCCCTCGGTAGGCCTCGTGTCTCCCTCGGTAGGCCTCCTTTCTCCCTCGGTAGGCCTCCTATCTCCCTCGGTAGGCGTCGTATCTCCCTCGGTAGGCCTCCTTTCTCTCTCGGTAGGCCTCCTTTCTCCCTCGGTAGGCCTCCTATCTCCCTTGGTAGGCCTCATATCTCCCTCGGTAGGCCTCATATCTCCCTCGGTAGGCCTCGTATCTCCCTCGGTAGGCCTCGTATCTCCCTCGGTAGGCCTCGTATCTCCCTCGGTAGGCCTCGTATCTCCCTCGGTAGGCCTCGTATCTCCCTCGGTAGGCCTCGTATCTCCCTTGGTAGGCCTCGTATCTCCTTTGTTATGCCTCGTATCTCCCTCGGTAGGCCTCCTATCTCCCTCGGTAGGCCTCGTATCTCCCTTGGTAGGCCTCTTTTCTCCCCCGGTAGGCCTCCTTTCTCCCTCGGTAGGCCTCCTTTCTCCCTCGGTAGGCCTCCTCTCCCCCTCGGTAGGCCTCCTCTCTCCCTCGGCAGGCCTCCTCTCTCCCTCGGTAGGCCTCCTTTCTCCCTCAGTAGGCCTCCTTTCTCCCTTGGTAGGCCTCCTTTCTCCCTCGGTAGGCCTCATATCTCCCTCGGTAGGCCTCATATCTCCCTCGGTAGGCCTCGTATCTCCCTCGGTAGGCCTCGTATCTCCCTCGGTAGGCCTCGTATCTCCCTCGGTAGGCCTCGTATCTCCCTCGGTAGGCCTCGTATATCCCTTGGTAGGCCTCGTATCTCCTTTGTTATGCCTCGTATCTCCCTCGGTAGGCCTCCTATCTCCCTCGGTAGGCCTCGTATCTCCCTTGGTAGGCCTCCTTTCTCCCCCGGTAGGCCTCCTTTCTCCCTCGGTAGGCCTCCTTTCTCCCTCGGTAGGCCTCCTCTCCCCCTCGGTAGGCCTCCTCTCTCCCTCGGCAGGCCTCCTCTCTCCCTCGGTAGGCCTCCTTTCTCCCTCAGTAGGCCTCCTTTCTCCCTCGGTAGGCCTCATATCTCCCTCGGTAGGCCTCATATCTCCCTCGGTAGGCCTCCTTTCTCCCTCGGTAGGCCTCCTTTCTCCCTCGGTAGGCCTCGTATCTCCCTCGGTAGGCCTCGTATCTCCCTCGGTAGGCCTCCTATCTCCCTCGGTAGGCCTCATATCTCCCTCGGTAGGCCTCCTTTCTTCCTCGGTAGGCCTTCTTTCTCCCTCGGTTGGCCTCCTTTCTCCCTCGGTAGGCCTCGTATCTCCCTCGGTAGGCCTCCTACCTCCCTCAGTAGGCCTCCTTTCTCCCTCGGTAGGCCTCCTTTCTCCCTCGGTAGGCCTCGTATCTCCCTTGGAAGGCCTCATATCTCCCTCGGTAGGCCTCCTTTCTCCCTCGGTAGGCCTCCTTTCTCCCTCGGTAGGCCTCCTTTCTCCCTCGGTAGGCCTTCTTTTTCCCTCGGTAGGCCTTGTATCTCCCTCGGTAGGCCTCGTATCTCCCTCGGTAGGCCTCGTATCTCCCTCGGTAGGCCTTGTATCTCCCTCGGTAGGCCTTGTAACTCCCTCGGTAGGCCTTGTTACTACCCCCTCCCTTCTCCTCCTGCCCTCTCTCCCGCCCCCTTACTCTCTATCGTGCCTCTCACGACCCCTTGGTCCCCCCAACCATTTCCCCCCCAACCATTCCCCCCCAACCATTTCCGCCCCAACCATTTCCGCCCCAACCATTTCCGCCCCAACCATTTCCCCGCCAACCATTTCCCCGCCAACCATTTCCCCGCCAACCATTTCCCCGCCAACCATTTCCCCGCCAACCATTTCCCCGCCAACCATTTCCCCGCCAACCATTTCCCCCCGTCCACCCGCCTCCCAGAAGGAAGGGGCAGAATGCGTCTGCTTTTGAGGCGCCTCAAAAGCAGTCCCCGCCCTTCCAGAAGGAGGGGGGCCGAAATTCGTCTGTATGCTCCCGTGTGTCGAGTTCCACAGCCAGTCTAAATCTCCTGCATTTCAGGCGGTGCGGCCGTGAGCCCTATTACCGACCATCTCTTTGCCCCATGGTGGCCCGCTGCCGGATGGTGCCCCTCTGCCCCATGGTGCCCCTCTCTGAGTGCTGCAGGCGGTGATAGCAATGCGACCATCCTTCCCCTCCGCCCCTCTTCCCCACCATGCCCCTCCCACCGCGCCCCCCACTGCAGGCAGTGATAGCAGAGATCAACGCGGCCATCGGAGCCAAGGGCGTGCTCAGCCAGGCGTGCAAGCAGCTGGTGCACGACTACGCTGTAATCATCATCGACCTGCTCGAGCAGAAGGTATGTTTGGTTGTCGCAAGAGCTGCTTGCAATGTCAGTCAGGTGCGTGTATGAGCTGCAAGATGCCTCACGCGTGCAAGCAGCTGGTGCACGACTACGCTGTTATCATCATCGACCTGCTCGAGCAGAAGGTTCGATTGCTTGTAGAGGTTGTTAGCGCACATGCATGTGAGATGACAAAGTAAAGGGCCTGTTGGGCCGTGCAAGCAGCTGATGCACGATAACGCTGTTATCATCATTGACCTGCTGGAGCAGAAGGTACGTTTGTGTGCGAGGATTGTCCGTTAGGATTGCTTGCGTGCAAGGATAGCATGTGAGAGGATAGGCGTGCAAGCAGCTGGGGCATGCGTCTTGTGTGCCATGCTTCTTCCTCCCTCACCACCTGCCCACCCCCTCCTCCCCCCTCCTCCCCACTCCCTCCCCCCCCCCACATCACCGTCAGATGGATCCGTCCCTGGTGTGCCATGCCATCGGCCTCTGTGATGACATGGCTGCCAGCACCGCCCACAGCACGCCCGTGCCCAGGTATTACTGTCCAGCCAGCCAGCCCGCCCATCACCCCTCCACCTCTCCGTATACTCTCCCAATGGTCCTTTCTCATCTCGATGGTCCTTTCAGCTGGATTGCCTTCATCAGCGCAGTGCTAGTCTAAAGACTAACTCTCCCGATCGTCCGATTCCCCTCCCCTCATCCCCCTTCCCCCCCCCCTCCTCTCCCTTGTACCGTCCTGTCTCTCTCTTCCTCTTCCTTTCTCCACTCGTGCAGCATGAGCCGCCGCCTGCTAGGCTGGGAGGAGGACCCGATCATCAAGATGCCAGGGGACAGCAACGTGGACGATTCTGGCGTGAATGGTGCGATCGGTGACAAGGCGAGTGGCAGTGGCAGTGGCAGCGGCAGCAACGGGGGGCGCTTGGGAGACCCCAAGTGCTCCCTGTGCGAGGCGACGGTGATCTGGGTGCAGAACCAGCTGGCAAGAAACAAGACTCGCAGCGAGATCATCAGCCACCTCAATAAGGTACCCATGCCGGTTCTGCTTTGAACTCTGTTTCCCAAGCGAGCACATTCCCAGCCCGGGAGGTCAAGCGCAGGTGGACTGCAGCAAGGTGCACAAGATGCCAGAAGTGGTGTTCACCATCGGCGACAAGCAGTTTGATTTAACCTCTCTCTTGCCCACTCTCCTGTCTCTGTTCTCTTTCCCCACCCTGCAATGCAGATGTGCGAGCACATTCCCAGCCCGGGAGGGCAGGCGCAGGTTGACTGCAGCAAGGTGCACAAGATGCCAGCAGTGGCGTTCACCATCGGGGAGAAGCAGTTTGAGCTGCGCCCGGAGCAGTACGTGCTGCAGGCGGGGCAGGCCGGCCAGCAGCTGTGTATTAGCGGCTTCCTGCCTCTCGACGTGCCTGAGCCTCTTGGCCCCATCTGGTGAGTCGTGTGTCCTTCAAAGCACCTGAACAAGCAGGGCAGAGCGGAGCAGTACGTGCTGCAGGTGGGGCAGGGTGGGCAGCAGCTCTGCATCAGCGCCTTCCTTCCCTTGGACGTGCCTGAGCCCCTTAGGCCCATCTTGTGAGAAGCTGGCAGGTGGCTTGTGTTGCATCTGGTCATGTCTGCTTTGGAAGAGCCGGCAACTGAGGATTCTCAGCAAGGTGTACCACCTCTGTTGCACACCATCACTTATCCCCCCCCTCACCTTTCCCACTCCTCACTTCCCCCTCTCCCCATTTCCCCCTCTTCCCCCTTCCCCCTCTCCCCCCTTCCCCCTCTCCCCCCTTCCTCCTCTCCCCCCTCCCCTCCGCACATCAGGATTTTGGGAGACACGTTCCTGGGGGCGTACCACTCGGTGTACGACTTTGGCAAGGCGCGCGTGGGCTTTGCCGAGTCCGCGTGATGATCAGCATCATGTCGACTTGGTGTGGTGGGGTGGCATTGATTAGACGCTGCGCTCATGTTGCGTCCGGCATTCCATCTACTCGGTTGAATATGCTGCTGGTACCTTGGTGCTCAGTCAGTAGATACTGTTAGGAAGACCTGTGGTGTGGCACTTTTCTCTATCAAACTATTTGGGCATTCTGTATTGAAAGGAAGTTGCTAGCTGCAATGGTCACATACTGGTGGCAGTACTCAATTCAGGGTATTTGAGTTATTGTGGCATGCCCACAAGCGGGAAAGGGGGAATGGCTAGCCGGCTTAGAACCACAACACCCTAGCTGATTTTAGCTGACGTGCATGGTGTTTCTAGCCCTGATCTGCCCAGATGTACACTCCTGCAGCCAACTGCATATTTGAGCAGTGTAATGCATCTTGCCTAGAGAAACTAGACATGCGTTACTAGCTAGCTTATTCATATTCAAAACAAATGCTTCTTGCCCAGAGAAACTAGAACCACCCCCAATATTCAGCACAGGTACTGATAGGAACTATATCTCATAATAGCTCCTACACAGGGCACATGTTAACAGGGTGATTCACCCTGTTTAATCTGATTTTCAGGGTGCTCAGTGTGTGTTAGTCTGATTTTTCAGACTGAAGTAAAAATCTACCCTTCCGTTTTCAGTGTACACTTTCGTTTCGCCCTGTGAAATCTAGAGTGGCTTCGCTCCCCGCTCTGTGTAGAAAGGGTAACCCTAAAATTTCCCCGGACCAGCGAGTACTGTACTACAACCCCCCAGCCTGTCCCCTCGATACCTGCCGGTGCTGGGCTGCCTCAAGACAGAAAACGTTGCACGTGTGTGTGAACTGTTTACAAAATTGATTGGACCAATTGACTGAGTTGAGAGAGCGCCAAGCCAACTGCCAACTATACTACCTCGCAGACCCTGTCGCAGTGCGCAGCAGAGGCCTTTCGCGCAGCAGAGGCCTTTTGCACAGCAGAGGCCTTTTGCGCAGCAGAGGCCTTTCGTGCAGCAGAGGCCTTTCGCGGAGCAGAGGCCTTTTGTGTGTTACTGTCGTTGTAGTAGTTGCGCCGGGCGCATCCAAACCTGACTGTAGTGATTTGCTGTATGCTCGGCTTTGTAAATCGCTTGCCAATGACTTTCATGTACACTTATCACATTCCCTTTGCGCGAGTGTTCACACGTGTGCGCTGCTGTGACACGAACTGTGCCCACACACCCATAGCAGGTAGAGATTTCGTCAGAGTAACATTAACTCCAACCCTCTCTGAAAAGGGTCGCAGTTTGAAACACCCTGTATAAACTAGGGTGTCCATGCACGGTACCCTAATGCCAAAGGGTAGGGGTGGGAGGGTGCCTTGACTAGAAAGGCTTCCCAAAACCTTAGCCAGAGCCCTGCTCCTACAGCTCTGATACCAAGTCATGAAGTCACAAGTCTTAACTTCTGGGACAAGAAGGGATATCCTCAGGAGAGTTAAGCTTCATATATCCACCTTCCCCAGAGAAAGCCTCCCTAGTGTTAAATTATATCCTATATATAACGGTGAGGTGGGGGTCGTCGCTTGGGACCCTGTTGGGAGGGGGGGAGAGGAAATTGAGAGAAAATTTGTTAATCCTGCCCCCCTCTGGTTGGCAGGTGAAAAAACACCTCGATTGCAGCTGCCCGTCGCTACTTCTTCCTGCCCACATCCTGCTGCCTTTTTATTAGTATCTTTTTATTTTAAATTCTGTTGCCCAGTTCTGTGCACTGCAGTTCGTCTGCAGTGAACAGAAGCAAGGCGAGTTTTGAGTCATCTCAAAACTCACATTTCCCCACTGCCCCTCGTGTGCAGGCGTTTTGAGATGTCTGCAGGTCGTCTCAAAACTCAAACTTTCCTCACTGCAGCTCGTGCTACAAGTGAGGTGGGAGCAAGGAACAGAACAGGCACTGCAGTGCACTGCCGGCCAGAGCAGAGTCACAGTTAGTTACAGTCACAACACGGATTTGAGGCGCCTCAAATACTGTGCAACAGGAACAAGAAAGAAAAAACACAGCACCCCACACTCCCCATGCCACACCCCACCCCCACCCTCCCCTCGGCTTCACCCTCCCCTCGGCTTCACCCTCCCCCCGGCTTCACCCTCCCCTCGGCTTCACCCTCCCCCCGGCTTCACCCTCCCCTCGGCTTCACCCTCCCCTCGGCTTCACCCTCCCCTCGGCTTCACCCTCCCCTCGGCTTCACCCTCCCCCCGGCTTAACCCTCCCCTCGGCTTCACCCTCCCCTCGGCTTCATCCTCCCCTCGGCTTCACCCCTCCCTCGGCTTCACCCTCCCCTCGGCTTCACCCTCCCCTCGGCTTCACCCCTCCCTCGGCTTCACCCTCCCCTCGGCTTCACCCTCCCCTCGGCTTCACCCCTCCCTCAGCTTCACCCTCCCCTCGGCTTCACCCTCCCCTCGGCTTCACCCTCCCCTCGGCTTCACCCTCCCCTCGGCTTCACCCTCCCCTCGGCTTCACCCCTCCCTCGGCTTCACCCTCCCCTCGGCTTCACCCCTCCCTCGGCTTCACCCTCCCCTCGGCTTCACCCCTCCCTCGGCTTCACCCTCCCCTCGGCTTCACCCTCCCCTCGGCTTCACCCTCCGATCAGCTTCACCCTCTCCTCGTCTGACACCACCAACACGCCAGAGTTGAGTTGCGGTGGAGCCTCCACTGCTGCTGCGCTTCTAGTTTTGAGGCGCCTCAAAACCAGATATGGGCAGTGGTGCAGCCTCCGCTGCTGCAGCGCTTCCAGCAACCGCCTCTCCTTCCACCCGACAGCACCCACTCCCCAGACTCGTGCAGTGGTGTGTAGCGCCACAGATGGTTTCCCACAGCCATCTCCCGTTTGCTGCTGCTACAGTAGCGCTACCATCCTCCCCTCCTCAGCGCTCCCAGCAGCCGAGTCCGGTGCTGCTCCCCTTCCCAGGGCCAGCACTGGTGCTGCTCCCCTCCCCAGGGCTAGCACTGGTGCTGCTCCCCTCCCCAGGGCCAGTACTGGTGCTGCTCCCCTTCCCAGGGCCAGTACTGGTGCTGCTCCCCTTCCCAGGGCCAGTACTGGCTAGGTTGCACGGGAGCAATGGGTGGATCTTGGTGTTGACCGCGTGCTTGGGCGTCTTCTCTGCCTCCAGCACCTCTGCCACCCCCTTCCTCAGGTCTAGGCATGTCCGAAATGGCTTCAAGGGGCTCTGATACCACTTATTATACTCACAATAGACTCAAATGTGCCTAAAATGAGAGATAGAGTGCACAGTCAGAATTCCGTCAGACAGCTTCAAATATTGATAACGATCTGATCAATGCCTCAAACAGCAATGTGTAAGTTGGATCTCAAGCGCGTTGCCTTTGCCTATCAGCAGCAAGTTGAATTATGAAATTCCATGAAGATTTGACGGCGCTATGGCGGTTTGACTGGCAAGAGGTATAGCAGCCACTATAGTCTTTGAAGTACAAACCTAGCAAGAAGAATCGAGATTGAGATGGTTCCCAGCCTCTACATACCCCAAGAGGTCCACGTTGGTGGTACAACACCACAGAGTCCCCAACCACGAAGGGACTCGAAACAAACCCAACAAGGGGCTACACCAAGTAAAATGTAACACTACACGAAGTAGCATTACTATTTTCACTATTTTAATATTTATCCGCGTCACATGGGCTTGAAATCTTGAGCTCTTGGTCTTGGTTCTGCAAGATAAATTCTTCTTGAGTTGATGAAAGCTTTCTGCACTCACCTGCGATGCAATGGACACTTCACACTCGACAAAAATAGAAAAATACATGCGACGCGCAAACGACGACTCGACATGCGAGTTGTAAAAACTCGCTAATGTCCTGACCGACACAAACCACATTGTGATACACCATTCAAGCACACACACAAGCACTAGATAGCAATGACATAGACTCACAAATCATTCCATGCCATGCATGCACACACAAAAACAAGGACGATAAGCTGAGTGCAAGCCATAGGGTTGCACCAACAGCGAGGCGAAGCGAGGCAAAGCGAGGCGAGACGAGACGAAGCGTGGCGAAGCAAGGCAAAGCGGGGCGAAGCGAGGCGAAGCGGGGGCGAAGCGAGGCAAAGCAAAGCCAAGCCAAGCCAAGGGAAGCCAAGCAAAGAAAAGCGAAGCCAAGGGAAGCCAAGCAAAGCCAACCGAAGCCAAGCGAAGCGAAGTGAAGCCAACCGAACCGAATCAAAGGGCAGCAAAGACAAGCGAAGCGAAGCAAAGTGAAGCCAAGCCAAGCAAAGCGAAGCAAAGCCAAGCCAAGCCAGGCCAAGCCAAGCCAAGCAGAGCGAAGCGAAGCCAAGCGAAGCGAAACAAAGCCAGGCGAAGCAAAGCCAAGACAAGCCAAGCGAAGTGAAGCCAAGCGAAGCGAAGCCAAGCCCAGCCAAGCGAAGCGAAGCCAAGCGAAGCGGAGCCAAGCCAAGTGAAGCGAAGCGAAGCCAAGGGAAGCGAAGTGAATCCAAGCCAAGCGAAGCAAAGCGAAGCCAAGCGAAGCGAAGTGAAGCCAAGCAATGTGAAGACAAGCCAAGCAGAGCGAAGTGAAAAGAAGCGAAACCAAGCGATGCGAAGCGAAGCCAAGCCCAGCCAAGGGAAGCCAAGCAAAGAAAAGCGAAGCCAAGGGAAGCCAAGCAAAGCCAACCGAAGTGAAGTGAAGCCAACCGAACCGAATCAAAGGGCAGCAAAGACAAGCGAAGCGAAGCGAAGTGAAGCCAAGCCAAGCAAAGCGAAGCAAAGCCAAGCCAAGCCAGGCCAAGCCAAGCCAAGCAGAGCGAAGCGAAGCCAAGCGAAGCGAAACAAAGCCAAGCGAAGCAAAGCCAAGACAAGCCAAGCGAAGTGAAGCCAAGCGAAGCGAAGCCAAGCCCAGCCAAGCAAAGCGAAGCCAAGCGAAGCGGAGCCAAGCCAAGTGAAGCGAAGCGAAGCCAAGGGAAGCGAAGCCAAGGGAAGCGAAGTGAATCCAAGCCAAGCGAAGCAAAGCGAAGCCAAGCGAAGCGAAGTGAAGCCAAGCAATGCGAAGACAAGCCAAGCAGAGCGAAGTGAAAAGAAGCGAAACCAAGCGATGCGAAGCGAAGCGAAGCGAAGCCAAGCCCAGCCAAGCGAACCAAAGCGAAGCCAGGCCAAGTGATGTGAAGCGAAGCCAAGCAAAGCGAAGTGAAGCGAAGCGAAGCAAAGCCAAGCGAAGCCGAGCAAAGCGAAGCGAAGGGAAGCCAAGCGAAGCAAAGCCAAGCCAAGCAAAGCGAAACGAAGCGAAGCAAAGCCAAGCGAAGCAAAGCCAAGCGAAGCGAAGCCAAGCGAAGCGAAGCCAAGCCAAGCAAAGCGAAGCGAAGGAAAGCA